TAGTTGTTCCAACTAAAGGCGAAATTGATAAATAGAAGCAAACAAATATATATTATATTACTTTTATAGGGTATCTGCTTATGGTCTAGTCAGAAGTTGTGGGCGTGGCGTGGCGTTGCGTTGCGTTGCGCTGCGTTGCGTTGCGTAGATTGGTCTTGCAATTGATTCGTGTCGAAAATACTTCCGCAATTGTCAGAGCGAGTAGTTTTCAGATGGCTGTCAACACTTGAAACCGAGTCGCAGACAACATCCCATAAAAGCATGCGATATGATATATTATGGTATGGTGTATGGGATATGGGATATGATTTTATGTGGTATGTTGGATGTTTCATTACTCTGCTATGCGCCATCAATTCATTCATTCACACATTCAAACATTCACTCATTCACTCATTCATTCATGCACCCAGACCAGACTGAACCAAGTGGCATTTGCCATTTCCGATGTCTACTTCAAAGCAGTCTTGCTGCCTGCTGCCTGCTTCATGATTTCTTTTTTCTCTTTTCGCCTTCTAGTCTTTTCTCTTTTTCTCCTTATTCGTCTCTTTTCGTCATTTTTTATATCTTTTTTTTTGTTTTTTGCATTTGATAGCACATTTCCGGCAGCGTCTTGTTGATTTTCGCTCTATTTTTGGCTGAGGCGTGCACAGATGCAATGCGTTTATATGATTAAAAGACCCGAACTTGTTTCGTTTCATTCCCGTTTCATGCCAGTTGCCAGTTGCCAGATGATACCACAGGGTGTGCTCTACTTGAATCTATCTAATTTATGAGCTTTACGTTTCTAGTTTCATAAACATTGTTTGATGCAAATTGAAGCTGTTGCCAGTGCCTGGCAAGCTGCTACTTTTCTGTTATATCTGTTATATCCAGATAATCCCTAGCTTTGTTATTGGTTTAATATTTTAGGTAAACACTACTTTTTTGTAAGCTAAGCAGCAGCTGTCTGTTTCTTATTTGTTGCAGATAATCCCTAGCCTTGTTATTGGTTTCATATTGACCTTAACTTGTTCCCGTTCGAAAGTGCTTTAAATATGCTATGAATTGGTTTATTTTCTTTTTAGCAATGGAGTCGCAACTCATTCTCGCTCACACGTAGTATAATGAGCTGAACTGAGTTCAACTGCATTACTTATGCAAATTTGAGTCAAGTGGCATTTGTTAGGCATGCGTAACGCATGCACAGGGTGTCAATTGCACTGCCAGCAGTTAATTGAAAAGCTCAGCCAATCCCCCTTTCCAATATCTGTATATATATATATATATATATATATATATGTGTGTGTGTGTGTGTGTGTGGAAAACGAATTGGAATCAGGCCAACATTTTGGCTTTTCAAGTGGTCTGCTCAAATACACCGAATGTATTTTTTAAAATGGGTATGGTTCAATTAGATTGGCATAATGTATAAGTATGTATATATATATGCATATATTTATATGTATATATATAAATATATATATGTCCAAATATTGCCCAAACAATTTACTAATATGCATGTTTTTATAGGATAACCACTAGTCGAGCAGTACTCTCATCTCGCACACTTCTGCTTGCCTAGTTGTCGACTGTTTTCTTTGGGCCAACTTGACACGTGCCAATGGCAGTGGGAAGGGGAAGGGGAAGGGGAAGGGGCATGGGTACGGGCGCGGGCCGGGGGAAGGGGCGTGTCTTATCTGCGACACGCATCTGCGGCCATGGCCTTTGTCTTCTGCCGGCCCTGCATTTAATTGCCGTGGCGCAGCAGCCCACACCAAAAAGTAAAATCATAGCCAGATCGACCGGGCCCAAATCCAAATCCACTCGCACTCGCAATACACCAATTCGAATTCAAAAATCCCATATAGCAAAGCCAACCCTGGCCCATTGCGGATTCGCATTTGTTGCTTTTGGGTCTGTTTGGTTAATTGTTTGCTTTTTGGTATTGTTTTTTGTTATTTTTGTGCTCTTGTTGTTGTTGTTGTTGTTGTTGTTGTTGTTGTTGTTGTTGTTGTTGTTGTCGTTGCTGTTGTTTGCCAGCCAGCATCAATTTAGGCCGCATTTTGCGCTTAATTTACCAGGCATCCGTTTCAGAACACATATCCGTAGCTATATTTGTATCTTCAGCTTTATATATCTGTAACTGTGTGTGTGTGTGGGTATGTGTCTGTCTGTATCTCTGTATCTGTATCTTTATCTTTATCTGCACTGCACCAGTTATATCTTTCTTGATTTTGCGCCACATTCATTTTTTCTTTGTTGCCAATGGTTTTGAATTTCGATTTCAATGCTTTTACTATCACTGAACAGCAGTCCGATTTTGTTTTGACTGGCAACAAGTCACGAATCTGTGAAATGAAAGATTGCCTCATTGTTTTATTTCAATCACAAGAGCATAACTTCAATGTTCGTAAGCTTTAGCTGATCACCAAAGCAAAAGTTGTTCAGCATTTTCTATGACTTAAAACTCATAAGTTTATACTTTCTTAAAGATCTGCAACTTATTTGAAGATCATTTAAAGCTTTTTTTCAATATGAGCTGAAGCTTTCTGACAAAAAATTGCACATATTATTAGTGTTCTTCTTTAAGGTTCATATTATCTGATAATGCACATATATGGAGATATTGTGTATAATTTATTTACGTATGGTCGTCTTCTTCTTTTCCTCCCAATTTGCATGTGTTGAATGTTTTGGGCTTGGGCCGTGCGGCAGACGTGACTTTTGGGCCGTGTCGTTGTTGTACTATGTGACTTAATGGCGAATATTTGAGTTTCATAAATCAGATAGACAAACTATAATCGCAACAATAACAGCAACAACAACAACAACAATAACAATTGTTCCAGCGATTGCCTAGCCTATGGAAGTTACAAAAAACAATTCCGATTCTAATTTGAATGGCTTTTAAATAGTCCGGAATGAACCGGAGTAAACTCGTAACGCATATCGTATATATCATTCAAATCATTCATATATCATTCACATCGAGTCATTTGGGATTTTAGCTGATTGCACAATCTGTCGCCTGAGAATTCTTGCTCTCGTTAATGAAAGTACCACTAAATGCAAAATACTGAACTCAATAATACTTAATACTAAATAAATGCTTGCCCATTATTTATTATGACTACGTGACGTTCATTTGCTTTGCACTTAAAGCTTAACGAGCAGCCCTATATATATATATATATATATCTATATGGGTATACTTATATTAAACAGTCATGAATTCGCCGCTGGTGTTTTATGACTGGAACTACAAGCACCAAATGGGCACATTCCTTTTTCAAGGTAATAATATATATCATGTTGGCAAAATGTGTGTGTTTTGGCAGGTTCTATCTCATTAGAGTGCTTCACAAAATAAGTCAAATGCATTCATTGCAAACTTAAAGAGGAACAAAATGAGCTTATACATTTATATAGTATTAGAATCAAGTTGTGTTGAGTTTATCAAACTAAATATGCAAATGCTTATATTATTTTTGATTATAGATTTCAAAATTCGAATATGTTTAGCCAATTATCAATAAGATTTAATGTATGTATAAAAATGCATGCCTATATAGCTACATATGTACAGATGTACAGATGTACATATGTATGTATGTAGTACATGAAAAGCTTTAAGCTCTTTGTGACTTGTCGCGATCCAAACTTGAAATCCGTATGAGCAACAAATTGATATACATTTCAATTTATTCATATGCATGCATGTATTTATGTATGCATGTATGTGTGTGTATACGTATGTGTGCCTCTTGAATACAGTTGTTAAGGCTTCATCAATTATTATGCAATGCGGCAACACGATCCCACAATAATAAATTGATGTATCTGTATTTAACATCGAAATGCATATTAATTTCGGAATATTTTGCATTTCAATCACATTAATTGGCTTGTTTGCCTGCTGCTCAAGGTCCCTCTCCCTCTCTCTTTCTCTCTCTCTCTCTCTCGTTCTCCCTCTCTCCAGCATATTAGCGACACCCGCTGCTAGAATACAAGTTTTGCAAGCAGAATACCAAACCCAAAAAAACACGATGCGACGAAATAATTGAATTTGATTAACATGGGAAATGCGCGCTCCACTAAAACAAACAAGAGAAAACGTTGCAGTCGGGAATAGCCGACTGTGAAGTGCGCTGATACCGTTAAGTCAGACCATTCGATAACAGGTGCCCTTTGTGTATTGCCATGAAATGTCGATCTTTGATGTAAGTTCCTTGTAAGCTATCATTGTGATCTATCCTTTAAAATTGCGATAGATACAGGCTTTTATCGGAGCAGTTTCCTAGTAATCGTAACCGAAAAAAATATTAGAGCAGGTTCGTAGTAAGCTGTCTTCCAAGTTTGGCAATATGCATTTCAGATTATGGGCGTGGTCTGAAAATGTATATGTATGGCGATCTTTAAAGGACATCGTCAACAACCTACCAACTAATTTGGGTGATTGTAGCTTCAATATTGAGAGAGATTTGTGGCTTTATCGATTTGATCGATTTCGTAGCCTCCTAGTGGACGTAGAACCCTGACTAGGCCCTGACGTCGGCGCAGACTAGTCAATAAAAAAATAAAGTGGCCGTCATACAGACGGACAGAAGGACAGACAGCATGATGGAAATTGCACAAAGCGAATATACTCTGATACCGAAGGTAATCAGAGTATACAAATCAACAATGAACGACTGCAACAGCAACAGCAGCAACAGCAGCAACAACAATACATCAACAAGAAGAGAACAAGTGCAACAGAAGTACCCATTTGGATGTTGCTGTTCTTGTTTTTGTTGTTGTTGTTGTTGTGTTTGTTGATGTTGCTCAAATATGCGTTATGATGTTGCTGGCATCAGGAAGATGTTGCTACGAATGGCTGTGAAAAGAAAGTGAGTGAATGATCGCATTTACATACATACACACACACATACATACATACATACATACACAGGTATGTTTGTTTATGTACAAGATATTTTGGTTTGTTTGGTTTATAAAAAAAAAGCTTTTCTGCTTACCTGTGCGCAAAATGCAGCGAGAAATGTTAAAATCCAAAGCCAGCGATGTTGCTGAGCTACTTTTATTGTTTTTATTGCTACTGCTGGTTGCTGCTGCTGCTGCTGCTGCTGCTGTCTTTTGAGTCGAATTCTTGTTGTTGCTTTGCTCAGCGTGTACAACATGTTGTGGCCGTGTTGTTGCTGTTTTTGTTGTCTAGTGCTCGTCGCTATCGTGGCTGAAAACTGTTGTTGTTGCTGCTGCTGCTGCTGTTGTTGGTGTTGTTGCTGCTGCTGCTTTTGTTAATATTTTCCTCTTGTTTTTTTTTTCAGCTAATTTCTTTTGATTTTCGACATTTTCAAAACGAGCGTAGTTTTTGTTTTTAACAAATGCATTGTTTTCAATTTGTTTACAATTGGATTTTGTGTATTTTTGTATCTAGGACTTTCCTCACGTCATTCTACGAGTGTGTTATAGAGAGAGAGCGAGAGAGAGGGGGAGAGAGAGAGCGAGAGTGAGTTACGCGAACAAATATTTTGAAGAGAGGCAAAGAGAGACTGCCAACAACGACAAGTAAAAAGTGTACGCGTGTGCGTGTGTGTGTATGGGCTAAGCTCAACTTTTGCTGCCGATCAATATCACCTTCTCTCTCACACACACACACACACGCACACACTGCGTTGCTGCCAACGATTTCTGCTTCTTGTTGCTGGCGGCGCCTGCGCCAAAGTTTGTTTTTTTTTTCAGACTGTTGCTGTTGGCAAGCTTTCGATTTTTTTTCTTGTATATTTAAGCTAGTTTTTGTTTTGTTATCGTGCAATTTACATTTTGTCGAATGACGTCATAGCAAAAGTTAGCCACAAAACATAAATACGCACAACGACAACAACAACAACAACGAAAACATGTATATGCCAATAAAAAGAAATCAACAACTTTTGAGAAACCAGTTTTGATTTTAAAACTAAAGTTTATTCCCTTGTTTCTTGTTGTTGTTGCTTGTTGCTTGTTGTTGTTGCTTGTTGCTTGTTGATTGTTGCTTGTTAATAACATTGCCGTATGCAAAAAAGGCCTTCAACTTTGTTGCTGAGAGCAACTCAACTTGGCCGAGAGAGAGAGAGAGAGAGAGAGAGAGAAAGAGAGAAATCTTACACATTTTTTTACACACAGAGAATACTCTGGCGAGTCGCGAGCTTAGCGAAAGAGATACAAGATCAAAGCTTGAGCCATTGTTCTGTCATTTACTAGAGAACCAGTAAACACCAACAACAAACAGTAAATAAAGCTTGAGAAACAGCAAAAACAACAACAACCAAACACAATTCAAAGCTCAAAAAACGAGTTTTTATTTGAGTTTAATTAATGAGTTTTGACGTTAATTTAGGACAAGTTTCTAAGCACAACAAAAAACCAAACAAAATATTTTTGAATAATTTTTATAATAATAATTTAATGTTCTCAAATTCATTCACAAATCCAAACAAAATCACAAAGAGTGAACGAATTATATTCAAGTGAAACAACTACAAAAAACGAATATTTAAATTAAAAACCGATAGCAAGAAAAGCAAAATAAAAAACAAACGCGACACTTGCAAGGGTGGGGGAGGGGAGGGGTGAAAGCGACGGCATGTAATAACAACAAGCAAAACAACAAAATCGGCTGATGCTAATGCCGGTGTTGCCAGTGTTGCTTAGGTGTTGCTATTTCTCTTATTATTATTATTATTATTATTGTTGTTGTTGTTGCTGCTGCTGCGAAACGCGCTCAAAACATCAAAAAGCAACTCTCAATTTCTGCTTTTACTTGGCTACGCTTTGCTGGGCATTTCTTGGCCAAAAATTATACATTTCATGTGTGTGTGTGTTTGTTAATATGTATATGTATATGAAACTCACGAACTTTTTGTATTTAACAGAAAAAAACTACACATATACAATTTTATATTTTTAAATATATATATATGCTCCATACATTTGCGTTCAAAAATTTTTTGCTAACCGTCGCCAAAAAAAAATTACAACAAACAAAAAACAAAAACAACAAAATTGAACACTGGCAGACGCACACACGTAAACAACACGGGGCAACGGCAACGATGAGGGCGACGGCGACGGCACAGCGACAAATAGTATAACGGACGACAATGAGGCAGACACTGACGCGCACCAGAACACGCTCACGGCCAAAACTCAACTGAGTAACAGCGGACTATGGTCGGTGGCTGCGGCAGCGACAGCGGCTCTGCCTGCATCTGCAAGTTGTTTGAGCAAGTGTGCGTGTGTGTGTGTGTTTGTGTATGCTTCGGTGTGTTTGAGTGGGAGAACCCCCAACACTGGGTGGTTGTTTCTGTGCCAGTGCTGCCACACTTGGCGCGCTGTTTGAACTGCTTGCAAGTAGTTTTTGAAAACTAAATATCATTAAACATACGATACTTAATTATACGATGCTTAGTTTTGGCTATATGCAAGAAATGACAATTATTCTGGAGACATAAGGCTTTCATATTAACATATTTAAACGTTACCACACATCTAATATTGTTGTGCGTACCGCCTTGTAAGTTTGTTTTCCTTTAAATTACTGATTTACCTGTGTGAAAGTTAATCACAAAAAAAATTAATAGTTGTCAAAATATTTACAGCATCTTTGTATATAAATTGTTTAAAAATGCAACTAGGCATAGCCGAATATTTTGTTATGCCTTCATATCGATATATAGTCTGAGTACATCAAATCGATATTGCTGAAACAGAAATGCAGCAGTTATCGATACCAATTAGGCATCCCTAATTGGAGTGTTTCTTGTTTTGTACATCGCTAACAACAGCAAAAGCTATACGGTTTTTTTTTGCGAACAAATTCAACACTGCCATTTATTAACAAAATAAGTTCAGTAAAATTGAAGCTTTACGCGCCGCTTAAGTACGTATTGTAATTGTTGGGAATAAAGCGCGGCAGCTGCACACTGTGCAGGACTCGTAATAAAAAAACCGGCAGCAGCATCCACACACCCACACATACATACATATGTAGGTTGCTGAAGCAAAAATCATCTCCCATTGTACGTGCGAAGAAGAGAAGCGTGAGCTCGACAGAGAGAGAGAGAGAGAGAGGGAGAAGAAACGACAAAGAAGGTGTCATCATCAACACATTTAGGCCATGAAGAACGTCTTGATGGTGGCCGAGAAGCCCTCGCTGGCTGCCTCACTGGCCGCCATACTCTCCAATGGACGCTGCACGGCTGCAAAGCGAGGTTAGAAACACTACAAATGCCCGGCTAGCACACAACTTGTGCCTAGCCTTGCCTGCTCTTATTCTTATTCGTATTCTTAAATCATCCAACTGATCCTAAGTTTGGAAAATCCGCCTCTTAAAATCAGATCTGTGTGTTGATCGTCATTTAGTGTGGTGAATTGTCAAGTATTGTAAATGAGAGTTACATTATCCCAATCGTAATCAAAATCAATTTAATATATATTGCACATATACATATTTTCAAAACAGATGTTCATATACGGAAATAAAATAGCAAGAAATGAATATTGTTCAATGAGATCCCTTCAAGATCCGCCTTCAACATCTTAATCGTAATTATTACAATCTGCACTTATTCATTCTGTTACAAATCAATGTTTTATAGCCTATACCTATTCAAAGGTTGATTAATGTTTAAAATTACAATCTTATATAGACTATAGATATATATATATATATATATATATGCAAAATAGAATTGCATAAATGAAGGAAGGAACTAATTTGAAATGTATTTGATCCGTTTTAAAGGTATCAACAGCTGCTCGACGTACGAATGGAGCGGCAACTTCCGCAACGAGGGCACCGTCCACTTCCGGATGACGTCTGTGTGCGGACATGTGATGTCGCTGGATTTCATTAGCAAATACACGTCGTGGGACAAGGTCGATCCCGTCGAGCTATTCGGCTGCCCCACGGAGAAGAAGGAATGCAATCCGAAGCAACAGATGCGCACATTTCTATCGCAGGAGGCGCGCGGCTGCGATTATCTGGTGCTGTGGCTCGATTGTGACAAGGAGGGCGAGAACATCTGTTTCGAGGTGATGGACGCAGTGCAGCATGTCATACACAATGTGTACAGTCACAATGTGACATATCGTGCCCACTTCTCGGCCATTACCGATAAGGATATTAAGGGTGCAATGGATAAGCTCGGCCATCCCAACGAGAACGAGGCCAAATCGGTGGATGCACGTCAAGAGCTGGATTTGCGCATTGGATGCGCCTTCACGCGCTTCCAGACCAAATTCTTTCAGGGACGGTACGGTGATCTGGACTCATCGCTCATCTCGTACGGACCCTGCCAGACGCCCACGCTGGGCTTCTGTGTAAAGCGACACGACGATATACAAACCTTCAAGCCGGAAACATTTTGGTATCTTCAGCTACTGGCCGGGCAGCCGGAGTTTACGCTCGAGTGGGCGCGCGGACGTGTCTTCAAAAAGGACATTGCCATCATGCTGCTGAATCGCGTCAAGGAGCACAAGGAGGCCACGTAAGATAGCTACAACTGCAACTAGACACGTGTCCGATCTTTCCAATCCATTCATATATTTTGTTTGAGAAACTATAGCTGCTTCCATCTCAAGAAGACGTGCGAATTTTGCATGACTGAGATTAAGTCAAGTCCAAGAAATGATAACAACCTCCAATCAGAATCAATCCTCAAGCCAGCCTTGCTCCTTCTAACTAACAAATACCAAGGCACTAATCACAGATTTAATAAACAAAACAATTCTAAAACTCATCTCTTGCAGCGTGGAGAGCGTCAGCAGCAAGGAGTCGTTTAGGAGCAAACCGCAGGCCCTCAACACCGTCGAGCTGATGCGTATCTGCAGCTCGGGATTGGGCATTGGGCCGTATCAGGCGATGCAGTTCGCGGAGAGGCTCTATACCCAGGGCTATATTAGCTATCCGCGCACAGAGACCAATCAGTATCCGGAGAACTTTGATCTGCACGCCGTGCTGCGTGTGCTGCAGCCATCGAGTGATTTTGGCGAGGAGGCGCGCGCCATTGCCGCCGATTTTCAGACGCCACGTAAGGGCAAAGATGCCGGCGATCATCCGCCCATAACGCCAATGAAGCTGGCCAATCGCAACGAATTCGATCGGGACACTTGGCGGGTCTACGAATTCATTTGTAGGCACTTTCTGGGCACCATATCGCGCGATCTGAAATATCGCACAACAACGGCCAAGTTACGCGCCGGCATCGAGTCCTTTTCGTGCACGGCGAACGTGCTGCTGGACGCTGGCTACACCAAGGTGATGACGTGGCTGGCATTCGGCAAGGATGAGCCGATGCCGCCATTTGTCCAGGGCACCCAGGTGGCCATCAATGATGTCCGGCTCGCCGAGAGCCAAACCGGACCGCCCGACTATCTAACCGAAGCGGAACTGATCACCCTAATGGAACAGCATGGCATCGGCACAGACGCATCCATACCGGTGCACATCAATAACATTTGCCAGCGCAACTATGTGCGAATCGAGACCGGACGCAAACTGATACCCACCACGTTGGGCATTGTCCTTGTCCATGGCTATCAGAAGATCGATCCCGAACTTGTGCTGCCCACCATGCGATCCGAGGTGGAGCGCATGCTAACGCTCATCGCCAAGGGATCGGCCAACTTTAACGATGTCCTGCGACATGCCATCATCATTTTCAAGCTGAAATTCATGTTTTTCGTGCAGAATATCGCCAGCATGGACATGCTATTCGAGTCCTCATTCTCGCCCCTTGCCGAGTCGGGGAAGGCGCATTCGCGTTGCGGCAAATGTCGGCGCTACATGAAGTACATACAGGTGCGAATATAAGGATAAACCATATACATACCGTTATATATATATTTATAGATACATCTTTATATATACATATATGAATTTAGTTGTGTTTCAACTCTCTCACTCACTCGCTCGCTCTCTCTCTCTCTTTCCAATTCATTGCAGATGAAGCCGGCTCGTTTGTACTGCTCGAACTGTGACGAGAATTATACGCTGCCCAATGGCAATGTGAAGGTGTACAGAGAGTTCAAGTGTCCGCTGGATGACTTCGGTCTGCTGGCGTTCTCGACGGGTGTGAAGGGTCGATCGTTTCCATTCTGCCCATATTGCTACAATCATCCGCCATTCAGGGATATGCCCAAGTTTGGCGGCTGCAATACGTGCACGCATCCCACCTGCCCGCACTCGCTCAACACGCTGGGCATCTCTGGGTGCGTTGAGTGCGAAATGGGCGTTCTTGTCCTCGACAGCACACTGTCGCCCACCTGGAAGCTAGTGTGTAATCGTTGCGATGTCATCATCAATTGCTTCAAGGGTGCCACCAAAATAACAGTCGAAGGTATGCCAACTCTTGAGAATTGAGTTTATAGAAATATTGTTAATTTCCATTCTTTCACTGTTCCAGAGTCCAAGTGCAGCGATTGTGGCGCTCAGCTGGTGAATGTAGTGTACAAATCGGACAAATCGAAATTCAAGGATGGCAGCGAGGAGAAGAGCGGCTGCATCTTTTGCTCTAATGATTTCTCGCATCTCGTCGAGAAGCATCGAGCGGTTGCCTCGCGTCAAGTGCGAAGCGGTGCGTCTCGTGGCGGTGGCGGCGCTGCTGCCGGTGGTGGGGCCGGCGGTGCTGGTGGCAATGCACGTGGCGGACGCCACGGTGGACGACCGCCCAAGGATAAAATGGCGCAGCTGGCGGCATATTTCGTTTGATCGTTGGCCGACTATCTACGATGCTGATCAACCCTAATTGCATTGCATTTAATTATGTAACTCGTCACTAAATTAGTCGAAAATAATTATTTTGCGAGACTTGGCAGTAATAAACGAAATTTGTATAAAATCTGATTTCTGTTTGGATTCCCGCGTCATCATCAAATATCGATGAGTCCACCGGACTTGAATTGATACGATTATTCTAAGCTGCACATGTGCATAGTGAAAAGTATCGATATTGTCACCTTCCTAATCGATTATTTTGATCGTTGCCTATACGCAACTATTGTCTTTCCGCCCGCCCAATAATAAAATGATACAATTTTTTTCATACATTCTTCAATAGTCTATCGTTCTGTCTTTAAATAATAGAATAAATGTGCTGACTTGCCTCTAAATAAGGAAATTTGATTTCAATTCGAACTTGATGGCAGCGGCAACTTGCTGGATTCACGCACGGATTTGGAATGTCGTTCCGAAAATTCCAAATTCATTTTTTTGACGATACTTTCGTTATACCACTAAAAATGTTTGCAATACACTGTGAAAAAATGTAAACAAACCCGGAGGATTTGAATTAAAATTGGAAAATGGCCGATAATCTAGCATGTAAATTTATAAGCATATTTTATTTAAGTAAAATCTATCGCAAAAAAAGTATATCGATTTTCGGACGGGGACATCTTACTCAAATAAACAAGAAAAGATATGTTTAAATGGCAACACTGGCATGAACCATGATGAGCCTAATTAGCGCTCATTCCAGCGACAGCTATAGTGAAACTTATCGATATATGAAAGCGATGAATGCAGCGTTTGCAATTGCAAATTCATTGTGCGATAACACGCAACGCAAGGTCGTTGCCGATAACAGCTGTTTGTGTCCGCCTCTTATTGTCAAGCAGACCCATCACTAACGTTGCTTTTCATGTCCAAAGAAATTTATGAAGATTTCAACTGATAGTTTCAACGTTACAGACGAATAAAACAGCTCCCAGGCACACCGCGACGCCAGTGCATAGCTGACTCGCGCGCGTCCCGCAAATTATAATTGGTTCGCTTTAGTTTTCCATATTCAGATATTGCCAGCCAGTCCAAAGAATGGACAAACTGATCAAAATGATGAACCACCGATCTGAAGTAGTCGTGGGCGAAAAATACAGAATCATACGCAAAATTGGTAAGTGCCCAATCCCATTCGCTTCCATTAGTCATAGCCAGGGCCAAATGCGTGTGTGCGTCGCAGTTGTGTTCTGTTTGATTGGTTCGCAGATTTGTATTTGACTCGGATTTGAAATTTTCGTTGCATTTTTGTGATTTGTAATTCCCGTTTTAATTTAGGCAGCGGCTCCTTTGGTGACATTTATCTGGGTATGAGCATGCAGTGCGGCGAGGAGGTGGCCATCAAAATGGAGGCAACCAACGCCCGCCATCCGCAGCTCCTTTACGAATACAAACTGTATCGCGTGCTCAGCGGCGGCGTTGGAATTCCCCGCATCCGATACTACGGCAACGAGAAGAACTTCAACATACTGGTTATGGATCTGCTGGGGCCCTCACTCGAGGACCTGTTCAACTTCTGCACGCGCCATTTTACAATCAAGACGGTGCTAATGCTCGTCGATCAGATGATAGGCCGTTTGGAATATGTGCACATGAAATGCTTCATCCATCGCGACATTAAACCGGACAACTTCCTCATGGGCATCGGCCGTCACTGCAACAAGCTCTTTCTGATTGACTTTGGCCTGGCCAAGAAGTATCGGGATCCGCACAGACGGATGCACATACCGTATCGCGAGGAGAAGAACTTGACGGGCACCGCCCGCTATGCCTCAATTAATGCCCACGTCGGCATCGAGCAGTCGCGTCGCGATGACATGGAGTCCCTTGGTTATGTGATGATGTACTTCAATCGTGGTGTTCTGCCCTGGCAGGGCATGAAAGCCACCAATAAGAAGCAAAAATACGAAAAAATCTCCGAAAAGAAAATGTCCACACCCATCGAGGTGCTCTGCAAGGGTTATCCGGCCGAATTCTCAATGTATTTGAACTACTGCCGCAGTCTGCGCTTCGAGGAGCCACCAGACTACATGTACTTGCGCCAGCTCTTCCGGTAGGTATCTCTCTGTCACTAATTGTATACCCTTGCAGAATATTCAATAATTATTTTCTAAACATTCAATTGAAGTTTCTTTAGAATGGAGAAAAGAACTTCTCCAAATTAAAATCATTTTCAAAGCAGAAATGTGATCACTTAAAAGAAACAACTAATTACTTGTATATTTCTATATAGTCTCGATCGGTAACCAAGTGCGTCGGTTTGTACGCAAACTATTCTCTCCGTTTTAAAGCTGTCTTAATGAAAGATCGCTGCGGATGTTCGCTATATGTCAGCGTTTAACAGATCTGAATGATCTTGTTAATAAAACTTGTTTATAGCTGTTGAAAAGTGACCGAAGCTTATCAATTAGAAATTTAATTAGTAGGCAAAAATCAATTTCAATTGAAAATTTGACTATTATTATTGCTAAATGTCTGCAAGCGTATTCAATTAGGATAGATAACATTATTGAAACGAAATTAATTTCGAATTGTGTCTTGCAGCATTTTGTTCCGCACACTAAATCATCAGTATGACTATATCTATGACTGGACGATGCTGAAGCAGAAGACCCATCAGAATCAACAGCAGACAACAGCCAATGCGCTGACGCCGGAGCAGCGTGCCGAGCGCGACAAGGAGAAGCAGAGCGGCAGCAAGCCAACTGCAATGGTTGAATAGGCCACGCCCGCCGCCTCCTCCCCATCCTCAACCATCTCTGCCACCCATAAACCTTCCCCTAACCCCCCACTTGGTTTAAATGATGATGGCCAAGAGCATCAAAAGCAATTAATCGAGTTAATCGAAAAAAATAAAAGAAAGGAAAAGGAGGCGGCCATTGAGTGCACTAGCTGCATTGAAGAGCGAGATAACCAGGATTAGATGTGCATATAAATATATATATATATATATATACATACAAGATATAAGTATATGCATCACACAATATACATATATATATATATATATATATATATATAAATATATATACATAGTATATTTTTATAAACTGAAAATTCGCGATAAAAAATGAAAGGACGCATCTATAATGTATATAGAAATTAATGTTACACCATTTAAAAACATACTCACACACATATTCATACATACATACACATATATAAATACATATATATATAAATATATATATATATATATAATATATATATATATATATAATATATATATATATATATATAAATATGTATATAAATATATATATATATAGTTTGTTATCAATGCTATAGTTCGTCGTTGTTATCAAACCAGACCCAGAGCAGTTGTGCACCGTTAAACATGTACACCTAAATGCCTATATAAGTACAGTGGTCAGTCCATAAATTCGAATTGCTAACCCAATCGAAGAGTTTAAGTTTATTCTATTTTGAAATTTGCAAAGATTTTAACTTTGATCATCATTGACTCTTGAACGTAGCGACCACTATATATATATATATATATATATATATATATATAGTATATCCTCTGTAAAACACACTGACACAATTAGTTTTATTAGCTAACACACAAACAAATTGGAGGCGCGTTGATAACTATTTTCCCTTTATCCGTTTAAATTACACAAAGTGTTGCGCCGGGTGAACGTCTGTGTCTAGACGTTGTTGCATCGTCTAATAAATCTGGTGCACAATTACACAAACACACACACACACACACACAAACACATAGCATTCACAAGACACACAACACTCACACACATAAATATATATATGATATATATGACAGAAAGGCGTCGAGTTCGATTGAAGAATTAAAAGCCGAGCACAAATTCAACACATAACAACAATAAATATATGAGAAGCAAAAATGTTTATTTTCTTGAATGTTATTCGATTATAGACAACAACAAAATTCTGCGCATCATTTATTTTTTTTTTATTGCGCATTGTTTTTCTTTTTTGTGAACTGAAAAGAAACTAAAGCGGCAAGCAAAAAAAAGAAAAAACGTAATATTTTAATAAAATGAAAGGAGAATCAAAAATGTAATTCATTAAGTATAAAACTATGTAATATAACAGCAGTTATAACATTGTAATCTATTATTACAAGAAACGTTTTCAAATAAAAACAAAACCCAACAAAATCAACACGAACCGCCTTCGATTTATAATATGCGCTGAGGATCAGTGTATTTCTACATTTACAGCATGCTTTTAGGATAAGGCATACTTCAAAGCTATAACAATTGATATTCACGAAAATATCGCTAAGTCCACTAAATCGTTGCACATTTTCGACGGGACTATAGAACTACATTCAAGAATTATGGGATTATCGAAGAAGCCATACAGAAATGAGTCGAAAGCAGAAGAGCCTTGTTCTGCTCGGCAACTACAAGAACGATTTAGATTTAGATGTCCTTTGGCCAATCGACACAAAATGTTTGACACATTACTTGCAATGATCTGCAGGCATATTTACGAGCAAATTCTATTATTTTGGCTGTTTGAATGGAGTTTCGTCCCTTTTTTTTATCGTTGCTCCTTAAAATAAGATAGTTAGGTTTTTTGGTCAAGTTTTTTCACGAATCCTGGTCCGATAGTCCTTTTAAATGTGAGCTCAGCAATATGTGCCCCCTTTCGTGTTACGTAATAAATTGCTTGAGCCTTAAGTAACGAGCTATATTTTGGATTAACTGCGAATCGTGTAGAAAGTCCTTTTCTAGGGAGTCGTAGACCTGGAAAGGAACAACCTCGATTACGGGTGATCAACATAAATGGAATAAAACATAATTAAAACAGTTAATCGTATTTTTAATTTCAACATATTTATTGATGTAATTCAAAAAATTAAATATAAGTTATATTTATATTTATTACTGCATACAATGCAAAATTACTTTGCAGTTTTGCGTTTTGTTTTTTTATTTATTCATTTTTGTTGTTTTTTTTTTTTTGTATTTTAAATATTTTTTTCTTCTGTTTTTTTATACTCCTCTCTCACGCTTGGCCTTAATCGCATGTTTTGTTTTCAGTTTTAATTTGTAATTAATTAGTTATTATTGCGTTTTATTTGCATCGCTTTTTGTTGTGGTTTTTTTTATTTATTTATTAATTGTTGTTGCTGTTTTTGTTTTTCATCGTAGTGTATTGTGTGATTCACTTCAATATATTATATATATATATATATATATTTATGCGCATATATATACACACGCGAGACAATATTGTGTGTACATATATGTTGATCTATATACATATAGAATATATTTTCATTATTATTAACTTTATCATACTTTATATATTTTGTTTTTTTTTTCTTCTTGTAGTTTTTTTTTTTAAGTTTTCATAATTGTTTTCTTTACTTTCTGCTTGCCTTTATTATTATTATGCTAAGTGTTTGCGGTTCGTGTAGTGTGTATATATGAATAGTGGCGTGTGTGTGTGTTTAAATGTGTGTGTGCTGCGTGTGTGTGTGTTAGGGGGGAGGGGTATGCTGCTTGTTGTTGTTGTTGCTGGTGAATTCCATTTAGATATTTATCGCTGCTGTAGGTTGTTTTCTCACTTAAATGTTTAGTATTGAATTTAAATTAATATTAAGAAGCGTCCTAACTTCCGTTCTTTCCTATATTTCCTCATCTTCTTCCTGCTCGCTTCTTCTCTCCTCGCATTTCCTCTCATTTCCATCTCATCATTCCATGCTGTTTTTCGTTTATTTTCTGTTTAACGCATTCCACATTGCTTGCATTCACTTGTTGTGTTTGTTTTCTTATTTATTTTGTTGTTGTTTTTAACGCTTGCCACCCGCTTGATTATTGAATGCTGCTTCAGCTGAATTACTCGGTGATGAGGGGTTTGCAGTTCGGTTTCTCTTTCTCCTTGTCGCGATCGTTGCGCGGCTCCAATTGTTCCAGCAGCAGAGCGGGATTCGCCTGGCCCTGGTTGGTCTTCTGCTTCAGCATTGTCCAGTCGTAGATGTAATCATATTGATGGTTCAGCGTTCGGAACAAAATGCTGCAAATACAATCAAATCAAATCAAATCAAATGATAAATGATGAATGATGAATGCCAAAATGACAAAAATACAATCGAATAGTTTTGTTAATGATAATATTATCATATTACTTACCGGAACAATTGACGTAGGTACATGTAGTCGGGCTGTTCCTCGAAACGCAAGCTACGACAATAGTTCAAGTACATGGAGAACTCGGCCGGTGAGCCCTTGCACAGCACCTCGATAGGCGTGGACATTTTCTTTTCGGAGATTTTCTCGTATTTCTGCTGCTTATTGTTGGCCTTCATGCCCTGCCAGGGCAGGACACCGCGATTGAAGTACATCATCACATACCCCAAGGATTCCATGTCATCACGTCGCGACTGCTCGATGCCCAGATGGGCATTGATCGAGGCATAGCGCGCCGTGCCCGTCAAGTTCTTATCCTCGCGATATAAGATGTGAAGGCGCGAGTTTGGATCGCGAAACTTTTTGGCCAAGCCAAAGTCAATCAAGAACAGCTTGTTGCAATGCCTTCCAATGCCCATTAAGAAATTGTCCGGCTTTATATCACGATGAATGAAGCACTTTAGATGTATATACTCTAATCGGCCGATCATCTGATCGACCAGCATTAGCACCGTCTTGATGGTAAAGTGACGCGTGCAAAAATTGAACAGATCCTCAAGAGATGGCCCCAACAGATCCATGACCAGCGTATTAAAGTTCTTCTCCTTGCCATGATGACGAATCCGTGGGAAACCGACGCCGCCACTCAATATGCGATACAATTTCGCCTCGTACAACAGCTGGGGATGGCGTGCATTGGCGCTCTCCATCTTGATGGCAACCTCCTCGCCGCTCTGGATGCTCATACCCAAATAGATGTCACCGAACGAGCCGCTGCCTGCAATTGTACAACAAAATGTTAACGAATCGATTTTCAATTTAAGTATGATGTCGAAAGCCGACATAATGGGCACTCGATGAGATCTAGATACAAGATCTGATGTGACTCCAATCGAATGGGCTTCCTAGGGTATTAAATCAATTTATAGTACCAAGTCCAAGTACAAAGCAGGAGCAGAGACAGTTCTCTTGTTCGTCTCTTCGGCAGAATTTTGCGACTTCTGATTACCGACGATATCTGGGGATTTATTGATATCGCTCTAATGGATTTGATGATCGCTGTTTGACAACTTTGGGTAACTCCGTGTTTGTTTTTCTTATTGTATACCTATGTATTGGTATACAGATCGGGAGCTGTATTCATTGGATCTAAAATGATCTGATCGATGACTGTATTCTACTTTGTTTGAATTTTGATGATGCAACTCTTGACTGGTTATCAGAAATAATGGCGTATATTGCTTACCGATCTTGCGTATCACCCGATATTTGCCGCCAACAATTATCTCGTTGCGAACTTCCTTCACCGTCCGCATCCTGTCCATGTTGGTTCAATAATGGCTCCGCCGCCGCGCTTTGCTTCCAAGGGGCCAAAAGGGTATTGCGACAGTTCGACAATATAAAACCGATTATGTATCTGTTTCTAGCCGAGATCTGTAAAACGTAAAACGTAAAAAGCTTGACCTTATTTCAATATATATTGATATATTTTCGATTTTTGAGGTATATCCCTTAGATGAGTCTGAAGTCAAAAAAAAAAAAAACCAAAAAAGAGCAGTCATGTTAGAGTAGATTTCATCTGGTGATTTATTCCCCCCCCCCCCCCCCACTATTTTTTTTGTTTATTTTTATTTTATTTATTTATCTATTGGCGCCAAGACAGAAGAGGCAGCGGAAGGCACAAACACTTTCTTTTTTAACTTTTCGTTAGGCCATTTCTGTTGTTGTTTTTTGTCGCTATGTGTCGTTTGTTATTTTATTTCTTTATATTTTTCTAATATTTTCGCTGTATTGTTTTGTTATGATTTTCTCTGGCTTACGTTATTTCATGCACTCTCCTCTGCACTTATGCTTTGCCACGCTCTTCGTTTCCAAAATTGTCTGCGAATATTGCCCATTTTCATAACGAAATTAACATTTGAATCGATAGTCGATATATTGACTGAGTGTGTGTCTGTATGCGTGTGTACGTATGTGTGTGTATGAGTGTGTATTGGACAACAACAAATGATAGCAGAGACAACAGTGTCAGGTGGCCCAGGATGGGACGTAAACAGACGCGTTGAATTGTCGATCGATTATTTATTTTCATAATGTCGATTACTGCATGCATAAACAGACGGCACTGATAAACGATAAACAACTGCGACAACTGCAACTACAATGACAGGTACCGACACTACTCCGCTTCTTTTACCCCGTTGGAATGCACATTACACATAAACACACACATATGCAGCAGCAGCACCAACACTTCAGCATTGATACATACACATACACACACACACACACTCACACACTCGCTCACCACAAACATACAAATACAAATACACACGCACACAGCTGCAGGCACACAGTTGCTACTACTGCACCTTACATGTTTTTTTTCAGCGTTTTTTTTTTTTTTGACACAAAAGAAAAAATTGAGTCAAGCGCCAGGCCGTAATGAAAATTGGGACTTTGATGCAAATATTGTTATTGACGAAAATCTTACCACGAAACCGTGTTTCGAGCGCAGTGAAACTGGTGGAAACTGATGTGCTGGGTGTTTCTCAAGGTTGGCTTTTTACTATTGTACGGGGGGCCAAAACGAACGACAAAAAAAAAATTATTTAGATGTGTGAAATTTTGTTGCAAATCTGCGTTTTTTACAACGAGCGAGCCCCTTATTACACTTGTAACTGTCGCGTGATTGTCTTATTGCACTTTTCATACGCGCACAACGAAAAAAAATAGAAAATTTATATATTTTATTAACTAAAATAAAATGGTTAGACTCCAGCAAAAATGCTTTTGCTAGTGCTGACAGCCAGCGATACACACACAACTATCGATTGCCGCGATGGCGATAGGCACTACCCTGGCAGTGAGTACACAACTGCAATGGTAATCAGTGTTGCCAATAATCGATTACAAAATCCGAGCAGATCGACTAGAAAAATGGGCCAAGAAACAAAATTATATATATTATATATATACATACATATGTATATAAATATATATACAAAATATATAAAAAAAAACCAGCTACGCTTTAAAATAAAGTTCGGGATGATTAAAATGCCAATATTTACTTAATTATTAGTTTAATTGTCGTATTATACAGTTCGTCATGACATTCTTTTACCTCAGATGCTTTAATAATTTGTAGGCAAAATATTTTTAATAATATTCGAACACTTCGTGCGGAGCAAAGTTGTACTTTTGGCACCCAATTTTGTTTTATACACCTCGCGTTAGCGGCAAACAGGTTCATTTTTTGTATATATTCAGGTTTTGCTATATGTTCAGTATACAATATTGGGATCGCTGGCACTTTTTATAAAATATTGATGGATTTCCGCACATGGGCTGTTTGCTGATTTTTTCCGGCACAAGTTTAAAAAACAGCAGAGATCCTTCCGATAAAAAGCCAAAACAGCAACACTGATAGATGGACATAAGTGCTGCATAACGGCTATGCAACCCAGTACGTTGATGATAGTCCCCAGCGTTGCCCAATATCACTGCGCTCACAATATGTCAAATCGAATTAAAAATGACTGCAAACAAAATCAGATAATGATTATCTCTCAGCAGCGTTTCGCATCGCAATCCCCTACTATCCTTATCCTTAGAACCTAAAGTTTTAGACCTGAACACTGATTTCAAATTTGATAAGCTAATATTGGCATTATTACTTAAATCTCTTTTCCAATGACATCGGATAGAGCAAATCTCAAAAAGGGTATCTTTGTCTCAGCATGCTTGATTCGGTGTTTCTCGCCTTACACACATTCATATGTACATATGTACATACATACATATGCGGCAATGACTTTTTGCACAAATATAGATTCACCATTTGTTAAGGGTAAGACTAGATATACATACATATATACATATTCATATATATATGCACATACACAATTTGTGGGAGTCTTATTTACCTAACTTCCATGCTCTTCCTCTCTCTAACAGTTGGTCGGTACAAGCACGTGTATATAAATCCATATATATATATATATATATATATATACATATGTACACATGGAATATGCTTTTCGCCAAAATCTGTAAGTGCCACAGTAAAAAACATATAGTCAGCAAATTGGAAAGATAGTTTGTTGACATCACTTAAGGGGGATGAGTTAGCGTGTATTTGATGTAGTTGAGTTTCTATCAGAAATGGCGTATCGAAAATGCAGTTTGCTTTTGGTCTATATATTTTTATTAAAAACAGTTTTTTTTTTGTTTGGTTTTATGTTGTTTTTTGTTTTTTTTTGTTTTTGCTTTTTGTAAATAACGTGACGACTTGAAAACAGAAATTAAATAAGTGTACTTTACTCGTAATGTAGTAGAAAGTGTTATAAAAGCAATATTACAATAACTGTGGTAGAATTGGCTCCTAAAATAGATATTTTACAACTGATACCACTTTTTGTCTTTATATTTAAGCATTAATTGATGCGCTGTACCGCTGAAATCTTGAGCTGTATTGGCCATACGCTCGGCGCGCTCCTCCAACAAATTGAGCTTCTCGCCACGCTCCATGGCCAACTGATGCGCACGGCTAATTTCCGATGCGGCTGTGGAAGCACGTTGACCAAGCTGATCCATATTGGGACCAGGTATATGCCGTGCCGTAGAACGATTTGCTTTCCCGCTTTGTTCACCAACTAAACAAACAAATTAAGCATATGGATACCATTTACAAACTATAATTATAAATATATATATATATATATATATATATATATACATACACAACTCTTCGCGATCCAGAAGTTTGGCGCCACCGCCAAATAGACCCTTAAAGAAACCCTCCTTCGGCTGTTCGGGCATTTCGTGTACCGTATATAACTCACCCATCATCTCCAAAATAAATTGACTAAATAATGTGGATTAGAATATGATATTATAATAACGATATATTAGCGTATATATATACATAAATATATATAGTAAGCTTACCAAAATTCCGATGATATCGTGAATTTTTGAATTTCGGTGGGCGATGCCATGTACAATCCATGACCTTTATGACTAAAGCAAAATATTTTTGATATTCTACATAAAAAATATAAATAAAGAAAAACAAATTGTTGAAAATTATAATACGTAATTTGGATTATCGTTGATTGGTTTCTTACTGAGTTGTATCTTCATGAACAATGATCTGTTGACCCCATATCGAAAGCATTGGATCCACAATTCCCTGTTTACATTTGGTTTGAAAACTGCGACAAAATATAAGTGTAAGTTTACAATGCAGACGCAGACAGTTAATTAGCCAAATTGTTATACCTTAACTCCATAAGCGGTAAGAAATCAGTATCCAATAACAGTTTTAGACTAGGAAGACTATGTACCATTAGATGGCCATTCGAAAGATAGGTTGCTAAGCAAGAGCCATCTACGGGAAGAGAGAACAAAAAAACAAGAAAAAAAAAACAAAAAAAAAAAACAGAAAACAAAAACAACTGTTACAATCTACACTTGAAATTATATTGTACATGCGAATGGGTTTTTTGTTCCATTTAGCGAGCACAGACTGCTGTTGTACTACTGTACTACTGTACTAGTGTACTAATGTTGTATTTTTATGGACCTTTCATCGTGATAGTTTCTGCCTTGACTGCAAAATCCATTTCCGATAATTGTATGCGATTAATGCAGCATTGATTTGCCACATCGAAGACTTTTGTTTGCTTTTCGCTAGCGATTACGATATATTGTCGATCGGTGAGTGTTTCCAGGCCAGTGCTGACGCTGCCGCTGATGCCGCTGCTGCTGGCGCTGCTGCTGCTGATGCCGCCGCCACCACCGCCGCCGATAGCGCCACTACCGGTCGCACCACCGCCAGCGCTGCCGCCACTGCCACTGGCCACTGCACTACCACCACCACCACCACCAACACCACCACCGGCGCCACTGGCACCACCAGCAGCACCACTGCCAGGTGCAGCATTGCCGCCACTACCGGCGGCACCCGCGCTACCAGCACCGCCGGCAACCGAAGTGTTTGATATTGTATTGGCAGTTGTTGGTGTAAATGTGGGACTGGTGCGGCTGCTACTCTTAGTGGGTGTGCCTACAGCGAGAGAGACAGAGAGAGAGAGAGCGTTGATTAATGCTATGTGTATTTGTGTAATCATTCATTTATTTACGATCTTTCTTATCCCTGTTCTCGTCGCGCCAAGGCTCAAATGTATAGGGTATGAGCGAGCCGTAGGAGTCTAAAAAAGACATGGAAGTAATGGAGCCTTTGAGCCGTACCACAGGACCGCCTACAACAATTAATTATAATCATCAGATATATATATATATATATATATATATATATATATAGAGTTTACCATTTATTGTGACCAAGACGGGCTGAGATTTGCGCACATCGCGCTCCGGCATTGTGATGAACAGTGTCAATATTGAACCGAAACTAGTTCCAATCCACAAAGTAGGAACGAGCGTCAAAATATCTGAAAATTACGAATTCAAATTGAAATGTCGCATTAAATCCATTGCATTTCAATATCGGTTTTTGCGCATTTGTACATTATGTTTTCTTGTTAAATCTATTTAAAATTAACAATGCATTAAATGTATTTTTGAAAATCGGTTCAGTTTCGACAAAGCTATTGCAGTGGACAGTGGATTGGATCCATCCCCATATGACAAATACTATATGTTTCGACCGATAATTTCAGATATCGTCATTCAACGGACAACGGATTAAATGGTTTAACTGTTGTCTACCCCCCCAAAAAGTACGCTACAAAAATACAAATTCTGAAAAGAAGTTGAGCATTATAATATACACACATATATAATATGTAATACTAATATGTAAAATATAGTAAGGAAGGTCAACTTACCATTGCGTTTTGCATAACTCTCGATAAAAGCTAGGCAGGTAACAGATTCAGAGGAAGACATATCAATGCTGGACATTGATGACGATCTGGATCTCGAGAAGGTACCATCCAATTTATCTGCAAGGCAGTTTTGTATGGGAAGCGGATCGATTAATTGATGATGCATGATATGTATTCATATATATATATATATATACATATATGTATATATATATATACATATATTTATGTATATATACATGTATGTATATATATATATATATATATATATATATATATAGGATATAACGGTACAGCAAAGAGAGTGGCAAACGATTACACAATACAATTGATTTATAGAGATTGACAGAATTTAGAAGAGGAAGGAAGAGTGTGAGAAATAGAGAGAGAGAGAGAGAGAGAGAGAGAGCGAGAGAGAGCGAGAAAGAGAGGAGTAGGAGCAGGAAAAAAAGACAGAGAGAGAGAGAGAGAGAGAGAGAGAGAGAGAGAGAGAGAGAGAGAGAGAGTAAAAGCGGCGGGCGGTAGTAGGCATAACTTCTGCTTATTTTAATTATTTGAATAGAGATTTGCTTTGGTTCTTATTTTTGTTTTTTGTTTTTGTTTTGATTTTTTTTGCTGCACTATTTCACTAGACTGCTAATTGTTATTCTATGTAATTGTGTCTGTATGTGTTTTGTGTGTATATATGTATGTGTGTCTGTGTGTGTGTGTGTTCAATTGATGCAGTAGGCCAATTACAGAAGGTCCTTCTTTAATTGCTTTGTGTGTGTGAGTGTGTGTGTGTGTGTGGCAGGCATGCCAATAAATTTGTTTACTTATGTGTGTGCGTGTGTGTGTGTGTGTGTGTGTGTGTATTTAGGTGTGTGTGTGAACTATGCAAAAATACTTTTCCAATGCAGAATACTTGTCGAGCTAATTTATATTTTTGTTGTTGTTGTTGTTGCAGTTAGTTGTTGCTGTTGCGGTTGTTGCTGCTGTTATTAATTGCTAATTAGAAGCGTGCACAAATACCGAGAGCGAGCGAGCGAGCGAGACAGAGATAGTGTGTAAGTGTGTGTGCGTGTGTGTGTGTGTGTGTGTGCGTGTGTGTGTGAATACAAATACTAAAACTTATTAAGAGAGAGAGAGAGAGAGAGACAAAGACAAAGTAGGAGAAATAGAAAGAGAGAGAGAGAGAGAGAGAGACAGAGCAAGAGCAAGAGAAAGAGAGAGCGAGACAAAGAGAGAGAGAGAGAGCGAACGAACGAACGAGCGGTAGTGTTGAGCGAGCGAGCGAGTCAGACAAAGCCGAAAGAATTCGTTTTTTTTGTTGTTGGTTTCTTTCTTATTTTTTTTTGTTTTTTTGGTTGGTTGGTTATTGCTTGTTGTTGTCGTGAACGAAAGAGGCGAACAAATGTGAGCGACATTCCTTCCAACAAAACCCACAGCGAAGACCCAATTCCCCACACACCCTGAATAAAGCTGCATCCATCCCTCCTGCACCCGCCAGCAACAAAAAAAAAGAAAAGAAAACAACAAAAAGAGTAGAAAAATTAAGAAAAAAATATTTAAAGTCAAAATGTGAACAGAAACCGCAAACAAAATTCAGCTGGCAGTCGTGTTTTTTTTTATTTTTGGCAAGGGAGGGGAGGGGCGGAAGGCTCTCGTGCTGCCAGAAGACAGATAGAGAGAATGAGTGAGAAAGAGAGAGAGAGTGACAGAGAGAGAGAGAGAGGAGAATAGAGAGGCAAACCACAGGCAACGTGCTGCACAGTGTGTGTGTGTGTGTGTGTATGTGTTGGTGAAGAGCGCGATAAAGTGCCATATCTGTGTAAGTGTGTGTGTGTGTGTGTGTGTGTGTGTGTGCGTGTGTGTGTGTCGAGTGCGTGTGCGTATGCGTGTGTAAAGGGAGTAATACAGACAACATTTTTGTATTGGTGTAGCGCACAAATACATCTATAAATATATATATATTTTGATATATAGAGATAGGGAGAGAGAGAGAGAGAGAGACAGAGTGTGAGAGAGGGATAGAGAGAGAGAGAGAGATTAAGAAGAGAGAAATGCTTGTTGTGGTGCAGTTTGTTGCAGTTGCTCTGTTTTTGTTTTTCTTTTCTTTTTTTTCGTTTTAATCTTGCAATACTAGTTGTTATAGTAGTTTGTTGTTGTTGTTATTGTTGTAGTTATTGTTGTTGTTGTTGTGGCTGTTAACAGTGCTCTCTGTTTGTGCTCTCCCACCTTGTGATTTGGACTTTTTTAGGGACTCGTACGATGTCACTGACTGCTGTTGCTGTATAACGGATGTTTGATGTTGTAACTGATGCTGATGCTGTATTTGATGCGGATGCGGATGCTGATATTGTTGTTGCTGTTGTTGTTGTAATTGTTGTTGTTGTTGTTGTTGCGCACCTGCTGCAGCACCACCGACACCACCACCGACACCACCACCACAATCGAAGCTGCCGCCGCAGCCGCCAACAGTTGTCAATGCATCAAACGCGTCAAAAGAAGCAGCGAAAGACAATTGCTGTTGCAGCTGTTGTTGCTGCTGTTGTTGTTGTTGTTGCTGTTGTTGTTGTTGAAATAATAGTTGTTGTTGTTGTAGCTGCTGCTGATCAACGCCGCCACCCGCACTACCACCACTACCAATACCACCAACACCAACACCGCCACTAGCAACACCCGCACCTGCATCGTCCGCACCATAAACGCCTGACGTCGACGCCGACGGCGCTGCCGCTGCATTTGCTGACGACGACGTCGACGCTAACACTGCATCGCTGCCAAGCGTCTGCTGCTGCTGCGCCTGCTGTTGTTGTTGTAGCTGCTGCTGCTGCTGCTGTTGTTTGTTGTAGCTGCTGCTGCTGCTGTTGTTTGTTTGCTGCTGTACTAGCTGCTGCTGCTGCTGCTGGCTGCCTTGGCATTCGCGGCTGATATTAAACGTTGCAGTTGCTGCGCTGCCGGCTCCGCCGTTGATCTGTTAAACAATAATAATAATTGGAGAGGAGAGAGAGATACACACAGAGAGGAGAGAAAGAGAGAGATAAATGCACTAAATGATTGAATTGAGCATTTCATTTCATTTTGTTCTTGTTGTTCTTGTTGTTGTTGTTGTTTTTCGGTTAATTGCTTTTCCTTTTTTTGTTTTGGTTTTTTGTTTTGCTATTGGTGTGCGTGTGTTCATGTTTATGGGTGTGCGTGTGCCAGTGTGTGTGTGTGCGTGTATGTGTGTGTTACAAATTGGAGCATACTTTTTGGTTTGTGGTGTTTATTGTGATGGGGAAAAAGGAGGGAAGCTCGCATTTGAACAGATGCCAAAGTAACGGTAAACTAAACGAATGCATAACGTATTCGTGTGCGTGTGAGGCTGGTGTGAGAATGTGTTTCTGTGTTTGTGTGTGTGTGTGTGAGTGTGCTTAGTTGGGTTCATGTGAGAGAGTGTATTACAATTTACAATATTGCCCGTTGCCCGTGTTTGTTGTTGTTGTTGTTGCTGTTGTGGTGCCAAGCAAACAAACGTGTGTGTGTGTGAGTGAAAAGCTTTTGCTGATGCTTGTGAGCTTAATGCAAATGAATTTATCGATGTTGACGTCGATGTGGGTGTCAGTGTTGGTGAATCTCGTAATGGTGCATGTGAGTAGAAATGAAGCAACAATTTTTATTTATTTTTTTTTTGTATATATTCACAACACATACAACAGAGACTTATTGACAAAGGTTGTAACAGAGAGACAGAAAGAGAGAGAGAGAGAGAGAGAGAGTGGCACAGAAAGTGGACGAACGGAGCGAGTAACAATGGCGGCTGGTGAGGGGATGAGACAGACATAAAGCACAGCGAAACAAAGAACGCACAAGAACAATAATTAAATAGTAAATAGTAAGTACATAACAATATGTGAATATATAATACATATATATGATAACAAAAAAAAATTAACTTCTTATAAAAAGAGCGCTAGAAATTGTATGACAGCTGTAGATAAGCGTGTATGTGCGTATGCATGTATGTATGTATGTATGTATGTATGTATGTATGTATGTATGTATGTATGTATGTATGTATGCATTTATGTATGTATGTATGCATGTATGTATGTATGTATGTATGTATGTGTATGTATGTATGTTGTATGAAACGATAAAGCAAAGCAATCTTGTATCGATATGTTTAATATATATGTATGTGTGATATGGGCATTATATGATATGACTTTATATTAAGTACATACATATACGTGTATATGAGAGTAAGCTTAGTAAATATTGTCATATTATTGGGGTTATTCTAATTGGTTTTTCTTTTTACAGTGTATGAAAGCAGCAAATAAAGCAACGGTTATCGCCGCTGCAAGCTTTTTATTTTTTGTTTTTATCGATAACGAAATCAAAGATTAAAAAGCTGAAACTAAAAAATATATATATATATATTTTATTAACATATATATAACAGAACATTTGACAAAGCTTTAAGGTGCTTCTACAAACACAATGGTAACTGATTGAAATGCGACATCGGTAGTTATCGACAGCAATATCGATATTTATCGACATCGAGCAATCAGTTTCAAGCATGAAATTGATTACCTTTTTTGTTTTGTTTTTTTTTTTTGCCAACAAGGAGTCAATATTGAAAACAATCGATAACAAATCGATTGAGTGGAAAATGTGGAACTTCAAACAGACATGTGACACACATATAGAGCGAACACAAACAAACAAAACACATACATACACATACACACACAGAGATATATATATGTGTATTTAACGATTTAACTTAACGATTTCTGATGTACATAATTACATAAATGTACAACATACAAACAGATTTTAACAATGGACCCAAGAGAAAATTGAGTTGCTTTTATAGTTGCGGTTTTTAATGGTAGTATGTATTGGTAGATTTCGGGTGGATAGGGCTGGCCGGCAGTACGCTGAATCCACAGGAATCTTAGTAAACTTAATGGTATATGCTGTTTATTCCTTATTATTATTATTTTTTGTTTCTATTTTTATTTTCTTCTTTTTTTTGTTTTTTGTTGATGATTAAATGAAGATGATTCATTTCATGTGGTTGATGGAATGCAATGGAACTTAGACAAACAAACGTGTTACGTACAACAGTCAATAACAACCCATTAAGTATAATATGGTTATTTCTATTTCTTCATTGCTTTTCTTTTCGATATATTCGGTTTTACAGTTTTTGCACAGTGCATACACATAGTATGAGGATTTTTTGGTGAAGAAGTAGAATGCTTATGTGTTTTTTTTTTACTTATTTATATCATTTTTAATTTTTTTTTGTGGATGGTAATTTTTGGTATTTTTTAGTTTTTTTTTTTTGTACAACAGTTATGCATACTAGTCTATAATTAGGTAATTATGTATATACACACATATGTATATATATAGGAGAGAGAGAGAGAGAGAGAGTGAGCAAGAGAGAGAGAGAGAGAGAGAGAGGTAGAGAGACACAGTTGTATATAACAATTTTATGTGTGTGCTTGTTTACTATTTTTTTGAGATGGATTTTAATTTTTTATATATTTTTCCGCCATTAGAATAGCCATTGCGAGGGCGGGGAGTGGGAGGTTATCTTAAGGGGGTTCACACTACTAGTTTTTAGTCTATATATATATATATATATACATATATATATATATATACATATATATATATATGTATATGGATGTATTATTGTGATTGTGCTAATCCTTCTTTATTGTACTCTTCTTCATCAACTGCTTAGTTTTGTTAGATTTTACTGGGTGTGTGTGTGTGTGTGAGTGTGTGTGTGTGTGCGTGAGGTGTTGTTGTGCAATGTGTATGATGGTGTTATTGTTGTTAAAATGAATTACCAAAGAACTTCCATACAATCACATACAGGCAGTTATATTGCAGCTCTTCTGCATCCGTTGCCTAGTTTCAGGAGAAAGAAGCATAGATAAGAATTTGATTTTGGAATTGAAATTTGTTGATTTGAATTGTTGTTTTTGATTTGCATTGTTATTGTTTTTTTTTGTTGTTGTTTATTGGTGCAAAACGATTTGTTCTTGCTTTTTGCTTTGATTGTTGTTGCTGTTGTTTTCATTATTTTATTTTTAAATACTTTAGTTGCTATTAAGCTATTATAAACAAAGAAAAAACCAACAAAAATCTCTACCAAATTTTCTCTATACAAAATGCAATTTGCAAAAATCAAAAATGAAGCAACCCCAACTAATCGATTCAATTCATTTGTTCATTTACAATACTATATATATATATATAGTACGCTCTCTAATTGGTAAACTTTTGAGAGGGGGGGGGGGGGGGGCGAGGGTGGATTGGGGGGCTTGGGGTTGGTGGCAAAGGGGATTGGTTGCATAGCTACAACAAAAATCTACAGCTTGCATACCAAATCATACAAAGCTATATTATATTTATCATATAAAGAGCACAAAGACATTATTGGGAGGGCTCCACACAGAGCAGTCCACATAGAGGGAAGGCGAGGATTTGTTTACTGCTTACTTGCCAAGGTACGCCCTGACGTACATCAAAACCAAATAAGTACAAACACAAAAGATAAACATAATAAAAGAGATAAGAAACCAAAGTAAATATATAAGTCAATAAATAAATAAATGCCCCGAAATGTTGACAACATGGTAAATCAGCAGCAGCAGTCAGTTGTGTTTATTTTGTGTGTGTGCTTGTTGTGTAAATATGATTTTGAGTTTTGACAAGTGTGGCGAGTTTTTTGCTTATATTAATTTTTTGTTGTTTGGTTTTTGGTTTTTGGTTTCTGGTTTTTGGTTTTTGTTTTTGAGACAAACGAATTTCGCTTACGCTTTGGACTCTCTCGCGATCGCTCTCACTAAACTGCAGCAACTATGCAATGCACAGAGCATTTTGATAAACACACACAAGGATGCACAGGGATACACAAGGATACACATCATACATCATACATCATACATACATCATGTATGCTTCTTCTTCATGACGCTTTCCTATCTGCTCGGGTCGAAGAAGGATTTTTTCTTGTTCTTTACACACGAGAGAGGGAAAGAGGGGGAGATAGAGGGGAGGGGGTGGTGGTGGTGGGGAGAGAGAGAGAGAGAGAGAGAGAGAGAGAGCAGTAGATCATACTTACGTATCTTTTTGGTTAGACTGCCGCTCATCTGGGGCGACACATCATTCTTGTTATTGGCCCGGCCAACATTTGCACCCATACTGATGCCAATGGCGCCGCCGGCTCGCTGCTCGCGCGGCTGATACTTAATATTCGGCACGGAGAGCAGCCGCTGATCGCGTGCCTTCTCTTTGAACTTTTGCCGCGACGGCTTTAATGGCGGCAACTGTTGCTGTTGTTGCTGCTGCTGCTGTTGCAGCTGTGATTCGCTTAACGGCAAATTGTTTGGCCTTTCGCCGCTCTCCGGCGGCTGTTCGAAGTCAACACGCTTTTGAGTTGTTGTCGCCGGCGTCTGCATCTCTCCCGTGCCAGTATCACAATTGAGAATCGCTGTGGCCGCAGCCAGGCCAACATCGTCCTCACAGCACTCGAGCGCCTCGGCGGCCGTTGGCAGCGTTGGCTGCTGTTGCTGTTGTTCATCGCCAGGGCCCGATTCCGGTGAGGTCTCCTTGGGCGCATAGAAAATGGCGGAGCTGTTCCGTATGGAATCGAGCTCCGTATTGACATTGAGGCTACCGCCTATTTTCATATTGACTTTAGATAATTGACGCTTCAAATTGAACGTTTTCCATGACATCGATTTGCGGCGATCCTGCAACTCTTTTGGCGCACCCCCAACGCTCTCGTCTCGCTGCGGACTCTTTGCTGCAGCAATGGCGGCCGCTGCTGCTGCCGATGCTGTTGCGGCGCCCAGCACCAATAATTCAGTGAATCTCTGGTGCTATTGATAATTGGCCCATGCTCACCGGCGACGCCCACTGGCGATGTAGGTCGCGAGGCGCCCTGCGATGTTTCAGCTGATGCCGATGCTGTCGAATTGGGTGCCGCTGATGTTGAGACATAGGCGGACATTGATGTTGCAGCCGCCTCATTTGCCTCGGGTATGAACTCAATCGATGGACTGTCCGGGCTAGTCGTATCGTTCAGCTATATATATATTTTTGTACATATATAGAATATTTATGCGAGGATGTGGGCAGTGGGCATTGTTGCCACAAGTTTTAACTACGATTCCGCTATCGTATACGTATATATATATATATATATATATGGTTCCTTAACACAGTGGGGCGCGGGCCGACAAAGCAAAAACCAAAATAAACATAAGGAACAAAAGCAACAGCAATAGTAGGGAAAGAGCAGTGCAACAAATATGAACGAATCCTAATATATCTGATCTGACCTGAACTCAATTCTATGACTGATGACCAGATTATTTTATATATATTAATAAATAGTGTTATATGACGACATTCCATATTTTCTGGCTTAGAGCCTTTGAATTATTCTCGCCTGTACATTTCGTTGTAGAATCGATTGGATAATATGATATACAAATGTATGTTTGACGTATGTTTGTTATAATAAATATAAGAGACTCAAAATGTTTACTTTGAAGAATTTAATATTACATTTTTTAAAATCGCATATCTATTCCATTCAGGTTTATTTTTTGCGTTTTCCAATATTATTATTACCAAGTCAAGTTTTGGAATAGTGTACAATTCTATATCGAATTAATTGTTTGATTGTGCAGTCTGTAAACTGCAAATATATATAAGGTATAGATATATATGGGAACCCAAGCTCAGATTGATGTTTATTCCAATTTAAGAGTTGCTCTTTCCTAGTTGCTGCTGTTGTTCTTCACATTTTTTACTTTCATATTAATTTATGCTTTGCTTTGTTTGCTTTTAATACCCTGGTATATATATATATATATATTTATTCTTGTTTTTTTTTATAGAGGCTTATATACTTATATATTCAGGAAATGGAGAATGGGGAAGATGTGTAGTTGAATCATTCCAACTGTACACACGCACATATATATATATATATATATATATATAACAATTAATGGTAGTATTCAAATGCGTTTTAAGGGTTAGGGTTAGGACGCAAATTTTAATTGGAGTTAAGTCAACGGCTTAGTGAAGCTGTTTTACGTATAACAGTTATAATTGTAATGCCACACACACACACACACACGCAGGCAGGCAGAATACAGAATCGATGAAAATTCATTCGGTTTAACATAATTTTTAAAATCTAATTGTATATCAATATAATATATATATATGTATTTATATCAATCAATCTCAATCAATATCAATCAGAACCGCTAACAATTGACTGTATGGTTTTTTGTTTTTAAGATTGGTTTATAATTTTGTTAAGATTTAGTTTAGTTTAGTTACGTTTTGTTTAATTTAGTTGGTTAGTTTTAGATGAATAGGAAGAAATGGTACATTTTGGTGGATTGGTATTGGCTGTAGTCGAAAAATATAGAAATTTATTTCTGTATGTATGTGATAAACGTCAGGCCTCACAATACAAAACAAACTAACACACACTTACATACATACATACACTAAACACGCACATCAATCAATCAATCAATCAAAGAAACGTGTCTGGATTTTATGTTATAGTTACTACTAGGTGGAGAGTAGAGAAATAAATGTTCTTATTGTTGATGTTAATTGGTATTGGATTTAAGGCTAAGATTTCTCGTAGAGAGAGACAGAGATAGAAAGCGACAGAGGGAGAGAGAGAGACAGAGTAGAGGTACAGTAATACAAAGAGAGACAGACAGAGAGAGAGAGAGAGAGAGAGAGACAGATAGTAAGAGAGAAAGAGAGAGAGAGAGAGAGAGAGAGGCAACAGGTGTGACACACACACACAACAACGTACAACAATCAGAACCAATCAATCAAATGACATATCAATGATGTTTCGTGGTGATTTGCGAGCGGTGAGATGAAAGAGCGTGTATTACAATTAAAAACCAATTAATTAATCAATCAATCAATGTCAATCGATGCAGCGTGCAAAGAAAAATGTTCATAATATATATGTATACATATATAAATATATATATAAATATATATTTATGTATACACATACATACAGATAATATGCATGTAAAAAAATTAATTTAAATTTCATTTTTTATGAAGAAAAAAAAACAACAATCAATCAATCAATTATGATTTACCATGCTTACATTTTGTGCGTTCCGTTTAAGTTTTTTTTTTTTCGTATCAGGGCAAAATTAATATCGATTTTAATAAGAAAGAGAGAGACAGATGTATACAAGTATGTATTTATAGACGGAGTGAGACAGAGAGAGAGAGAGAGAGAGAGAGAGCGCGTATTTATGAGTTCCCCAAGTGGAAAATTGAACCGAAATGGTTTGGGAACTGCAACTAGACTGCTTTAAATGGCACATATGTCAAAAATAATACATAAAACATATAATAAAACAAACTTAATCAAATCAAAATTAATTTTAATGCTAAAATACTGTCTTACAGCAAATTAAACGGAATTATCAAGTGCCAAAGAAGAATAAGAATTAGAATACCGATATTCGGTATATATATAAATATGTATACATATATATACATATATCTATATATACATATATATAAATGTATATATATATAGCTAGCTAGTTTTGGGAACGGTCTGGTCGCGAACGAAATGAAATACGCAAAAACATATAGAATTATAAGGAAGAGTATGCTAAGAATACTACTAATATATAAATTTAAGCTACGTAGATATTTATATTTAAATGTATGTATATACATATATATGTATATATAAGTATATGTATATAAATTACTTAGATGCTATAGAAAAGTGTGTCTAAATGTTTTTGTTTTTGTTTCTTTTTTTTTTTGGGCTTAACAATTTTGTATGTAGCTTGCTTGCATGTATGTGTGTGTGTGTTTGTTTGTTTGTGTGTGTGTCTGTGTGTGTATGGTACTGGATGTTTTTTGTTTGTTTTATTTTATCAAAAATGAGGGGAGCAAAATCAAAGGAAGTGTGTAATTTGTGTGTGTGATAGTCAATTTTTATTATAAAAAAAAAAAACAAAATACTGCACTTCAATCAAAATGCCAGACAAATGCAAATAAGTTATGTTTTTTTTTTTCTTTGCTTGGGTAGGTTTATAAGTAATATAGCTTAGTTAACTAATAAAAATGCGTTTGCTACAATAAATTAGCTTGCTTCGTTGTTAATCAATTATTAATGCATATATATATATATAAATATTAAATGATGTAAGTTGATTAAAATATAGTTAATGGCATTGTTTTTGTTGTTTTTATTAATTATTTGTTGGCTCAAATACAATTTTCAATTTGGTTGTTATATACATCAAATTGAAGCGCTATTTGTCTAACACTTGATGTGTGTGTGTGTGTGTATTTGTCTGTCTGTGTGTGTGTGTGTGTGAGCGTGTGTGTGTTTGTTTGTTTGTGTCAGTCACCTTGTGTGTATTGGTGTATCTGTGTATATTTCTGTGTATGTGTGTGTGTGTGTGTGTGTGCGTGTCACTGATTGAAGGCGGCAACAGCATTATCATTATTAACATCATCAGTCATCATGAATCATGATCAATTAACATTATCAATCATGATCAATCAGCGATGATTAATAATCATTTATTAGCGTTTAGCAGTTAAGAGCCAACATCATCATCATCATCATCATCAATCGTTATCAATCATTGTTATTATCAATTATGATCAATCAGCACTTACCTGATCTGAACTGGGCGAACGGCTTTGCTCCTCTTTGCTCTCAATGCGTTTTGGACTTTTTGGTGTTCGCGAGTAAGGATCGTGTGCGCCATACAGATCGGGACATGCAACACTCAATAGGCAAATTTTTTGGATTATATCAATTATGACAAGTCCGTATTCGGTACCATAAGCCATTCTAAAAACAGAAAAGAAAAGACCACGCCATCATGTCAACAAAAACAACGGCATCCAAAAGAAAATACCATACAACAAATCTCAATACTAACGAGTAAGTAAACCAAAAAAATCGAAAATAAATAAATTATAAAAATACCATACATTTTATATCTTATTTCGCAACGTTTACACACACACACACGCACACACACACACGCGGGCAGGCACTAAAGTCCGTATGTCTGTATGTCAGTCATGCCGTTTGTCATTCTGTCTAAAGCTCAATTAAATCTTACTCTAGCGAGTAGCGAATAACAAGTGACGATTAGCGAGTGACGAGTAACGAGTAACTGCTTATACCCGTTCTAGCTGGCAACTGTTGCAACTACTTCTTGCAAATACACAACGCAAAACTATAATCAAATAATATGAACACGTACTCTAACAAGTGGCGAGAGTCGAGCAACGAGTGGCGAGAGTCGAGCAACGAGTGGCACTCGTTCTACACAACACAGAAAATAAAAAGCACAGTTAAGCAGGTGCGCAGAGCTATCGTTGAGTCCGTGTTTTCGAAACGGGGGAATTGGGGGTTGTGGGTTGGCTTTCGACTAGGCTTTACTTAGTAGTACTTAGTAGTCAGGCGCTTTCATAAAACGTCATGCACAATATACGAATACAAACTACAAATACTGCACTAATTATTTTTTTTTTTTTTGGTTTCTATTTTCTTATTATAGTCCGCGTGTGTCCGTGTGTCAATTTAATGTGTGTGTGAGGGCGTGTCAGGGTGTGTGTGTGTGTGTTTGTGTGTGTGTACGACTATGGAAAGTGTATGGCTTAAGGCTATGAACTAGAGCTACTTACAGGCCATAACTAGAGTTGATGCACAACGAGGTAACCTGCACGGTTCGACGATTCGGGCCCGTTGTGAGACAAACCAATTGGGATTGAAAGCCCGGCGGCTTGCGCTGAGCACCAAAACGTACCTTAAGCGTGCACTCCGTCTACAAAATTAGACATAATGTTAAAAAGTACAAAACTAAACAACAAAAGACAACATTTAAATAAATACATATGTGGGCATTTCCAAAGAAAAACAGAGAAAAAAAACCAAACGGAAATGCTGTTCAATAAGATCTTTGATATCATTGAGATATTTGCTTTACATTTGTATTTCTTGCACTTATTCGATGATATCAGCTATAAGCAGAGTGTCAAATCGAAACCGAAATTGGAGCCGCATGTTTACCTATTGGAATTCGAAATCGGAATCAGAGTCCAAATTATTATTTTCTAAATCAAAATACCTGCTCGACTATTGGTGCTGATCAAGAACATATGTATAATATTTTATATGTCTATAATATTTTATATCTCTACCTAAAATTTTATATATATATACATGTGTGAATATATATACAAATTTTATGTAGAGATATAAAATGTAATAATTGGGATACCTGCTCTGCGACCTTCTAGATCTATTGTGCTCCCTACTGAGCCTACTGTTCTCCATCAATCCAAGCTAATACACGAATGCTAGAATCTTTGTCTTTGAATCTAGACACACCTATGCTAGGATGTGCATTGAGCGGTCTTCCTCAATTTCACAAAACCTGCAAAAACTTCGCTACTATAAACACCTAGGTTTAGTAAGGTGACTTCTTCGGCTAAGTCTATTCTTTCCCATGCTTATTACTTGCTTAAGTCGTTTAAGATTATAACCACACAAAAGACATCTGGCTTGTCGGAGTCCTTGTGTCTCTGCCCGGCTCGGTTGTCGCCTCTGTCTTTCTTCGTTTCTAAAAGTGGTAATTGAAACCTAAATTTCGTTTCGGTTTGACAAAACTGGTTATAAGGATTTCTGGGACTTTAATAGTTTTTTCGAAATGCCCACAAAAGATGAAGAATAGGAAGTGTATTTGTACCTTATCCGAATCACTTGATTCGGTCTTCTGCACCTGGTGTCCGGTAAGGAAATCGCATTCGGGACTGGTGCCATAGATGTCATCAAAGTTCTCATAGAGTATTGGTATCTCCAGCACCAGAACATCCGATGTGGACTCGACCTTGCGAAATTTGAACAACATTACCTGACCCATCGCGCCGGCGACGCACAAGCGACGCGACTCCGAGCATAAAAATATCAAATGCACTGCCAGCGGATTATCGCTGTCCGAGTGGCTAACATGACGCGGCTTCTCAAACATCTTCGCCGTCTTTAATTTGTACAAAATCTACGAATTCGATCAATCAATGACAAGTTTTATTTACTATAGTTGCTCAATTGTTTTTGTGGTTGTATTGGATATGTACCTGAAGTGTGCCAGCGCCAGAGTCCCAGAACTTGAGGCTGCCATCCTGATGGCCAGTGATGACAATCTCCGAGTATGAGCACGAGGCTGGTGACCATTCGCCCCCCGATATGGGCCATTCACGCTCCGAGAAGCCTGTCTTTTTACTTGTCGTTGTGCGACCAACCTGCGATAGAACCAAACAAATCAAAAAGAGTGAGAGAGATAGATAGAAGAAGAGAGAGAACATTAGTTGAGAAGAAGCACAGCAGATATGATCTTAAAATGGGGATCCCTTCAAAGTGTCTGTCAAAGTTAATCTACCACTTGAACAATTTAATATAGATGTTGGCACTTACGGAATAGAAAGCAGGAACCAAGTCCGATGGGCAATCGGTTAAATATGTGCAACATGTAACAGGTGATTCGTGTAAGTCCATTGGATAAGGCGATTCAAAACATGGAAAACCGGGCGTTAATAAGTCTATTAATACTAAGTCATATTGAAGCAGCACAGCTATCGCGTACGGTTCCTGGGTTTCTGTATATCCAAGAGACAAAAGTTGATATAAGCTAAGCTTGAAAAATGCTACCTCAAATAAGATCGTACCGCAGGGCCAGGGATTCTCGCAGAGTGTAATGAAATCGCAAACGGCATGCTCCATTTCCAAAACGGTTGTAGTCTTGCCAACCATAACGGTGATGCAATTCGACTTTGAGCCCTTCTCCGATGGCATGCCACCTGAGAATATTGTGAAGGTTTCGCTAAGCGACAGAGTAGAAGGAGAACATGATAAAAAGAGGTATAAATATATATATTTTTTCGAAGAGAATTTAAGAGAAAGATAATTACCCAGTTGCGCTTGACTTCAAGTCAACTTTATAAATCGGTTTACATTTATCCGTATTGCCATCCTTGTTGATTTTCGCTGTGGTATCAAAGATTCATCATCATAAATTTACAAGCAATAGTAATAAAATCACTTACCATGCGGACAAACTTGCGACTGCGGCTTGGGCTGTGGCTTGGTTGGCCAAGAGCAAATCGAGCCATCTGTGTGCGATGATACAAAATATTTGCCCTCGTAATGCCAGGCCAAAGATTTAACAGCCTCGGCTGCCTGCCATCGTATTTCAGCGCATTTCACTTTCAGATCCCACAACACAAGCAGCCCACACTCAAATGCAATAAGCAACTGTAAACAATAAGTTGCATTTGAGAACTTTTGTTGCTATTGTTGCTGCCACTTACCTTGTTTGCATCCAATGGATTATCACATAACGCAATCACAGCACCTGGATGACTAGTTCTAACCCTATAAGAAAGAAAATTACAAAAAAAGGAACCGTATTACATCTCGGGCAATTCTGGGAATTCCGAAAAGTATGCAATGCTTTTGATTTGCAATAAATATATTTCTGATTGCGATAACAGTGTGATCTGTTTAAGATTGCATTTCAAATGATAATTGTGTACTCACACTTCAATTGCTTTATTCCAGTTAATAATATATCCACTAAGTGCAAATGTATCTATGTGAACGACGTGTATGTTACCCTTCTCGGTGCCGACGTACAGCCATTTGCTGCCAACCGGCAAATGTATGCAAGTGACTCTGCGATATCGATAGAGAAATACTATTTAAGCTCTATTCAAATATATATATATATATATATATATATATATATATAGGTTCAATCTATTCTTCTTACCGCTCGCGCTGAAATTTGAGGCTCTGCACAATGCGTGGCGTCTTTTGGCGTATGTTCCACAAGTGAATCGTATCATCGGCGGTGACAGTGACCAATGCGCCCTCATTCACCAAGAATTGGGCAAAGAGGACAGCGCACTCGGATTCACCCTCGTGTTTGGCATGCGCATCGACGCCAGGTCGGCCCAATCTATTAAACATCAACAACAAAAACAGAAAACAATTTAAATAAATCTATTAATTGTATGTAAAACTCTAATTACATTTATGCAATGCACGATCTTTTTTTTTTTCCTTTTAATGCTCTCAACGCAAAATGAAACAGTTTGAGAAACTTACATGCGTATATAGCCAGATTTATCACCAATCGCTAATAGTTTTTGTACTGGATCGAAGGCAAAGGATGTGGGTGAGTATGGAAAGCCATGGCGAAAGGTCTGTAAAATAGAATTGGGTATTTTGAATCGAAGCATATATATATATATTTATATATATATATAAATATGTAGTATGTATGTATTGCATGTATGTATGTGTTATAATTAAGCACACTTTTATTATTATGCTACTTGTAATGGTACGTTGATTGTTGAACGGAACTGTGATAGCCGCGTGTGTCTTATGATAGATTCGATTTTAGTTACAACTACCAAATAAAACATACGCAGGCTACAACAGACGTCAATTTTTTGGGCAGACTTTCTACTGGATAGCTAGCTTTAAGTTGTATGTTTGATGTTTTATGCTTGATGTTTGATGTTTGCTTACTTTCTTTAGGGTGAAATGATCGGCCTTCAGTTGCTCGAGAATTTCCTGCTCCTGGCGAATGGCCTGCGGCTGAACGGTTTGTCGAAATCCATCCAGAACTCCTTTAAATGTGAACTTTTTCATTTTTCTAACATGAGTCGTCCTCCGCGTGTTCTGCTGCTGCTCCTGCTGCTGCTGCTACTACTTTCAAATGTTCTCAAAAGTTTATTGATTGGAGTTTTGATAGCAGTTGAGTCCTAACGATGACCGCTCTTCGTCTTTGTCTTTTAACTAGTCGTATTTAAAAGGATTTTGATATTTATTTTTGGTTTTGAGATATTGAGATATTGAGCGACTTCCGTCGATATCCGGTCAAATCGAGCTGGGCTTATTTGTGAAATAATTTTTCGATTTCTTTGCTGTTAGTTTTTGTCTCTTCTTCGTCGTTTTTACTTTTAACGGATTGTTTTTTGTTGGTTTGGGGAAGTGAAACTAGGTTAGTAATAGTCCAATTAAGAGCTGCAATCATAATCAGAACAGGCAAAAATAGCAAAACGCATTAGTTGCAAAGTTTTGTTGCATATGGCCTTAATGGATTGTGGCCACACATATACACACGCACACCACAACCCCATTGTATTTAAGAATCTGATGATGATGCAATAGCAAAACCCAACTAACAACTAACATGCACACACACACACATACACACATGTGAAACAATTGAGCGGAATTGCATTTCGCTTTAGAGAATATAAAAGAAAACACACCGACAGAATTGCACAAAATCGTTAGCATAGTTTTTAGGGCGCATCAAAATAGCGTATACCCATCTTCTCCCTCCATCCGTTTTAGGAGCCATCAAAGTGCAATTTTCTTTGATTTCTATACAAAGATACGATTTACGACAGCTTGTGTAGCATATGGAATTCACTTTTGTAGCAAATTGATCAAAAACAAGCATAAAATCAAAAATTATAGCACAGAAATTAGAGTCCTAGTTGTATTGTAAATAGTTAAAAAAAAAATTGGAAATTGGAATTGTGCAAAAGTGGATTATAGAGCATAAATGATTTGTTCAGTTTTAATATTAACTTGTTGCTTTATGCCCAATATTCAGTAAATTATATTCATTTCTAGTTTATATATATTTATATATACATGAAATATATATATATATATATTTTATGCCTTATATATATTTGGAAGTTATTCGTGAACACATATTAAGCTAGTATTATGTGTGTGTTAACATATTTTATGCGCAAATTGGCTAAACAAAAGATTGGTTCCATCCGAATGCAATCAAAAGATCAGCTTATTAAAGCGTCTATCGATACAGCGATAATATAATATAATATAATATAATATAATAACGCTAACGTTAACGTTAACGACCGCTTTGTCGCCTGGCCACAGCGACGACGATAAATTAATTGAGGCACAAGCCGCGCTCAAGTGCCATCTTCATTCTCAATGCAATGGCCGTTGAAAAGGTGCTTGCTATAAAACGAGCAGCGGCGCTGCTTTGTGCTGCCTGTGAGTGCTTGAGTGCGAGCGAGCTGGCAATAAACAAATGGCAATGGGGGATGGTAATGAGGTTGTTCTGCGCCTGTGTGTGTGTGTGGTTGGCCTGTAAATGCGATAAATGTGCTGATGACTGTGGGGTAGTCGTGTCAAGAGTCAAATGTTAAATGGATTTAATTGAAAATCGCTGTTGCCACATTATGTTGCACAACCAAACAAACAAGCACACACAATGGAGACCTATGGCAACACATCAAATATGTGGGCTATATTTTTGTGTGCACATATGTGTGTGTGTGTGTGTGTGTATGTGTGTGTGTGTGTATTTGCACTTATTTTTGGGATGGCACACAAATCGATTTTTCGCACACACATCGTTGTCGACATGTTGCTGTTTCTTATTTGCAATTGTTTACGCTTTGTCAAACAAACACACACACACACACACAAGCAAACAAAAAAGCGCCGATAAACGTGTGTGTGTATGTGTAGCCAGGACACACGAGCGCGCGCAACAGTAAAAAGTGAAAAGCAAATCGCTGGCATACTTTAAATTTAATTTGCGCAAACAAAAAGCACAAACAGACACACACATACACATGGCGGCGCCTGGGCGACGGCAGAGTGTAATTTAGCTGGCTGCTTTGTTTTTAATGACGCTCTCTGTGTATGTTTGTGTGTGTGTGTGTGGGAGTGTTTATATATATAAATATGTGTGTGCATGGAGAGAGGGATTTTGTCTTCCCAGCCATATATATATATATATGTGAGTGTGTGTGTGCGAGATAACCTCGATTTACAGATTTTTCACACACGCAAAGAGCTTTTCTTTCTTTTTTTTTGCGCACTTCTTTCATCTTTCATTTGGCTTGTTGCTACTCACTTGGATTTACTACATTTTTATTTGTTCGTTTGGCGCCTTATGTTTGCACCCCCCGCGCCCCGGCCCCTGCACAACAACAACAAGAAGCACACGAAAAAAAAAGCAGTTGAGAAAACTAACTACACTTTTTTATCTGCAAAGTTGTGCTCAATTTAACTGTTTAGCATTGCATAAAAAAAAAGAAAAATACAAAAAAAAGAACTGCGGAATAAATAGTTTTTTCTTTTACACACACATATATTATGCATAAATGTATTATTATTATAATTTTGTTGTTAGTCTTTGAATTTTATTTTGTATTGCATATTCAAGTTGAAGTTTGTTTTTTTGCACAAATAAACAAAAATATGTATATCAATTGATTTTTCACTAGAAAAATACACACACAAGAGCACGCATACACATACGCGTACACATACACATACAGAGACGGAGACAACGACAACGACAACGGCAACAAGACAAATGGCAAAAAAAAAACCTAGACGAAGTCGAAACTCAAATGTCGGACACACGGGGATATGTAAGACGAGACAAAATGCTGCTGGTTAGCTGGTTAGTTGGCTACTGGAGCTGCTGCTGCTGCTGTTCAAGTTGAGCCTGAAGCTGCTGCTGAGTGGCGTCGTTTTTGTCGTCTCTATGTATGTGAATGTGTGTGTGTGTGTGAATGTGTGTATGTGAATGTGTGTGTGCGTTTGTGTAAAAGCATTTTTTTGCACCTTGGTTTGGCGCACGCGAGCAAATTCACGAGAGCGAACGAAACTCTCTCTCTCTCTCCTAGGACGAGAAACTTTTGTCAGTGTGCCAACCCTGGAGCTTGTTTGAGTTCTCTCGCTCTCGCTCTCGCTATCTCTCGTTCTCACTTTCGCTATGCTGCCCTGCTGTCAGCTACAACAGCTGCACACAGCATGGCACGCGCACACACACACACGCATACACACACTCTATCTCTCGCTCTCTCTCTATTTTGTAGGTGGTTAACATTTGAGAGCTGTTATTGACAGTAAAACACATCAAATTACTGTTGCATAGCTTGAGGGCTTCTGATTGATTTACAGTTACAACGAAATGCTTATGCTGATTCCGTTACAATTTATGTGCACTCATTTTTCTTTCCTTTTTCTTTTTTTTTTTGTATCGTTAACCATGTGTACGCAAACGTATGTCGGGCGTGCAAGTGTGTGTGTATGTGTGTGTTAGTATACGTAGTAGTTGGCCAATGCGCATGCTTACGCTAATAGGCCAGGACGAATACAATGTGATTCGTGGTGAAACTGTTTTTTTTTTGTTTTGCGCGCGGTCACATGACTCGAATCGAGTCCCCTACACACATACACACACACACATATATATATATATATATATATATGTATATATATATATGTATATACAAATCTGTTGAGGTAGCGAGCAGAAAGCAAACAAAGACTACCTATTCCCCCCTCCCTCTAACTAACCGAATCGCTGCCATTACGCCTCGCAGTAGGCTATGATTTTTTATTTAATTATTTATGTGCATGCTTTGCATTAGTTGACACATTTGTTAATCCAACACACACACACAGACACACACCCATACATACATGAACTATTTAAATTCGTTTACGTTTGCGAAACATTTGTGTAGAAGAAGGAAACGTTGCACGTTATTTGGCCAAAAGGAAAGTCGAAACTGAACATCCGCGTTGCGCTCAACACTTTTGCTGCTGCGACAGCGGCTTCCGCTGCTGCTGCTGCTGTTTCTGCTGCTGCTACGGCTGCTGTGTGTATGTGTTAGAGTTGAGCGCGTGTCGACTTTGTATTTTATATTTTTAAAAAAAATGTATATATAAATAATAATAATATAATATTCTATAAATTTGGATCATATCATAAAATTATTGTAAGCTATTATGCCTTGGAAATAATTTGGCAATTCATACAAGGGTAAAAGTCTTTTAACTTTCGGCAGTTAATGTTTCTAAAAAATATATTATGAAACAATTAATTAATTAATAATTTTTTTTTTAATGTTTGAATTATCAATCATTTTGTAAAATTTTATTAAAATTGAGCTATGGAAATTTGCAATTTAAATATAAAGAAAAAAGCGAAAATCTTCTCATTCGTGACGTGTTGACGCTAATATGCGACACGCGCCCATCTCTAATACGTACCGCGCAGTTTGAGCGCGTACATACATACATATGTATGTGTATGTATGGATATGCCCAATACAATACACCCCCCCCCCCCACACACACACACATAGACATACACATACACACAGAGACTTGGTCAGCTTGGCAGCAGTTATGCAAAGCAGCGTCGCCTCGATTCGCGTCGCGTCGTTTTAGGGTTGTCGCAGAGCAGAGCTTTGATTTGCGTTTCCTTTGGGCCTAGGCCTAGTGCGGAATTTGGGCCAATCGGCAATCCTGTGAAGCCATGGCCTGGAATCAATACTTGTTGTCCTCCACACATACACACACGCGCACACACACAACACGTACACATCGAAAAATTTAATCAACTCAAATGTAAATACACACACACATCCAGCTCATCATAATACAAAAAAAAATTTGCATTGAAATTGTAATGAGTTATGCCGTAAAATGTGCTCAACGTGCTCTCCACAATTCTCCACACTCTCCTTGCCTTGTCTAATAATAACAGTTAGGCAGGCAGGGCGGCCATATTAATAACAACTCTCGCAAACACCGACACACACACACACACGCATACTGAGCTGTGTATGTATACACTCGACCCATTAACACACAGAAAAGTATGCAATAAAAAGGAGAAGAGAATAAAAAAATGGCACAAGCTCTTGCGTCATATGCGCCCAGGAATCATCTTGGAATCGTGTTTTGCAAATACGCACACACACTCAAGCATACACACACACACACTCACACGCACACTTTATCATCCCAATAAAAAACTTGTTGGGCTGGCACGCGTCGAGTCATCCACCAGCAGCAGCAGCAGCCTCTGTCGCAGTCGCAGTCGGCGGCAGTTGGCGGTCTGTTGATAGCAATATGAGGGCGCCATAAACAAGAGGGCGATGATGGTATTCACCCCCCTCCTCACCATTACTTGTATATGTGTGTGTGTGTATACATACATATTTAAGTGAGATTACAAAAGAATTCATCATTTTAGTTTAAGTGATTCATTGAGCTGAAATAGCTGAAATCATCTTAATAGTTTTTTTGCGACGCTGACGCTGACGTCGACGTCTGCTCTGCTCTGTTCACACTAACACACTCACACACACTGAGCAAACATGTTGTCATTTTTATCACCATATGCATATTCTTATACACACACACTCATACACGCATATGCGCAGATATAGATTGTGTATTGTAAAATTTACGAAACAAAAAAAAAACAAAGAAGAAAAAGCGCAATAAGCTGACGCTGCTGCGGTCAGCACGTTTCTGCCTTGCACAATTCACAAATACGTCAAATATAACATCATCAGTAACAGCAACAACAACAGCAACGGGAACGGGAACAACAATGCCACTCAAATTCCACATCATACGACACCCCCACAAAATGCGCCCACCTGTTTCATTGCGTTGTTTTCAACGTTGACAACTGCACGCGTGGCCAAATTATTTAATGCAATGCGTCGTAATTACACTTTTTTTTTATTTTTTGGCGTAATGCAACTTTCGCACCTGGACTCCAACGTGCAGAACTTTTTTTTCCTCTTCAGCAATAGTTGACAAATCACACAGAGAAATCGTGTCGCGTGAAGCTTCTTCATACAACTGAAAACGACAAGTAAACAAACGTAATTTGCGCAACGTGAAGCTAACATAATATGTTATATACCTAACAGTGGCGTAATGTGCAAAATCAGCCCTGCAAACGCAAATCGGAGCAATTCAGCTAAAAATGCGCAGCGTTAGCGCACACTGAGTAACATAGATACGTAAGCGACACAGTCTCTGTTAAAAGATAAGTTTTATTTTAAAAATGCAATCAAAAAAACTAACGTACATATATTAAAGAAAGCAATGCAAATTTGGTATTCAAAATGTATGATTGATGATAGTAATAATTTAATGGCTACAACAGTTTGTAAAGCATACTTACGGTTAAGATCAGAAATCAATTTTAAATTGTTATATTTCAAAATTTTCAATAAGAAACCAGTTCTTATCCTAAAAACTACAATGGTAAAATAAATTCACTAATGTCGAAATTATCGAGCACATTCGAGTACTATTTAGATTTATAAAACTGTGATAATACACTTATTATGCTTATGTATATACAATAATAATAATAATAATGATAATTATAAATTGCTTGCTATATATATATATATTTATAAAAAGAATTATAGAGTATGCACTGTTGTAAAATAGTGCAATTTATGTAAATGAGCTAAGGGCACACATACATATATACGAGCAAAGCGATTTATAGATTAAAAGGAGCAGTGCGATGCTGCTGACTCCGCTGACTCCGCGACAGATTCATAGAAACAGAAACAGGAATTCTCGTCAATTCGAGATGAGTATATTTGGCTCAATTGAGTGCAGGACATTGAAGCCCTTGTGTAGAATGCAGGTGCGCAGAACGCCGCAGGCGACCAAAAAATGCGAGAACTGCAAGCAAAATAAGGGATTAATGATGAGAATCGACTGTATAAGATAAGCTGAAAAATAACAAAGATTCCAAGTACGCTTGCAGGTGGGATTTGATCAAGATATCTTAAAAATCCAACTCGATTTCAACATCATCTCGAGCTAAGTCGCCTTCCGAATTCTGACGTGTAAATTACATTTCATCAGGTTCAAAATTTTTGATTAATCACAATCGAATGGCCCCTGCAAGCGTATATAGATTATACAGATTCGATAGTTAAACCGACCTCGACGGCATGCTGGTGAATGTTGCTGACACATACGACAATCCGCTGGCGCAGCTGCTGCTCAAGATGGGGCACATTGAGCGCTTCGAGACGCTGTTCGCCGAGCAGCACCGTCGCAAACGGTATATTGATGCTATGCGGCACATAAACACGCGAATATTCCACAACGCTGCGCAGATCGATGAGGGCAAGCTGATCGGGTGCATGCATCAGCAGCTGATGCACATCCTTGGCACTGATGCGCGGACACTGCTCCATCTGCAGATGCTTTAGCTCCACATCCGCCTGTCCAATGTCCTGCTTAAAAGAATGAATTAGAAATGCAGCTAAGAGATCAGGCCCAAGGGGTGGGAGAGTGGCGGGACACATACCAATACATGTGGCAGCTGGGTGCGCAGAGCGTGCTGGCGATGCGTTATGCTCTTTGGCGTACACTCGTACATCTTCTGCGATTCGATGACACAGCTCTCCATCACAATGTCGGGCAGATCGGAGAAGAGCAGTATGCACTCGTTGAAGCCAGAGCTGAGCAGCGTGCTCTTCAGCTGCTTGAGTATCGCGATGCCAATGAACAGCGGATACGAACTGTCTCCCAGCATCAGTTTATCCCACAGATGCAAGATCTTGTGCAGCGGAAACACGTCTACCAATATAAATCAACTAATCAACAATTTTGTCTTTTAAATAAGTTCATACAAAAAAGTATTACAAACATTTTAAATAATTTAACTCTTTTATATATACTTACATATACTTGCTTATATATATATATATATATTCTTATTCTTATACGTACGTGAGAACATGGTCAAAAACCAGGGTATCGCAAACAGTTCCGGTATAAAGTTAATGCTCGCTAAATGCTGTGCCAGCAGCGGTTCATGAAACGCGCTCAGCTGTGAGAATTTGCTCAGATACTCCTTAATAATAGCCGAGTTGTCCTTCAGGAAGAACCACTGCAGATATTTCGGTATGAATCGGAACAGACTCAGAAATGCAAGCTCTGAAAGTGAAGAGAAACGGATTGAAATTAACTAAAATGTCTTGCATCATATGTGAATAATATTAGATATATATAAATATATATCTGTATGTTTATACATTAGCTATGTTAATTAATTAATTAAATTTAAGTACACTGACAAGCTAGATAATTTAAGCTAAATATACACAAAATTAATGTCTTGTATCATATGTAAATAATATTATATATATAAATATATATCTGCATGTTTATACATTAACTAATTCAAACTAACTTTTTTCAATTATCTAGAACTGATAATAATAGTACGCACCCTCATTGTTAAAGTTGAGATAGAGAAATGGGGCGGTGAGCGAGTCGAGGCCTTGCCAGTAGACGTACTGCGGATGGGCGGTTACCCAGGCTTTGAGCAGCCGCTTCAGCTTGCGATGGCCATCCGGCGAGGAGAGCAGCTCATCGTACTGATGACAACGCGGTATGTCCACCTCGATCTGGCGATCCGTTGTCGTCGTTGTGAACTTATCGATTTTCGCATAGCTCGCGTTCGGCAGGACACCGAGCAGGGCCGCCCAAATGGGTCCGCGTAACAGGGGCGGTATATCGATGGCTGCCTCACGTTGCAGCTGATCCGCAGTGTGCGGATAGCCGTGCAACAGGCGTGTAAATAAACGCACCCGCCGAAACTGATACTCAATGTCGCGTTCCCGTATCAGTAAAGGCAACTGTTGCTGTTGCTGCTGTTGTTGCTGTTGGTGTTGCTGCTGCCGTTGGTGTTGCAGCTGCTGGCGTGGCATATGCAACAGGGGGAAATAAACACTGGCAGGCAATCGACTGAGCCGCTGCAAAAGTGGCTGCATTTTCAGCAGCACCACACGCTCATCCATCAGATGCGATTGGCTACGCGGCGGACAAACGCTTTCGCCGCTGAGCCGCACAATTTGTGGCAGAGCCAAAATGGGCGCCTCGCTGCGTATGAGGCCCTCCTTCTTGAGCTCCGCCTGCACATCTCCGCCGGCCAACTGCCAAAGGTGATAGATCTGGGCGAGCGGGCATCGCAGCAATAGTGGAATCGCTTGCGCCGGTGTCGCCATCAGCAGCTCCTGGCTGGAGTGCAGTTGGGCAAAGGATTTGTGCGCAAGCAACTCGGCGGGTAGTGGACGCTGCGCTGGCCGCACACTCAGGCAACGCTCGAGTAGCTCACGCACATCCAGCGGCATTTGCTGATAGCGCTCAAGTCGCTGATGTTCCCTCGCAATTTTCTCCAGAATGCTAGTGCCGGCGTTTCGAGTAAACGCCAGCAACTTCCACGCAATGTTGCTGAGCTTGAGCCGCGGCCAGAGTTCTGTTTGCAACAGCAGTTCCAGCATTACCATGGCCCAGGACCAAATGTCGCTTTTGATGTTGCCATTGGCGCCAAGTAGACGCTCGGGCGCCATATAGCGTACATTGCCAATGGGAAAGGGCACATAGGCGCCGCCTTTTGTCATGTGATGCAGCCCATAATTGAAGAGCTTGACGCGCACAGCTCCGTCAGCACCATCAGCGCCAGCCCGGCAATCAAGGAGTATGTGACGCGGCTCCAGATTATGCACGACCAACTTGTGCGCATGTAAGACATCCAGGCCGCTGGCCAACTGATAGAAAATGCTCCAGATTTGTGTGTGGCTTAGCGGTGCATGTGCGTGCCGCTTGACATGCTCCTCCAGTGTACAGCCCACATACTCCGAGACAACAATGGTGCGCTCTACATATATAAATAAAAACATATATAAATATATATGGGTGGTAGAAGAAGATGGGGATTGTTTGTTGTTACCATGCTTGCCGCGAACCACGTCCAAGTACTGACACAAATGCTCATGCTGCAGTTCCTTCAATCGCTGGGAACGCCCCAAAATTGCTATCGAATTGGGCGTTAGGGGCAGACCATTGCTGCCGCAAACGTCGCCTGGATGCAGCTTGGCAAAAAATGTGATGGCGCAGAGGCGGCGTGTCTCCAATTTGGCTGTCGTTGTGCCGGCAGCAGCCATTTGATGGAGCAGGGCGCAGCCAGCGAGCAGCAACAATTATTTGCCACTCGGCAGCAATCAGCTGGTTCAGTGTTATCGCTTATCGATTGGCGCTTAAAACAATTTTAACAACACTAACTGACTGCCTAACTGACTGACTGAGCATTGCGCAACACTGCAACAAGTTTGTTTTGTTGTACTCTAAGATAATATAGCTAATGAGACTTTCTTAGTAACAATGTAACACAATACGTAAAAAGTAAGCTGAAATAAAATAATTGAAAAGAAAGCACAAAAAGTGCATACACATTCGACATTGCTTAATCTTTTTTTTTTATATGCGCACATCATTTATTCGGCAGATCAGTTTGTTAGGGTATTCGATTGTTGCATTAATTATCATTTCCGTTGTATCTTGTTTTCTTTTTTTTCGCATGCGCTACTCTTGTTGCTGTTGTCTTTATTGCGCACTCGAAATAGTTTCGGTTTCGTATTGTATACAAAAAAACAAACAAAAACGAGGCGTCGATATGGCAATTTTGCAGCAACTTGAGCGCAGTTAGTCGACAACGGCGCGCATTGCACTGCAAACAATTGACAAGTGGACAAGTGGACACTGGACAGTGGACAAGTGAATTGAATTGGCTTTCATTGACCTCGTTAGGTAGTCACAAACAGTAATGTCGTTTCTGGTGGAGTACACGGAGCCCCTTTGGCGGGATTTAGATATGCGCGCATTGCGCGCCGACGAGGCCTATTTGTATCTCCACACGCAATATGCCGCACGCAGCTATCTCTATGCTCTATCCGATGAATGCTATACGGTATGTTTATCAATCCCGCCATATTGCATTTAAAAGCTTTGCTTATTGTTTCTTATTGCTTTTTGTTCATTTTGTTGTTGTTGTTGTTGTTGTTGCAGTGTCCGTACAGTAAAGTGAAAGCTCTGCCCGCTGCTGCGTCGCTGACTACGCTGGAACCGTTAAAGCTCAGCACTGCAAACGCTTTGAGTTTCAAAATTTATGCACACGATCAGGGTCACTATGCCTACGAGAATGTGTATGTGTCTTTTGCAATAATCATCCGTGTTTGTGTGTGTCTGTGTGTCTGTTTGGCTTATATTATATACAGACGATATCCGCATATGCATACAGTAGTAGAGTTGTCGCTGTGTATTTGGTTTATAGTATATATACAGACTATATCCGCATATGCATATGCAGTAGTAGAGTTGTCGCTTCCAAATTCGAATATTTCAGTTGCAAGATTGATTCGAATTTGTAAAAGTGATATTCATATAGATCAAAAGCGGATAATGCACAAAAATATACATTAATTTTAAATAACAATACTTTTGCATTTCTAACAATAATAATATGCACCGATTTAGCAATATGATTGATATTGCAATCATTATCATGCGATCTCTTCTAAATTGATAAGCTATAAACATTTAATTTGTATGTTTTTGTTTTTGTGTGCGTTTGTTTCAATTATTTGTAAAATCAATCAATATTTCCATGTCACTTTCAGTTCATCGTTGTGTGCGCTGCGTCGCAGCGATCTTCAAGAATTTGGCGTCTATAATCTCACACTGCTGCCCAACGGCAGCTGCAACTTTGCCGTGGACAAGCCCGGCGTTCCCATTAATTACGGTAAGTGTTCAGTCGGTCTTTAGGCCAGCCAATCTATTGCCTAGAATCAAAACTGACTTTCTAGATCCGACAGCTTAGATTGTTGTACAGATGAATTTGGCTTTAGAGCGGGCATTTTCACTGATTCCTTGAACTCTTCTCTGCTCCTCAAAATTTGAACTTGCAGCACTTTGTTGATTGATGTATATTTTCCAATACTGCTCCACAGCATTTCTGTCCGTATTTGTGTTGGTGGCATCGCTGCTAATTCTACTGAAGCTGGTTAGCTGTGCCTGGAAACGATATCGCTACGATGAAGCCGCTGCCGTTGCGGACAGCATTGGGGATGCCGCTGCGAAGGCGACGCAACGCAAACGTTTGCGCAGCCTGGACACGTTTCGTGGGCAAGTTTGGATTCCATAGCGAATTTTTAGTTGTCACCCAGTCTATAATTTGCATCATTTTACAACAGATTGTGCATTGTGCTGATGATATTTGTGAACAGCGGTGGCGGCGGCTACAGTTGGATCGAGCATGCCGCCTGGAACGGCCTCCATCTGGCTGACATCGTATTTCCCAGCTTTCTCTGGATTATGGGCGTCTGCATACCGCTTTCGATTAAGGCGCAACTGGCACGCGGCACCAGCAAGACACGCATTTGCCTGCGTATTGTGTGGCGCGCCTGCAAACTGTTTGCCATCGGTCTCTGTCTCAACTCAGTGAATGGGCCGCAGTTGGAGCAACTGCGTCTGATGGGCGTTCTGCAGCGCTTTGGCATTGCCTATCTGCTTGTCGCAATCTTGCACACGGTGTGCAGCCGACGAGATCAGCTCAGTCCGCAGCGTGCCTGGCAGCGGGCCATCTATGACATATGTCTGTTTAGCGGAGAGTTTGCCGTGCTCTTGGCTTTAATTGCCACGTACTTGGGTCTCACATTCGGGTTACGCGTGCCGGGCTGCCCGGTCGGATATTTGGGCCCTGGCGGCAAGCATAACAATGCCGCCCATCCCAATTGCATTGGCGGCGCTGCTGGCTACATTGATCTCCTGGTGCTCGGCAATGCGCACATCTATCAGCATCCCACGGCCAAATATGTCTACGATGCCACCGCATTCGATCCAGAGGGTATCTTCGGTAAGGCAACGCTGATTTAATAAAGCTGATGGGCTCATTCTATAAATATAAATTAAATTTATCCAGTTCCATAATCTCTCTCACTCTCACTCATTCTTTGTAGGCTGCCTGCTGAGCGTGGTGCAGACACTGTTGGGCGCCTTTGCTGGTGTCACGCTGCTGGTACACAGCACCTGGCAGGGTCGACTGAAACGTTGGCTGCTGGTCGCCACAGTGTTGGGTCTACTCGGCGGCGCTCTGTGCGGCTTCTCCAAGGAGAACGGCATCATTCCGATCAACAAGAATCTGTGGTCGCTGTCGTTTGTCTTTGTGACCGCCGCCTTGGCTCTGGTGCTGCTCTCCCTAATCTACTATGTGGTGGATGTGCGGCAGTTGTGGTCCGGTTATCCGTTCAAGGAGTGCGGCATGAATGCGATCATCATGTATGTGGGACACACCATTATGCATAAAATGCTGCCCTGGCACTGGCGCATCGGTTCGATGAACACACACTTTCTGCTCCTGCTGGAGTCCACGTGGAACACACTACTCTGGGTCGGCATTGCCCTGTATCTGGATACCAGAGAGTTGTACTATAGTCTCTAAACTGTTGGTCGATTTGCCACTTTTTATCTTATAATTTACTGCCTATATTATATATATATATATGTGTTTTTTACGCACAGGATATTGTGATTTTGCGCTCAAAGACGGTTCGACACTGTAAAATAAATAGTTGGATTGTTTAAAGCATCCACAGTCATCAAAATCAAATTGCAAATGAATTGAGCATCTTTCTGTATAAAAAACGCATCTCTGCTTATAATTTTATATTACAGTTTGTAAAAACTAATATTATTTTTTACATTTTTTTTTTTGCTGAACGTTTTAAATTTGTTTTGGCTTTGGAAAATGTGACAGACAAAATAAATGTAAACTATTCACTGAAGTTAAAAAATATATCAATTTTGAAACAGATTTTTATCATTTCATAAATACAGAATTAGAACGGAGTAAGTAAATTGAGATGTGCCTAAAACTGATCATTTTTTATTTGATTTGATGTTTTCAATAGATTGTTGCGATAATCAACAAAGGCACAAATGCCAACGAACACAAACATTTCTCAATATGTATATTCCAACTTTGCACTTTTCTAATAATTGTTTTGCTGCAGCTTGTGGCAAGCTTCATTTTGTTTTTCACTCTTTTTCCTTTTCATCAAGAAAATCTGATCCAAAACGGTTAGCTATATATCCATCTACACTTTCTTTACATGTTCCTTCATTCACTACCATATGATTCCAGTTTTGAGATGCAATTATAAGAGACCGTAGTCAATCGGGATATATTTAAATTTTTGTACATATTTCGAGATATTTTAATGCTTTGAACTCAATATGAGTATCGGAAAGTGATGCCACAAACTTTCTTTTATTGACTCTCTTTATTCGCTATGCAAGATCCCAAAGAGCAGTGTATATATATATATATATATGGATAATCAGTTCACCATGGAGAAGCCTGCTTTAAAGCTTTTTGTAGATTATACAAATTGCTTACATTGGCGCATTTATATTCAAATAAGTTTTCGTTTTGGAAATGGGATCGCTTAGGAGTTGACGAACCAACGTTGAAGTCGCGTCGAGCGTTGCGAGATCAGCTCCAATATAAATATGATCGTGCTGACTGCCATCCCCAGCATACCAAGCACAAACAGGACGTAGAGCTCCTGCAGGCCGAGCATCTTAAAATGGAATACTTGATCCGAAGGAAAGTCGTTGTTAGCGTCCAGCTCCCAGTGCGTCCAAACGGACAGCAGTCCCACGGAACGCATCGACATGATCTGCTCGTTCAACTCATCGACCAGGAATGAGTGCTTCCTCAGGTACATGCTCATCTGCAAGTTAATCACATCCTGGGAAATTATCTCGAATTGATTAGCATTCCGCTCTTCATTAACATGAGCATTATAGCTTCTCATGTGATTGAATATATGAAATATATCCACAACACTGGCGACTACCTGTCGCTTGACTCGAGGATGCTCTGCTATATAAATTAGGGGTTGCATCAGGGTGGTTTCCGTTTCCAATGTGTGAAATCGCATGTGCCGCATAGTGGGAATCTCGGCTAGCACTTCGTACATTCCGGTTGATATGATCACTGTGTAATTGTCGGCCACCAGCTCCTCAATGGACTGGGGCAGTCGGTTCAACTGGTGGGTGCGTATTAAATGGTACAACATTCCCTGATAGGCGGTGCGTATGAGCAGCGTGTAGACCATCAGCATGATGCAGTACAACCGCTTGCAGCTAAAGCGTGGAATCTGCTCCATTGGCATGCCTACGAAGATTAGCTGCACATTCAGCCAGAGGGAGCCCGGATCGCTTGCCAACACTCGGTCCATGGCCAACAGCAGCAGCAGCGAGAGTGCAAAGACCAGCGAGATGCCAAGCCAAATGATCCTTGGATATGGATAGAGCAGAGTGTCCAGGGAGCTCAACTCATAATGGCTGCGCAGAACAGCAAACCGAATGCTTGTCTGATAATAGTTGTGCGACGATGTCGCCAATTTGCTGTAGGCCACCGTCGGCCGAATGGCACCCACGGTAAGATCCGCTTCGTCGCGATGCAACTGCAAATGGAGACGAGATGCAAGGAGTCAAATATTGTCTGCATTTAAGAAGAGATTAGAGTATTTAGTCACTGACCATCTGCAGCATTCTTTCGCGAAGTGGCAACCGTCCCGGAGGTGGGATACGTACTTGGATGCTCAAGTTGAGTCGCTGGCTGATCGTCTGAAGGAGGCGCCCTTCGATTCCGCCAGTGATGCGAGCAGGATCAGAGTCAGAGAGGAAGCAGTATGGAGGCATATGCCAGAGTGCGATGCGCAGTGGACAGCCAAAGAAGTTGGTCAGTTTGCGGGGGTAGAGCTGTGGATGCAGCATGTGGCTGCCATTGTAGCGATTGATCAGCTGTGGCGTCATATTGGCGCAGCTGTGTGCTCCAAACGGTTGATAGGTGTACACCAGGATGTCCCCGTTGGCCCGCTGCACCTGAACGTTGCAATTGATGAGCTGGTGGCGCCAGCAGTGCTCGAAGATGCGCCCCATTTCGGCAAACATTAGATGATCCCGCGCCTGCAAAAAGATGTAATAGTGCTCATTGTATGCGTAATCCCGGGAATATGCCTCCACCTCGATCTCCGCAAAGGCCGCATACGAGTCCGTGAATATCAGATTGAAGTGTCGGCGACCGGGAATATGCCGGCCTCGTATCCCCTGCATCACGTTCACAATCTGGAGCGGAGCTATGCCCCAGCTGCGGAAGAGTATGATCATCATCTCGTTGTAGAAGTTGCAGGTGTGCTGGTTGCGGCAGCAGAGAATCAATACCAGCGATGGCGTCACGCTCATTATGTGCGTGTGCACCACGTGCAGCAGCGACCGTGCCACATACTCATTGATGTGATTGGCCTGCTCCCCGGACAGATCCTGATACGACTGTACCAGTTCTGATATATTCATTATCTGTCCAATCTCTCTAACATACTGCCCAATCTCAAATGCCACTGGCCACTGGCCACTGGCCACTCCTCAATATGCTGACTGTAATTAGTTTGTGATTGATGATATAATGGGAAAACTTGGTGGTGTCCAATTGAAATATTGGCTTTGTTTGTTTGTTTGTTTTGTGCATTCGACTTCAATTAATAGCAGTCAGTGAACCGTCAACAAATCGTTAATACATTTGAATACTATTTGAGAGTGTGTCTAATGCAAAGTTCAAGTCTCTAAAGTCTTGATTAATTTTGTCAAGACTTACATTCATATATATACAGGGTATCTGCCGGTCGACTCTTGCTTATTTTAAGTGTCATGTTTTTCTTTTGTTTTTATTGCATTTTATTGATTTTCATGACCTACCGTAATTCAAGTCATCGCAACTGTCTCTAATGTTCAACTAATTTTCATAAACTTTCCAGACTTTTCAAAGCTAATTATATTGACCGATACAGAGTGAATAACATTTAGTTTGGCCCTTGCGGCCACCTGACCCATTACATAATGTGGCCAAAACTTGAACCGAACTCTCATTGCATGAATTTGGGGCGGAATCCAATGGACTGTTAACAGAACGCAACAAAAGAAAGGCAAAAGCATTTCGACAGCCAAATGCCCTCCACAAAGTAGTCCATCCCATTTCATCGGTTTCAATCTCGGCAAATGAACATGTGCTCCGAATGGGAATACCCTATACCAGAGTAAAAAGTGAATGTGAATGTGAATGTGAGGCAGTTGTAGCTGCGCTTTTACACCAAATACACAAATACACACGTATTTATATATGATACGATATACGATATGTGATAAATGAAATGTTGTTCGCTCTTTCTTTGTCCTAACAACAAGCTGAGATTAACAATGAGGCTAATTGGGTGAACCCAATAAGAAAATGCCCTGCAGTTCAGATAAGAGCATCTCTAATTTGTTGACATATTCTCGAAATCTTAAATGTTGTTCGTTTTTAATGTCATTTTAATTCCAAATTAAAAGCAAGTTAAATGAGGAACTTTCTAATTTAAATTGTTAAATAAATACAAGACTTGCCTCACTTAATAAAATTTGTACAATTGATAAATAATAAATTATGGAATATCGATACAAATCGATTTCTCATGTAAAAGCTGCAATTATGAAGATATTGCCTTGATATCAATATATGTATATTGATATTGATTGGAAGGCTATATCTTCATAATTGTAGCCCTCATATGGGAAATCGATTTGTATCGATATACGTGAAACGACTACTGCTGTCGATTAAATGAACGAAACTTGATCTTATTCTGGAACTTAAATACAACATTTGGAGCCTGTAGCTCTTCTAGTCTCAGGGATCGGCGGACAGACGGACAGACAGCCATGGCTAAATCGAATCATCTTTTGATGTTGATCACAAATATATATACATACTTTATGGGGAAGGAAATAGTTTTTTATTTAAGATCAAAAATAGAATATTTAAGTGAAGATCAGTTGTGTGAAAAAAGAATATTAAATTAATTAATGCATGGACTAATAAATATTAAAAATAAATGCAATCTATGAGTAGTATACTTGTAGATACCATAACAATTTATTATATATCACTTTGGCTCATTTACAGGGTATGCAAGTCGTCCGCCAGATTCATAGATATCGACAGCACTAACTAGCCTGGCGCTTAGAGGTCAAAACACAGCGCACAATGCGGTTGGCAAGTGAGTGCAACTACAACAACAACAATACCAAATCATTTAACACCTCTTTATAAGCGATTGTGTGTGCGTGCAAGGTGCATGCCACAGAGTACAGGTGCGTAAGCATGCGGCAAGTAGCTAACTAGCGAACAATGTAAATTTGTTATCAACACTTAACCATGTGAAATATATAACAACAAAAAAAAGGAATACATAATACATAATTTATCGGATCTTTTGTCTAATTGAGTGGCCATTAACAAAAGCATTCGATATTTAACAACATATTTTATATATTTTACCAGCTGGGCATTGTTATAGCTGTCATATTGACTTAACGCTTGAGTTAAATCATTTAATTTATTGCCATTGGGGTCGGGGGGTCGAGGGTGTGGCTATTGTGCCTCAGCAAATTGGTTGGCACACACAAAAACACTTTTTATTTGTCGATATTTGATTTAGTTTTTTTTTTTTGACAATAAGCCAGAAAGAAAGATGAAAACATTCAGCTCAAATGTGATGCAAGCGACGCTGTTGTAATCGAAATCAGGTGAAAAATGTACATTGACAAAGGGGAATTTCCAGGAATTTGCCAATATATGATTCCAGTTTTGAGATGCAATTATAAAAGACCGTAGTTAACCAGGCTGCGTCTACATTTTAGCCCAGACTTTGAGTTTAAAACAATTTTATTTATATGTTTTCTGTTTCACGACTGGCTTTAAACTCAATATCAGTATCAGAAAGTGGTGCAACATATTGATGCCACAAACTTTCTTATACTGACTCGCTTTATTCGCTACGCTGTTGTAATCGAAATTAGATGAAAAATGTGCATTGACAAAGAGGACAAAGAGCTGGGGACTTTCGCGAGTCCTGTCATATTGCAAAGGGACTCAGTTCGATAAAAAATATATTCTTTCTGCATTTTAATGTTGTCCTATTATGCGAGTGACAAAACTGTGATAGGCTCTGGTATAGGGTATTTGCTAGTTGAGCACACTCGAAAGATTGTGTGTTGCACCCTTAATTAAAATCCAAAACTACAAAGTATGTAACAGGCAGAAGGAAGCGATCTGCGATCTTTGAATTTTTAATAAAAGTTCTCGAAAGCCAAGCGCAAAACAAGTCAATGTTATCGATATTTCCCCGTATTTCGCTTGTATCGATGCACATCGATTTTCGATAGCAATAAAAGCCGCAACTTTGAGAGTCTAGTTTTCAAATTGAAATTACTTAATTATTTACAGATATCAGATATCTGCTGTGTAGAAGAGTGTGCAATATTCGTGATGCCAAAGATATTTGTTTGAGAATTATGATTATGATGAATAATTTGATGGCAAGGTTATTGCCTGGCTGTCTTTGCAACTTGGAACTGATTCCAGCAAACTAATCTGCAGTTTATCGTTTTACTGGTCATTCAACTGCATCTGCGTGCCAACTTTCGCACTTTGTTTGCACTCCACCCATCCACCCAACCACCTGACCACATCACACACACCACAGCAGTGCCAAGTGAAGTGCTCGTCATCAAGCTAAACCGCTGTAAATTAATATGGCTGTCAAGTTCGTTGCCTAAGTCTTTCGTTTTTTTTTTACCCAAACGGCAATCGGACTGCAAATCTTATTTACCACCACACCCCGCCCCCCTCCTCCTTCGACACAAAAAAAAATAAACTTAAATCGCTGCAACCGACCCTCTCCAACCCAAATAACGCCCATCCTTTCACTTTGGTGTGCAATACCAAGTGGGTCAACACTTGACAGGATCACAGATGCAGCAGCTAACTGAAATACCCAACTGGTATTTTTTGCATTGTGTAACCAACTAAAAATAAATAAAAAAAAAAAGAAAGATTTATAATCGCCAAAAGAGTGACATAATTTTACAGCACGCCAAGACGCATCAATCTTAAGATTATTACAATGCTACAATGCGAACGATGATGCCATAAGAAAGTTGGCGATGAATGCTTAAAAGATGAGTTGGCCCGGAAATATCAACAGAACTCTACAAAAGGCAGTATTTTTTTTTTCAAAACCTACTATAATATAAATACACATTGTATATATAAATATAATATAGTAGTAAAAGAAATATTCCAATTGTAGAAATTTGAACTCAATTTGTAAAATTTCGCCTTCTTTTGTATGTATTTGCATAGTATATATATATATATATATATATATATATATATATGCATTTATCAGTTGGGTTTATCATGATGGGATACGCATATATAGTGTCTGTCATGTCGAAATGAACAATTAGCATTTATCTACTTTAAGTATTCCACTTGCACTTTGTATTTAATTAAACGTCTAATTGAAAATGCTGCTCGCGTTTTCTTAATAAAAAAAACATTTCTCGGATTTGCTCCAAAAAAAAATCGGGCAGTATCTTCACACGCTTTCAATATATATATATATATATATATATATATATAAAAGCGAAATTCGTAACGGACCCAATCGATTCGAATAATGTCGACAAATTGCCAACAAACAAACAACAATAACAAAGTACAAGAAAGAGTCAACGAGCAGGCGACGAGTTGTGCATTTTAAAGCGACAAAGATGTTGATTTTAGGGCGTGATCGCTCCAGCTGCCAAGTGAAAAGTGAGAGGTGAGAGGTGGGCGTGGTCGTGGTCGTGGTTGTGGTTGTAATCGTAACTATTTTTCGATGAGCTTTATTTGCCCAATCTCAGCAGAGATCGGACAGTCAAAATATATATCTTAAAAACAACTATCGATATTACAGGAAAAAAAAAAACAAAAATAACACATCGATGGATTACTTATGGACTAAATGGAATATAATTTAGTGATAGCTATGTGTGGGCGTGGCTGGTGGACCGTAGCTGCTTACTGGCGGCAGATACGTTGAATCTGGTGCCTCAAAAATGGGCGTGGCCGAGTCACCCGATTGTCCGGGTGCACCATAAAGCACCGATGGCGCCGAATAATCATAGCCCTGTGCGGTGGGCGTACCATGCAAATACTGTGTGGTTGTGGGCGTGGCATAATCATAGCCAGTGCTCGACTCATGCTTGGCCCCCAGAAAGGCGCTGGGCTTGAAGGGCGCCTTGGACAGCTCAGCGACCAGCTCGTTGTGATCCTCATGCCTGCCAATCTGATGAATGTCCGTATTCAGTGCCAACGGTTTGCTGGACGTATAACTAAAATGGCCAAGTCCCTTATGGCCCAGAGCATATGCTGGTGGCTGCTGCTGTTCCGTGTTCAACTTATGCTGGACATGTTCCGGCTGCTGCTCCTCAATCACCTCATGATGATGATGTTGCTGCTGCTGCTGCTGCTGGTGGTGGTGCTCAGCAGCCGAATCGTGCTCGTAACCAGGCAGCAGTGGAACGCCATAGCTGCTTAGGAGTTGGTGCTGCTGCTGCTGCGGCTGCGGCTGCTTTAAATGCAAAACGGGCGCCTCATAGTTGTAGCCCGTAGGCTGCTGCACCTGCACCTGCTCCTGTTCTAGAGCGTGATTCAAAGCGGACACAAAGTGATGCGAGCCCAATCCCAAGCCATGACTGCTGTCAATGCTGCCATGATGTCCTTGACCATGTCCCAGTCCATGACCTAAACCAATTGCTGGCCCATGACTGCTGCTGATGTAGGAGGGACTGGCGATTGAGTAGGTGTTGCTGCTGCTGATGCTGCTGCCACCACTGCCGTGCTGCTTGTGACCACTGCCAAGTCCGCCAAGTAAACTCAAAAAGTTGCTGCCGCCGCCATGACCCGCATATTTGTAACCACCACCTCCAATGTCATGCCCCTGCTGCTGGTGTCCATGCAACGAACCGCCAGCCGTCTGCACAATGTATGTCTCTACCTTTTGCGGCCGATGTTGCTGCTGATGATGATGATGTTGATGCTGCTGTTGGTAGCCACCATGAGCGGCTGCATCACCAGAACTAATATAAACAGGACGTCCATGTCCATGATGCGAGGCAAGCGATTGATAATGCGTCTGTGGCTGATGGCTATAGTGATGGTGATGATGATGATGAGGATATGACTGATGCTGATGGTGATGGTCGCCATCCGTGTCAAGGCTGGCAAAATCAAAACCACTGCCCGAGCCCGAGCCCAAGCCATTGCCATGCAGCGATCCATATGTGCTCTCATAGCCACCCAAGGAGACAGCCGGCGGCGGCAGGTATTTATGTGAGGGTCCATGATACGGGCCCCTGCCAAAGCTAAGGCCAGCATCGCGTTTCAGCTTTGCCGGTGCAGCAATTGCTTTTTGTTGTTGTATTTGTTGTTGCTTGGTGGTGGTATTGGTGGTGCTGGTGCTGGTGCTGGTGCTGGTGGCAGCTAAGACGATGGTGCCCAGAAGAGCGCTGACGAGCAGCGTTCTTGTCACCTGCATGAAAATTGAAATTGATTTTTGATTAAACATTTGTTTTCTCTTCTCCTTTTTCTAATTGTTTGTAAGCCAATTAAAAGTGTGAATTAATGAATTAATTGTTCCGAGGAGCAACAAATTCCTAATTGTGTGCAGCGCGTTGCACTTTGCAATAAAGGTTGAAATTTTGTACGCTTTTTTACTATTTGATCGACAAGGACTCAAGCAAATTACAAATTGCATGCACGCGTTTTATTTGCAAGCAGTTTACATCCATTTCACACACTTACAGCGAACTGCATTTTCAACAAAAAACGGGCACGTCAAAAAATAGTAAATTGAAAAAAAAAAAACGCCAAACAATTTGGGTTTATCCTTGTGAAGTCTTTTTTTTTCTTGGCAATCTTTGTTGCTTGGTTTCACTGCGCGTTTATGTTCGACAAGTGCTGCGCGTCGAGTGTTGACGACCTCTGCGCCGAGCAACCCTTTTATACGCGGCCTCTGCTAACAAACGCCGACGTCGACGTCATCGTCATCGTCTCTGCCAACTAGCCAGCTAGTCGCAGCAGCAGCAGCAGCAGCAGCGATGCGAAAAGCGCCAACTCGACGCAGTTAACAGTTGAGCTTTGCTATTGTTGCTGCTGTTGTTGCTGCTGTTGCTGTTGCTATTGTTGCTGCTGTTGTTGCTGCTGTTGCTGTTGCTATTTTGCATATGAACCAAAGCGATTTTTGGTTTTGTTTTGGTTTACCGTTTGGCTTTGATTCACACTCTCACTCTCACTGTCACTGTCACTGTCGCTCTCACGATTGTTTGTCGCTGGTGGGGAGCACGCTCTGGCGGCATGTCTCTGGCACGTTGCCTTGGCACAGTGGCACAGCTGTTAACCATTTCAACTGTTTTCTTCCAACCCTTCTTCTTCTTCTTGATCTCAATATGAGTTTAAATATCGAAATTGTAGTTCGTCCATGATAATCAGACGATAAATATTCCGGAAAGCCATTCATCATCTTAATTTGTATTTAAAAATAGAAATTCATATTCCGAAAAACCAGTCTTGATCTTAATTTGAGATTAATAAGCGAAATTCATAAGCATAATACTTATGGTATTCCGAAAAACCATTCAAGAATAAGTTTTCTTGTTCTTGATCTTAATTTCAGTATAAAATTCGAAATTTTAGTTTCAAATGTAAGTATGCCTTTATGCATTTGTTTACATTAGTTGTGTAACTGAGAGTTGTAAATTGAGTCGAGCGTATTACAAACTTAAATCGCGCATACATTTTTCTAGATATTATGGAGCACTCTCGCACCACTGTGCAATGGAACTGACTGCACTGCGTTGCCTGCCGCTCGCTTCAAGTTCAAGTGACACTTTTGCCATATCGCATGTCTCAGTGCACAGCCAACTCCAGCCCCTCTCACTAATACACCCCATTATTATATATATATATATATATATTTTTTGAGTTTTTATTGTTCCTTTGGTTTTTTCCAAGCTTTCCCAGTGCGTTTTGCGACAAGTCGATTCGGCTTGTGCGTAATATGCAATTAATTCCGTGTAACATTTTGATGAATGTGAATGTAGATGACATGGCACAACTCCACAAACCACTCCCCCCTCCCCTCTCCCTTCTTCAACCTCATCCCCTTTCATGCTACCCCTGCTGCAGCCCCTTTCCTATTCTTGGTAAGAGCAAAACGGCGACGCTGTCGTGGACAACTCATTCACGGAACCACTTTTATCTCTTAGTTGTCCATTTGCTGATGATATTGTTACTTGTGATTATTGTTGTTGTTACTTGTTTTGCCAGCTGTCGCAAATCTTTAACGAATTGTTGTCTCTTTGCCGTTTGCCGTGTCAACGTTTCAATTACAACTTAGTTGGGCTGCTGAACTAAAGTCACCTTTCTTTCTTCTTTCTCTTTAATTAAGTTCAGCAATTTCGTAATAACATTTGAACCATGCCTCGTAATCCACTTCTCACATCCGCAACAGTAACTGGACGATCTTAGTATCAATAAGGACATCATTATCTATATTTATCATTCGCTCAAAGTTGAATACTTAATGAGGTCATAAGCATTACATGCCATCAATTTTTATTTAAATGCGGCGTATTCGCTGATTGGAAGCCACATGGGACCAAAAGACCAAAAAGGGTTTCAGTTTTTGGCAGATTTGTATGTATTCATATTAATTGTGGCCAATCAATTATGCTCATTATCTGCTGAATTCAATTCAATTCAATTCAAGTGATAAAGTGTAACGATTAGCAGCACCAGCAATTTGGAGGGGTTCAATTTGTGGCATAAACTTGATTAAATACAATGACAGACTAGTGCCGTGGAAAGCCACAAAAATTGTGCAAATGAAGCTGTACCCTTTTAAATTACCAAGTTGCTTGCAAAGTGACAACTCATCATAGAAGCTACTGCAAAATGGTGCACAAAATTGATACTGCAACTGGTTCAGTTAAGTATTTGTCAAAACCGATTTGTATCTTATAGCTACATATTAAGGAAAAACTCGATTACAAGTTATCGTAATCAAAAATCTATGCCTGACTTTAGGTTGTATTCCTTTTTTTTATTATTATTTTTCTTTCTTCTTGGCACATTTATGTAGTTAATATTGAATATCTTTGCAGGCAGTGAGCGCATCTGCAAGTCATCTATTCGTCTGCAATTACACCAATTATTGCTGTTTGTTTTTGTTTTTTTTTTTTTTTTGGCTTATGCTCCTCTCCTTTCTGCTTTTGAACGGTCTTTCTTGGCATGTGGCATGCGGCGTGTGGCGTGTGGCGTGTGGAGTGTATCGTTGCAGCTTTTAGTTGATGTAATTGCCAGGCCACTTGCAGTGCCATTGTCAATCTTCATATGCGACCTCGTCCCTTACCATGGCCCATACACAACAGCAGCGACTTTGACTCCAACTTGACGGCTACAACTTCAACTGCTGGCTTGGTTTTTTTTTTTTTTGTTTTTTGGTTGTTACTTGTTGCAGACAGATTGCGCAATGGGCAACGCGTCGCTGCCAAGGTCAGCTGTTAAGCGAAGCCAAAGCACCAGATAATTTCACCAAATTGGCCGCCGCTTTATTGTGGCATTTGGAAAGTACATACATACATACAGACAGACAGACATATAGACAGACAGGCAGACAGACAGACAGACAGGCAGACAGACAGACAATTCGAGAGCGTCACCGCCCTCGGGTAAAAGTAAGTCAGAGCCATTAAAGCGGTGGAAGAAACATATAGGCCATGTGGGCAGATAATGCCTATGAACGAATTGAATTTTGAATTTGAATCTCATGTGGCATAATCTATTTATTTATAATGTTTATGTTTTATATGTATTATATATGTATGTATACTTTGTCTTGATCCATCCCAGACATATAGGGTTATATAATCAGCATTACTTGTTTCTTGTTTAAACTGAAATCAGTATTTAATGATAAAAATGTAGTTTTTTTTAGCTTCTAAAGAGGTTATACGTATTGCCACTTGACAAATAGAGATAATGCTGTGGAACTCTTTGAGTTGAGGGTTTCTCATCTTGCGGTTTGCCGGGCGCATGAAAAGGTGGCTCAAACTGTTGTTGTTGCTGCTGCTGTTGCTGCTGCTGTTGATGCTGCTGCTGCTGGTGCTGCTGCTGTTGATGCTGCTGCTGCTGGTGCTGCTGCTGTTGTTGCACCTTCTCCTCATCATTGGTGTAGCCGACAAAGGGTGATGGTCTAAAGGGCAGAGTAAACTGAGCATTCGTTGCTGCTGCCCTAAATAAGCCCTTCACCAAAATGGGAAGTCTGATCGTCCGCGTTGGAGTCTGTGACTGAGCCTGCTCCGGAAAGGTCTGTGGACCCGTATAGCCCAAGCTAAGCTGTTGCAGGTCCAATGGTGTCTGGCGTCCAATCAGGGGTCGCCAGGGTGTCGCATAGAGCCAGCTCTGATAGTAAACAGGCGACTGACGCACCTCGACAGCCAGGAGCAGTGTCACCCAGATGAGACCACTCATTTTCGCTGATGTTCGTAGAGCGTCTGCGCCCAGGCGTTGACCATGTCAACTTATATACCAGCTCATCAAAGAGAGAGATAAATGTAAGATGATCCAGGCAGTTCCGTTGTAAGCGATATCACAATGTGGCATAGGGATATATGTCCAAATGTATATCAGATTTGAGTTTCAATTGGTAGTGCCAGTTGAGGTCGTTACTCGCCACTTCCTCAATTGCGTAATGCACAAATGGCAACTGGCAACTGGCAAAGTTTTAACTGATTCATTGGCTAAATTGAATTTGTGCCTCTGAAGCCAAATCCGCATAATTCTCTAAGCTGCTTTCAACGCTTGCGCAAATCATGTTGCCAAATAACAAGATAATGGTTATCATTATGATAATGATAAAAAAACGAAAGAAAAAAAACAAGTTAAAATAAAATTGCTCAACTAACCGTGTAACTGGAATAGGGCGGTGGGTGGCAATCTCTTCGAAACGGTTATTTGCAGTTTGTGAAAATTGGTTGGATTAAATACTTTTGGATTACATAATAACTATATGCATACGACTATATAAATAGCTTGGCTTAGGATGGAAAATAAAAGTTACTTAATGATTATTGCATATTGCCAAGAAATAGTTACTTATTCGGTAACTTTTATCAATAGCTAATAAAATTGTTCATTTTTATTACACTTTTCCAAATATTTTTGTTCAAATGAAATTGAACAGTTGCTCCAAAACTATTATTAATGATTTTGATTAAAATTGCGGAAAAAAGAATAATTACTTTTCATCGTTTATTATTTAAAGCCAACGCAAAATGTGGCAAATTAGAAATGTTTGATTGCACTTAGACTTCCTGCGGCCCATTGCAGTTGCAGTTGCAGTTGCAGCTGCAGCTGCGCCAACTGCAGCAGCAATGAAAGTTGCCAGGAGCGGACCCACAATAGAGTGTCTTACATAAAAGAAAGTTGTTTTGTTTTTCTATTCAATTATAGAAACCTTTGTAAGACGATCACAATTAAGTCAAATGTGACTCGAAATAGTTAAGAGCAATTTCGGTTATAGTTTAACGAGCAAAAATCTGGGGAAGTGTGGTAACAAATATTTTTGAAATACCCTTTCAACACAGCTAAAACTGAATTTACTTGTTGTTTTCCATTAAAACGTAGAGAAGACATTTTCAAATAGATTTTCAAATGCTTGCAATTTATTTAGTGAATGTACAAATGGTTCCCGATTGGGCCCTAAAATGCGCTCCTGTTGGTCCGCTGTTGCTGTTGTTATAATTTCTTCTTTTTTTTTTTTGGTGGGTGCTTATACATTGATTTTATTTACTTTACCTTCACTTTTCATCTCGTCTTTCACCGCCACCTCCTCCGCCCAGTGTCACTTTGCATTGCGAATCACGTCCGATGTGAGTGGAAATTAAGTGTGCTCTGCAAAACGGAAGTAAAGCATTCAATGCGTGCGATTTTCAGCTGGTTAAGCATAAAACAAGAAAAACAACAACAAAACAAAACACAAAAACAACAACAAAAAATGAATTAAATTATGTTTAATTTGGACATTTAAATAGATATTAATTGAGAACCCACCCAAAAACAATAAGATGAATCACACACAGCAAACATTTCTCAAGTTCAAATTACACAATTCGCGCAATTAGCGAGTAAAATATAACTAATACGGAAACATGGCCAGTTGATCCACTAATTTGGCCGGATCTGAGCCTAGGCGGGGGGCTGAGAAAATTGTTGACGCTACTTTAACAGCTAGCATAATCAAATTAGCTGCGATTATAATTGTCTACTTTACACAATTTTTGTAGACTTCAGAGAGGCAAGGTCGCTCTCTTGGCCAGAACTTAGACTTCGTCAAGCCTGAGATCATGCGGCTCAACACAACAGCAAATTTCTCAGATTTTTCAACCAGCGTCCGGATTCCAAAACACCGCTTGCAAATTCTAAACACTGCATTTCAACATTGTTAATTATTTAAATTTATTTATTTTGAATATTCAGCAGAGATACATTTACTCAACTAGAGTTAATTCTTATTGAACTGTTTTGAAATTGGCTTTAGCAAATAATTGAAAGCTAATGGAATTCAGGACCTTAGACTACGCCTAAAGTTTATTAACAAGATCTGTATATATATATTAAATAATTTAAAAAGTTATTTACTTAACTTAGTATGAAAAAAAAAAAAAAAAAATTACATACGAAATACTTTTGCTGTATGAAAAAAGCAAATATATTCAATGCTCGGATCTGGTTTGCTGGATGGGACCTCGAACAAGACTCAGGGAGTCGGGAGTCTGGTGGAGTTGCCTGAAAGGGGGAATCAGAAATAGGGTGCTTGAAACTCGCGACTGGGCAGCGTCAAGTAAGATGTTTGTGGTGCAGTGGAGGCGGCGCTTGCTGAGTGGGCGTGGCTTGCATGAAAAAAACTGCTGCTGCTGCTGCTGCCACTGCCACTGCTGCTGGGATGAAATGAGGACGTCGAGAATGGTGAGGATTGGGAGTATTGCCCATATGCCTGACCCTGATCCGGATACGGAACAACATACTCATTTGCCTGCTCCAGCTCGCGATTGTGATACTCCTGCTGTGCAGGTGCAGGTGCAGGTGGAGTAGCAGACAAATGCTGCAGCCACTCGTCCGCCTGCATATTGTATGTGGGCGGCAGTTCATAGGAATGCGATTGCATCTGCACAAAGCTGCTGGCTGGCTGCTGCTCATCGACGAACGGTTGCCGTTGATAGCGCTCCGGCAGCGCCTGGCCAATCAACGGAGCAGCTCGCTGACCAGGCTCCATATGGCGATCATGCTGCGTGTCAGCAGAAATACCGAAAGCTTGACTAAACTCAATGCCAGTTGCAGGCGCACCAGCAGCCTGATGATTGGCGGCATATTGAAATGTATTCATGTGATTTATATAGTTATGATTGTTATGTTGCTGCCTGGACGATGAGGGCGTGCTGTATGAGGATGTCAACTGATGGTGATGCTGCTGCTCAGGTTCGGGCTCGTAATGCTGTGTGCTGTAGGGTCCATTATAGTTAGACTGTTGGTATGGGCGACCAGTTGCTGGTGTGCTGTTATAGCTAAGCTCATAGGGCAATTGCTGTATGAAACTGGGTTGGGTATAGGATGGCGGAAGGGGATTGGGCTGCCAGTAGCCGGTGGTGATCACAGCCTCTGTGGTGGGCTCGCTCGCCGCCGGCAAATATTTGTGTGCGGGTCCATTATATCGATAGCCATTCCGGTTGCCATCAGATGACTCAAAGCGACCACTGCTCAGCGACTGGATGCCATGGACAACAGCTGCACTGGGTCCAGCGATGGCCAAAACGATGCTAACTAAAATTGACTGTGAAAAGTGTGTGTGTTTTAGCCAAAGATTAATCCAATTTCTCAGGCATGTGCGTGTCCGTCTACTCACAGTGTATCGCAGCATATTAATATCCTGTCCAATTCTGGCTATCTCTCTGGCTGCCTGGCTGTCGTGTGTTGAACGCTACTGGAATAGTGGCAAGCCAAGCAACGGTTACAATTGCTTTTTATAGCGCCAGCTGCTCATCTGGCTCTGGTGCAGATTTGTCATCAATGGCTAAGATCTCTAATGTGTCAGTGTGTGCGTGTTTGTGTGTGTATTTTCTTGTCAGCGTTGGCAGCAGCAGCAGCTCGAAGAGCAATTCAATCACGCTTTGTGCCTACTGACACAGAGCGATGGCAAAATGTGTGCTACAAAAAAAAAATAGAAATAACGCTAACTGAGAGTTCCGCACTTGTAGACACCCTGTTCCCTCAACCCGAGGTACTTGGTATACCCCCATTTTCATCGTATCTCTGTTGAAAATGTCGTTGTGGTTGCTCTATTCGTGAAGGGGGCCTGTGATTATTTCATCCATTTTAATCTAAGTCGAACTGCATTTTTATGCTTCTTCTTCTAAAAATAAAATTAAAATTAAAAGTATTGATGGAAATGACAGTTAATTGTCCCCTTTAAGAGATAAGATTCTACGCCCATGCTCCACATTCTAGCTGTCTGTTGCATCAATTTGCTCCAGTTTACCATACCCCTTTGAATTGATTGCTACGATTTATGAAAAATGTGTATAACGTATATAGTACAAAATAACTTTTTTTGTATGCAAGACAGACACAACTATTATCGCATATTCATAATCGCTGCGAATGGCTCTACAGACTTTGTTGAGATATTCACGCGGCAGATATCGCGACATTTTGGCATCAAATTGTCAAGACCGGCCGTGACCGTGGCAACGACGGTCGTGTGTATTAATTACTTTCTTTGTCCATTGATGCTTTTATCGCAAAGCATAATATAAATGCACTTGACCCATTCATGCACAATGTGCAGCTGCAGCCAGCTGCCAACTGCCAACTGCCAACTGCCGGAAATGCAATTCAGTTGGAGTTTAAAAAACCGATATCAACTATGACTATGGCTGTGTGGACAGCACTTTTACTTTGGTATTGACTGCGTTCATTGGATTACACAATCGTAATAAATGAGTTTGAATGATAGGTGCGTGGGCACATCAATTATTTGTACTAACAATAAAAAAAAATATTTAAAAAAATGTTAAGTGGACCTGCAAAAATCCCAATGACACACAAATTGTCAGCCTACTTTGAAAGCTGTGATTCGCTGTGATTAATGTAACAAATAAATAAAAAATATATATATGTGTACAAATTTGGCATATACTCGTATGTGTATCATATTTCTGAAGAAAATAAATATTCTTACTTGCTATGTTAATTTAACATTTGCAGGGACAAATTTGCAGTAGTTTTATACCTAATGTTTATAATATTTAATTGTATGGTGTATTTCTGGTATTTTAGTATTTAGTATTTTTGCTTATTGGCCAAATACCGTACAGCCCAATACCAAAACCATCGATATTCATGTTTGCAAACCATATGCCTAATTTTTTTTTTAAGTAAACGTCCTCAGAATATGTCACATAATTTTATTGATTACATCACTGTACTAATTACAAAATACAATTGCGCATAAAAAATAATATATGTGTCGGACATTCTATCGCATAACAAACATCATATCGATATGTTGCAACCCTATCGATAGACATTCCAGTACGTCTGCCAAAAATCAATATTTCAATTGTCGCCATATAATATCGATTTTTTTCATTCCCACTACAGCGCTGTGAAGTCGACGCTTGAAACTGTTTTGTCGGAGAAGAGCGTAGAAAATTTTCCTTTTTTTTTCTTCTCATAATTACATCTATTGTGTAGTTGAAGTAAGTACAAACATAAATTGTTTAACATACTTTGTGACATTGTTGTGTGATCTAGCAAAAACGTTTCTTTTTACGGCCACCTCTTGCTTTTCATATTTTTCATTTCGGCTTATTGTATGTGTGTGTGTGTGTGTGCTTGTGTTTGTGTGTATATGTGTAGTAAATTTTTGTGTTGGTATTTTCTCTACTCAACTGGCGCTGTTGGTTGGGTGCTGGTGCTGCCGCAGCGGCTTTTCCTGCCGCTTCCACGCTATAGTTTGTTACATTACAGTTATCCGGTGGCCAAAGCAGCGCTAGCCCTCCACAAACGCATACATACCACGTATGTATCACACACGCACACACACATGCACATACACATGCAGAATTCACGAATACAGCCAAGTGCAATCGGCGTTGTTTCTAAGCCGAAGGCAGCCGATTTTTTTATATATTTTTTTTTTTAGCAGGTACATAAAATCCTTGAAAAAGGGGATTTTGAAAATATGAGCACAAAGCAAATGCATCGCTAACAAAAAAGAAAAGAATAAATATCTGTATTTTTCAGTGCCTTGATTTTGATGCGTTTCGATTGTTTTTATGTTGCAGACGGCGACGAGCAAACTTTTCGTGGCGGGCAGAACGAGCATCCCACAAAACAACCATGCCGTATAAGAGAAAGGCGCGGATGTCCTACAAGACAATGAGAGACGAAAATATTGTCGAAAGCGTAAGTGTTTGTGCATTGCAAAATACAAATTGGAAACTGGCGCTAAAATGCTTTCTGTCGTTCGGATTTTTCTATTCCTATTTGTAGCAGGACTCTGATGAAAACGATGCGTTGGATGCAACAGGAGATGGCGTGGAGGGCAATCCAACCAACGACAACAATTCCAGTTCGGATGACAGTGAGAATGATGATGGCGATGCCGAGGGCGATGATGGAGGCGGCGAAGCTGATCAGGGAAGAGACAGTGCCGAGGCATATGGCAAACCAGAATCACCACATTATGCCGAAAGCAGTGAGGACGATGTCAAACCCGAATTACCACATTATACTGGAGGTAACAATGGCAACGCGGACAACAATACGGACAATAATTTTGTCGGCTATGCCGATAATCAATTTGAAGGCAATCAGCCACAGCAGCAGCAACAGCAACAACAACAAAAACAACAGCAGCAACAACAACAGCATCATCCAAACCAAGAGGATCCCGGTGGAGGTGGCGGGTATGCGCCCGATACGCAAGAGAGCGCTTGTCCAACTAGCAATAGCGAGGATCGCACAAGCGCCACAAATCTGATCATCAACTATTTGCCACAGAACATGACAGATCGTGAGTTGTTCAATTTATTCAGCAGTTGCGGCTCCATCAACACATGCAAAATAATGCGAGACTATAAGGTGAGTGTGTCTTATATTGGTCATGGGAGGGGAGAGGAGCAGCATCTCACCATGATATGTTTGTGTGACTGTCCCTTTCGCACAGTGTAAGACAGTTATACATACAGAATGCATGTTATCCCTTTTCCTCACCGTGGGAGGAGGGCGGCCTATATTGGGATCAGCATCTGTGTTATTCATAATCCATGTTGACGACCAACTATATATTTCCATCTCTGTTTATCGCAGACGGGATACAGTTTCGGCTACGGTTTCGTTGACTATAATGACGAGACGGATTCGGAGGCGGCGATACACAAATTCAATGGACTCCTCGTGCGCAACAAACGTTTGAAGGTGAGCAGTCGCATCCAGATGATTCCCGTATTCAAATCATAGACATAAAACTAATTTTCTTTCGCCTTACCCTAATATTTACAATAGAAGAGACCACTTATTAGTTAATCGAACAATTTGCATTGTCAGTTGCCAGAATAATCGACTTGAATCTGTCTCTGTCTCTGAATATTGGTATTTAATCAATTGCCAATTGTCAATGGAATAATATCAGAAATTAAACACTTTATATCCTTCATTGTCACTTTAATTTAATAACATGTTGTGATCTGCTTTTGATAGTGTTTTCAATGTAATCCAGGTTTACCCAAGGTTTACTTTAATATGAAATTGGCTACATTTTGTGTCCTCCGTTGATATTTAATTGGCTACATTTTCCTGTTCATTTATTAAATTAATTGAAATTTGCACAAAGTTCACTAAATTCCATCAAATGATTATTACTTTAATAGTTTTTAAACTCATTCGCTAAACGGTGTCATTCATTTGTGTATTGTTGATATGAGGATTGCATGCTGAATTCTGAAACCTTAAGTCAACATCAAGCATGTGTCCAATATCCATCTGTTGCTATCATATTCATTCTGTAGAATCATTCATTGTTCATCGTTTCGTGTTGTTCGTTTCAATTACCTGAATTGGATCTTGGACTGACTCATTCATCTCTAATATTTATTTTGCATTCGCAGGTATCTTATGCACGACCGGGCGGGCAATCGATCAAGGACACAAATTTGTACGTGATCAATTTATCACGTAACATTAACGATGATCAGCTGGATCGCATATTTTCGCCATTCGGTTTGATCGTTCAACGCAACATCTTACGGGATAAGCTGACTGGTCGTCCACGAGGAGTTGCATTCGTACGGTAAGCAACAACGATAGTTCCACGTATAAGTTGACAGGCGATGAAAGCTTAGCTTTATGACTGGGAATGGTCTGGGATCATATTCCAATTAACTTCAACAGTCGGCTGGCGTCTCTTAAACTATGTCACGCAGGATAATTCAGTTGTACCCCCTCTAATATGAATATGAATAACTATAGAGTATATTAAGCTGATGTTATTTCTAAATTGTTGTTGCAATAATATTGTAATATTTGTGTCTCTATTCAATTAACAACTCTTTATTTTTTGTTCGCTGCAGTTACAACAAGCGTGAGGAAGCACAGGAAGCAATAATGGCGCTCAATAATACCGTGCCCGAGGGTGCATCATCACCGATTTGGGTGCGCCTGGCCGAGGAGCATGGCAAGGCGAAGGCCGCACAGTTTATGCCACAAGTTGGTGGTGGTGGCGGCGGTCCGCATATGGGTCAACAGCAACAGCAACCGCCGCCGCCGCATCACCATCAAATGATACCGCATATGCAGCTGGCTCCACGTCCGACGCAGCATCCACGCCACCAGCAGCAGCATCAGCATCAGATGCACCATCAACATCAGCAGCACCAACATCAGCAGCAGCAGCAGCATAAACAACACCAACAACATCTGCTGCAACAGCAGCAACAAAAGCAGCAACATAATCCATATCATCACCACAGTTTGCCGCCACCGCCGCCCCACATGCAACAGTTGCATCACCATCCGCACGGAGGTGGTGGCCGCATCGGTGTCGGCGTCGGTCTGCCACAGCCGATGCACGGCGGCGGCAGTGGTGGTGGTGGCGGCGGTGGCTATCACCCCAATATGGCCAACAGAGGTAGATCAAATAGAACAACACGATCTCAAAAACCGCATCCATATACTAACAATGTACAGAAATTTATTTAAAACAAAATTAATTTCTTTACACAATATTAGCTGCATCTCACAGGTGAAGTGTTCATGCTGCCATTGCCTATCACAGTAATGCCAATGCCCCGTCCACAAGCAGAGCTGCAGCAGCTGCAACTGTTGCAGCAGCGGCAGTGCCTACTGTACCAGCAACATATGCTGCTGCAGCAGTAGTAGCAACTACTGCAACTTCAACTGAGCAGCAGCTTCAGCAGCATCAGCAGCAGTCGCAGCGGCCGTCGAAGCAGCAGCAGCGGCAGTCGCACAAGCGATGCTCATGCAACTGCAGCAGCGTCCTCGGCGGCACAAGCTCTGGCAGATGCATCAGAAACAATGGCGGTGGCATCGGTCAACAACAACACAACAACAACAACAAGAACAACAACCAAAACAGCAACGGCAGCATTAACAGCAACAAGAGTAATTTCAGTAATTTTACCACAACAAGAACAAGAACAACAACAACAACAACAACAACATCAGCAGCAGCAGCAGCTACCACTACAGCAACAACAGTCATTAACACAAGAACAACAACAGCAGCAGCAGCAGCAGCTGATGAGAGAACAACAAGCACAAGCACGGCAGCAACAGCATCATCGGAAATAACAAGAACGAGAACAGCAGCATCAGCAGCAGCAGCAGCAACAATAACTGCAACAAATATATTCGAAACGACAACAACAACAACTAGAGCATATAGAGTGGTCACCGCCTACGCGTCAGCAAATGAAAGAGCACTGCAAGAAGAACAGCAACTGGTGGCACAGCTACAAAAGCAAATGCAACAAATGCAATTGCAAGAGCAACAAACACTGCAGCAGCAATATGTGCAGTTGCAACAACAGTCACATCGAGAACTCCAATTTCAGCAGCAGCAGCAGCAACTTCAATTGCAAGAGCAACAAGCATTGCAGCAGCAACAACAACAGCAACTCCAATTGCAATGGCAACATCATCAACAGCAACAAATGCAACAATTGCTGCAACTGCAACAGCATCATTGCCTGCAATCGATATCATCGCAATTGCAACAAAATGATGTACACGCCCTAATGCCCCCCATCCATTATGGGATGCCGATTACAACAAGCACATCGGAATCGTCAACGGGTGGCACCTGTGTCTATTATCATTATCCACCCAGTGCCAACCAGTTGAATGCCATCAACAACTATATCGATCGCAATACGGACATGTTCCTAACCGCATACGGCTACAATAGTAGCCACGAAACGGCAGCCGAACCAATCAGCGACAATATCCTGGCACAAGCACGAACTGAATTTCAAACTGAAGCTGAAACTGAAGCAGAAGCAGAAGCTCAAATTGAAATTGGCGCTGATGCAGAAGGAGGAGTTCAACAGAAGCAGGCACTTCACAGCCGCAACAACAGACGCGGAGGCGGTGGCACCAACTGAAAAAGATAAAATGCTATTTGAACTACTACAGCACACACCGAAAACTCAGATGTAATATTTAATTGTAATACAATCAATTGTCGGACAATTCCATGTTCGCAAAACTGACATTTTCCATTCACCACACTTTTTTTTTTCGTTTTTTTTTTGTTTTTTTTTTTGTTGCAAGCTCTTAAGCAGCACAATCCTTGGCGCAAAAGGTCGACTCGAATAGTATTCCAAAATATGAACAAAATAAGTTCCAATTTGAATTTTGTTTTGCTAATATTTTAGAACCAGCAAAACGATAGTTTGTCATTTGCAATAGAAAGAAAATTGTGCTATTTAAGAGGTATCGAAAAAAATAGTTTTCTTTGATTAAAGGTGGAAAATGTCACGCCCACACATATATATGTCGACATATATATAAAAAGTTGTTGTTTTAAAACCCAAATGAATCTATGTGCTGAATGTAAAAAAGATAACCCAAAACATATACATAGATAGATTATATATAATATAAATTCATCTTAATATGTATATATATATGTGTATTATAATATATATACAAAACATAAATATATGTATACATATATATATATATATATATATATATATATATATGTCAGCCCACCCACGAAATTTATTTGTGAGCCAAGCAAAAGAGACGCGGGCTGAAAACGCCAGAGAAAATTAAAATGTGTTTTCGGTTACACGCAAAGAAAAACGAAAATCGAAACTAAACTCGAAAAAAAATAAGAAATTGGCAACACTTTTTGCGCAAGGTAAACCGAAAAAAAGGGCAACACACAAAACACCACAACACATGATAACTGAAAGCAAAGCATTCAAGTTAATGAATTGAGCCTAAGCCAACACAGCACACTCCTTAAACAACAACAACATCCACAGCATACACACACACACACACACTCTTATTTGTATTATATGATTATTATACATAATTGACTCATTTTTCGTAGCCCATGTGCAAAATCTTTAATTTTTTAACACAAACACACACAAAGATACACACCTAACACACACATACACCCACACTCCAATTTGAATTTGAATTTGTACAATTAAATAAAAAAAGAAGAGAATAAACAAAAAGAGAAACTTAAATTTACTTATATTCACTCACAATCTAATTGTACATTTCGCGCCCTTTTGTTTTTCATGATTTGGGAACGAAGCCAAATCGGTCAGAAAACCCAACCACATTTCAAAAGGTCTGTTTAAACTGTAATAATGTAATATATAAAATACCTTAAACAACAATAATACAAAAAAAGAGAGAATAAATCCAATAGAAGAAACAATTGATATATGAAGAAATAAATCCATCTAAACAGACTTTTTTTTAATCATTTTAAAAAACTAGTCTTGTAGCATTATAATAGTTAAGACTTTTTTTGCAAGAAACTAAATTTATAGAAACAATTAAAAATAAACTGTACTAATAATAAAAATAAAAAAGAAAACAAAAAAAAAATAAATTAAACGCTAAAATTTGTATAAAAACAAAGATTTTGTATCCGTTTAATGGAGAGAGAGAGAGAGAGAGATCAGAGCAGTTGCAACTATATAACAAAATGGCGTCCTGACATGCTATCGAGCGAGATAGCAAACATTGGCAGAGTGAGACAGAGCGGCAGCCAAGTACAGTCAGACAATTGGAGCTTTAAAGATTTATCTAAATTGTTTGTGTGTATTTGCACCCTGTAATTGATAATGGACGCAAATTATAATAGTTGAATTTTATATACAATCAACAGTTAGCAGCAGCTAGTTTTACATATACATATATAATATATACGAATATATACTATTTCTATTTGCAAACAATCACTGAAAGTCATTCAATATAATTTCACATTTGTTTATTGCGTAAATATGACTTTTATTTCGTTTCAAACCATTTAAACAGCGCGCCACTTTCAACAGTTCTCGCTATGTTATTAACATAGTCACAGCTGTAATGTTAGAGTCTATCCATAAATGGTATTTCGCCGCAGTGTGTGGCCACCATGGCTGCCATTGGAAAATACCGTGTGGAAAATACCAGCCACATTCCAATGGCAATTAGCGCTAAAATAAAGAAAAATAAAGCAACTGAAAAACAATAGCAGGACCATAAAAAAACGAAACCAAAACGTGATTTATATCCAAGTGCCTGAGACAATTCCAAAACAGCCCAAGCGAACACCTTGTAGAGTACAGGGTAAACTGCAGAGCAAGCGCAGACAGTCAGACGAGGCCGCAAATTATTTATTTATTTTTGCCCATGCAGTGGGAACGTAACGGAATACGCAATAAATGATAATCGACCTTCCCCATTCCCCTAATTGACGAGCAAGGCAAGCGAGCGGAGCAGCGGGGCAAGCGGCGCGCTAAGCGCCCAGGAAAACCCAGAACAATAACAAAATAAAAGCAAAACAAAATAAAGAAACCAAATACCCAATTGCCAATTGAATAAAGTACAATTGGGACAGCAAAAAAAAAAAAGAATAGAAAAACAAACAAAAAAACAACAAAGTATAAAAACAACAAGAAGAACAATAACAATTAGCGATAACAGCAGCAGTCGCAGCATCTGAGAATGCCACAGATGAGAGCCGCTGCCGCTGAGGCGGCTGCAGCGGGCAATGCGAACCCTCAGCCGCTGGTGAAGATCGGACACTATCTGCTTGGTGCCACACTCGGCACGGGCACCTTTGGCAAGGTGAAAATTGGCGAGCATCAAATCACACGGCTGAAGGTCGCCGTCAAGATACTCAATCGCCAGAAGATCAAGAGTCTCGATGTTGTCTCCAAAATCAAGCGAGAGATCCAAAATCTCAAACTCTTCCGGCATCCGCACATCATTAAGCTATACCAGGTGAGGTTATCTACCAAATACATCCCCCCCCCCCCCCCTGCCAAAGTGCCATTGAAGATGAAAACGTGCGCCGTTTATTTATTATATTAGCCCACATATCAGACTGGTGTGTGTGTGTGCGTGTGTGCGTGTGTGTGTGTGTGTTTGCGTATGTGTGTGTTCAATCATTTTGCTGACTCAATCAATAACTGTAACTGTAATGTAATAGTTGCATTTTGAAACTGATTTGGCCAAAAATGGGTTTCGCTTTATCTCAATCCCCCCCAATAAATTGGGGCACACTCGGGAATTGTTGGAATTGCTGCGATTTGGTCCGCATCCGATCAGCCTTGCTATGATTTTCTTAACTTGTTTATATATGAAACTCACTTATTTTATTCCTATTCCCAAATGATATAATACAAATGGTCTTATCTTAATTGGAAAAGAGTTTTTCTCAATTCAGATAAGACTATTTGAAGACTACACAAAGTATAGAAATGTGTGCATTTTAATTAAGATAAGGCCAGCAGTTTTTTAGTATATATATAGGATCAAACATAGATACATGTGATCTTTGGAGTAGAAAAATCTATAATTGTTTTACTATATGAAAGCACTGATTTTCTTTCGGACAGGTCATCTCAACACCATCGGATATATTCATGATAATGGAGTATGTCAGCGGCGGCGAGCTGTTCGATTATATTGTGAAGCATGGAAAGCTGCAGGAGCATCAGGCGCGACGCTTCTTCCAGCAGATCATATCGGGCGTGGACTATTGCCATCGGCACATGATCGTCCACAGGGATCTGAAGCCAGAGAATCTGCTGCTCGATCACAATATGCACGTGAAAATTGCCGACTTCGGTCTGTCCAATATGATGCTGGACGGTGAGTTTCTGCGCACATCATGCGGCTCACCAAATTATGCAGCGCCCGAGGTGATATCGGGCAAACTGTATGCCGGTCCCGAGGTGGACATCTGGTCGTGTGGCGTCATACTGTATGCGCTGCTGTGCGGCACTCTGCCGTTCGATGATGAGCATGTGCCATCGCTGTTCCGCAAGATTAAGTCGGGCATCTTTCCGATACCCGAATATCTCAATAAGCAGGTGGTCAACTTGGTGTGCCAGATGCTGCAGGTGGATCCGCTGAAGCGTGCCACCATCGAGGAGATCAAGAAGCACGAGTGGTTCCAAAAGGAGCTGCCCGCCTATCTATTCCCCTCATCGATCGAGCAGGACTCGAATGTCATCGATACGTACGCCGTCTCCGAGGTCTGCACCAAATTTGGCGTCAAGGAGTCCGAGGTGCACAATTCATTGCTCAGCGGTGATCCGCACGATCAGCTGGCAATCGCCTATCATCTGATCATCGATAATAAACGTTTCGCCGATGATGCCGCCACACAAATTAGCGAGATAAATAACTTTTTTGTGGCCGGCTCACCGCCACCGGCAACACAATTGACGCACTCCACCCACGAGCCGCGCACCAGCGGCGCTGAGCCGATCGCCACCGTTTTTGTTGGTGGCGGCACAGCTGCCAGTTCGGGCAGTGCAACGCCCGTTCACAACGGTCCAATGGGTGGCAGCGTTGCCACCAGCGGCATTGCAGTGCCAACCATACGGCCACATCCCGAACGGATAGCACCGATGCGCGAACGCCAGCTGGCCATGTCTGTGCAGAATACGGGTGGCGCCGCCTTTCCCGAGAAGACAGCGCGCGGCGGCACACCAATTAAGCGGGCCAAATGGCATCTAGGCATACGATCGCAGAGCAAGCCGAACGACATCATGCTCGAGGTATATCGGGCGATGAAGGCGCTCAACTACGAGTGGAAGATCATCAATCCGTATCATGTCCGTGTCCGGCGCCAGAATGTGAAGACTGGCAAATTTTCGAAAATGTCGCTGCAGCTTTATCAAGTGGATGCGAAGAGCTATCTGCTTGACTTTAAGTCGCTGACCAACGATGAGGTCGAACAGGGCGACGATGTCATCATGGAGAGCCTAACGCCGCCACCGATGAGCGTCAGCGGCACAATGCCCATGCAGCCAACGGGCCACCACACCATGGAGTTCTTTGAGATGTGTGCCGCACTCATCATACAGCTGGCGCGTTAAGAACACGCCTACCAAAACACACCTATTTTTTGAATTCACCCTCCCCACACACACACACAAATACACATACAACACACACAGTAATATACACACACACAACAAACACACACACAGAAATATACACACACACAACAAACACACACACACACATCATGATACAGCAGCCAAATGAATGAGGAAAATGAAAACTATATTTTGCTTGCCAATTTCAATTCAGCCCAACAATTTTGAAAATATGATTTTTAATTTCAATGACGATTCGAAATTTGTCAGCATCTTTAATTGCTTAAAGTTCACAAATAACAAATGATTGTATTATGTTTAATATTGGTCGCAAACAGTTGATATATATTTAAATATGAAGAACGCAGAATTGTCGAGCGATTTTCTCGTACAACAGATTCATTTGGCAGCCACATCATGATATTATTATTATTATTATTATTATATATTATCTAGCAAACTGTTGAGCAAAATGCGCAAAAAAAAAGAATATTCTTTTGCAGTGCAGTTCATAATCCATTTAGTTTTTTAATTGTGTTGCTACGCTTGGCGCTTAATTCTTTTTTTTTTTATTGGTTGATGAGTCGCGTATGATTTTTTATTTTTCTTATAGTATTGTATTGTATATTGTATTAATTGCTAATGAGTCAAAAACACACACAGCTGATAAAGAAGAAAATAATAATAATGCAATACGTATTTGATTTAACGATTTAACTTGAAGATGCAATAATCGACTATTTCCCCACTTCCGCCTTTGCTGGCTAATCTATTCTATTCTATCCGCTGGCCGTTGGTTTCTTGGTCTCTTGGCAAAAATAATAATAATTGTTAACAAATTTTGTATATGGTATAAGGCATAGCTGAAATACGATGCTTGCAGCAAATGTTTTCGTAATTCTATCTGTAACAAGAAAAAGTGAAACTAACTAAATATATACGATATATAAACAAAACAATATCAAGTTGCCAGCAAATATTGATATTTCCGAGTGTTTTCTTTTATCGCCAACATCGGAATGGGAATTTTCATGTGTAAAATAATACAGATATTTGTATAAACAATATTGATAACAAAGACTATTCAAGGAAATCCATTTGCCAAATGTTATCAATACAAACAGTGCTGAAATCAATTCATATTAATCAGAAATTAGATGAATGTTTCTTGCGCTGCTTGACTGACTGACTGACTGATTGACGACGATTGACAAGTGAATGTGTCATTCTCAGTCAGCAGAGCCGCAACAAACACACATTTATTTTTATTGAGCGTTGCTTAATGTCTAACTTCGACATGGTTTTTGTTCAATCTATTATCATCATTACTTTAATCATAATTACTAAATTGTTGTTTACGCACTCGTCGCGTCGAGCGTTGTGCGTCGCGCACCAATTAAATTCTTAAGGCCGCAAATACAAATACATATTAATAATATCCACATGCTGATGTACTAAATATATTCAATATTTAAGACACTTGTGCAAGTTGTGCTTCAGTTGTGGCAAGCTAAGGGCAGCTACTGATGCTGTTGCTGCTTCCGCTTCAGTTTATCGATGAGCGTCTCTATGCTGTTTGCATCCACCAGACCGATGAACTTGTCCACGACGACACCGTTGCGAAAGGCGAGCACAGCGGGCACGGCCTTCACCTCAAACGTTTCGACCAGATCCAAATTGGCCTCCACATCGATAATGGCCAAATCGATCTCATTCGAGTTCTCCAAGAGTTCAAGCATCTTCGGCGTGAGTATTTTGCAGGGATCGCACCATTCCGCATGGAAATTTACAATCACCGGATTATCGCTGTTAATGACCTGTTTTGTTTTGTTGAACAAACAAAAGACACAAACTTTAATAGGAGCATTTACTATGCATGTACATATCTATGTTGAACAGTCGACTCGACTCGACTCGAGTCTATATTCTGGCTTATTTGCATACACGCGCAAACACACACACACACACACACACACACATACACGAGTAGCTGTGTGTGGCCAAATAGTCGACTAGCGATGCCCTGTAATTAGTTTTGGTAATTATATAAGTATAAGAAATAGATATATGCCAAATATTTGTATCTTAGGCTCATTTGTGTTGCATTAGTTCTTCTATATTCCCAGCGAGAGAGAGAGAGAGAGAGAGAGGTAGGCCTGTCAACCCCTTTCGGTTCTGTTCTTTGTGCGGGGTATTTAGTGAGCCGCATAAACAAACTGATCCAAACACACAGACATATGTGCATAAATAGCCAAAATGCGTCATGGTTTACGGCCGGAACTGCTCACGTACGCCAAATGGCCAACCAAGCGCATTGCATAATGCATATGTGTGTGTGTGAGTGCGTATAAATGTAAATACACAAATAAAATAGATACTTATAGATATGTGCATGCATGTGTATATGTCGCTCACCTTCTGATCAAATTCGTAGTGATCCTTGATGGCGAGCATCTTGTAGTGCATCTGGGATTGTGAGAGGCATTTCTGTGTTGCTTTGGCCGCCTGTGGCGCCATTCGATGGCAGCTGCTGTGGGCGCTGCTGTTAATAAGGCAACAGGCCGCCAGGCGTGGCACAATGCCCTCCGCTGCAATTTTCAGCATTTTACAACGTGGCACAAGAGTGCACAGTGAATCCTAGTCGAGTGGAGCGTGTAAGCGGATTTGTAAGCCGGACGCAGTCGGTCGAGTTGAAGACGCCGCGATAAGATAAATAAATGTCCAAATACTGTTCACTTACTGTTTGCGTTATTGGGGTGAGCGCTGCTCACCGGGGTGGCATCTCTTTACGTTTGTCTGGCAACGCTAATTGGCAAATTGAGCGCTGCCAGATGGTTGGCATATTTTTTGTCGTTCACAATGGTGAGCCTGTCAATTCATTTGTTCTTCAATTTCATTTAACTATAAATACACAAAATTGCTAATTATGTAAAAAAGTATGCAAAAAGTATGACAAAGATGAAGCATACACCTATTTGTCCAGTGTGGCCAACTCAAATCAATACATTTCATAGCACTGCCTGTCGCTTTTGAATTTCAACGGCCAAAACGTGAATTTCTAGAGACCTATTTTAAAGTTTTGATGTTGAATTAGCATACGTACATACATATGTACATATGTATATAAAAAGGCCTGCATAATGTCGGAAATCTGGTCATTTTAAGCAGTTTGAGTATGATATATTAATTTAAAAAAATGCTAAAACATGAATTTCTCGGGATTTTTACAGAAAGACGTAGTTCAAGCTTTTAAGCATAATTAGAATACTTATATAAAAAGGCCTGCATAACGTTGAAAATAAGTCGGAAAACTGAAGATTTTAGTTGAAGATAAAAATGTTTGAATTTGATATGCGGAACAAGTGATGTTTTACGTTAAATAATCAATAAAAAACAAAGGAAAATGCTTCACAATATGTGTGCATGCGTATGTGTGTGTATGTGTATTAAAGTTGATTGACACGTAGATAATATCAAATGTTTTGTTTTATAGAAAGTATTGGAAACTGTGGGCGAATCGACCCAGTTTAAGTGTTAATTCACCACTTGAACTAACGGCAATGTTTGTCTTTAATTAGCTGAAAATGTCACATTTACCACGCTGATCTTATCGATCGAATTGGGTCTTAATTGGAGCGAATGCGTTGGCGGTGGTGGAGCAATCGCCTGTACCATGTTGATAGCGATGAACGTGAGCGGAATCTATTCCAGCTATGTGGACAGCAAACTGATTGGCATCCAGTCAGAGGAGGTGAACCTGTATGTGGTGGATGCACTGCGGCATGTCATCCACGATGTATTCGCCCAGCTGAGCGCCACGCTGGTGATAACGATATCGTCCGGCAGTTACACACTTGGCTGGTTCGAGCAAGTCCTGGCCAACCTAATCAGCACCTGGAGCACGGTGCCCGTACAAATGCTGCGAACAAATCGTACGGCTCATGTGCCCGGACGCAAATACAGCAATCTGTTGTTGGTCGACTCCTACGAGAGTTTGTGGTGAGTACAGATCTGCTGTTCAGTGATGACCACTCCTAATCGATTCTCTCTGCTGCTGCTGCTCAGTTCTACGCGGCTTGCCGAGGACAATGCAGATTACGATGATCACGAGTATTACTTCATATTTCTGCAGACTCGCGATGCGTTCATGCAGCGCGAGCTGCAATTGATATTGGAGCACTGCCTGCACAACTACTGGCTGCACTGCAACGTTATGGTGCAAACGGCCCAGGTGGAGGTGCTAGTCTATAGCTACTATCCGTATACGGAGCAAGGTTGCCAGACGGCACAGCCAAAGCTAATCAATCGCTTTGATGGCGAGCGAATGGTGAATGCACCGATGTTTCCACACAAGCTGCGCCAGCTGCACCAATGTCCGCTCACCGCTCTCCTCTGGCACGCGCCGCCCTTTGTCCAACTGCGCTGGGATGAGCGGGCGGCACAGATGCGGGCCGATGGCTTCGAGATCAAGCTCATCGAGCGACTGGCGCAGCGTCTCAACTTTAGCCTCATTTTCGACTACCCTCAGAATTGGGCCAATAGCGGAGCCATGGGATCCCTCGAAATGGTAAGCAGTTGCCAGAGAAAACAAACTTTTAGATCTTCTTTTTATACCTTGAACGCATTCGAAATGGATCAGGATCAACAGCCGAGTCGATATAGCCATGTCCGTCTGTCCGTCTGTATGAACACGCGGCTCTCAGAGATTATAAGAGCTAGAGAGTTCCAATTTGGAATATAATCTAAGAATAATATAAGTATCGATAACTGCCTCCGTTTCCGAAAACAATAAGAGCCTACATTTTGAGAGCAGACATAAAACTTAATCAAGATCGGATAAGAAACACCATAAGAAATGAGAGCATTTCCACACCTGCTTCATTTGAGTGTGCAACACTCTTTAAGGGAAATTTGCCAATAAAACTGGATTATATTTAACAGTTGGGTTCAGGGTATATCGTAGGCCAGGTCACTCCACATTCAGTATTCTTACTTGATTTTCTCGATTTTTCCGTGTAGTTAAAGGGACAGCGGGCCAATCTGAGTGTTGGTAACTTGTGGAAAACAGCTGAACACAATCGAATCCTCAGCTCGCCGATGGCGCACTACTATGCGCCACTGGTGGCAACGGTGGCCATCGATAAATTTCGCTTCGGCTCCCTCAAGCTGCTCCATTTCCCGTTCCAGTGGGGCGTGTGGGTCACACTGCTGGCGGCATTGCTCGTCCATGGCGTTGTATACGTGTGGCGTTGGCGGGTCAATGGGCTGCAGGTGCTGGAGCTGTTGCTGGGTGTCACAGTGGTGCGTCTGCCTCGCACCTGGATGCAGCGCATCATCTATGCCCACTGGATGTACGGCAGCATCCCATTGCGTGTCGTCTATCAGTCGCTGTTGTTCCACTTCATACGGCTGCAGTTGTTCGAATCGCTGCCCAACTCCTTTGAGCAGCTGCTGGATCAGCATTTTCGCGGCCTGTGCACGTCCAGCATGCTGGGTATGCTGCGCGAGGTGCCGCATTTGGAGCGCATCTATGAGAGCTTTGAGAGCATCAGCTCACCGTACGATGAGGCTGTGCTGGATGTCCTGCATCAAAGGGGCGACACTCGATTATTTGCCATTACCGGCCTGGACACGACCAACGCATATTTGTGGGCCACGAATCGCCAGAGTAAATATCACATATTGACGCAGTACGTCAACTTGCAGCAGGTGGTCATCTACATGCCCAAGCACTCCTACTTCAAGCAGCAGTTCAACGATCTGCTGCGCCAGTTAGATGCCAGCGGCTTCATTGACTACTGGCGGCGTGCCGCCTTCAGCGAGTACAGCCACAGGAGCCACAGGAGTCACACAACCATAATCGTGGGCAGGATCAACAGCAGGTTCACCAACTGGACGGCATCTACATCGTGATGGGCGCTCTTTATGCTCTCTCCATGTTGATTTTTGGCGCCGAGTTGCTCTGCCATCAACCGACCATTGTTTGAAGTACAAATGTATTATAAAATCATAATTATTTAATTGAATCTATTATGTAAATATATATATTATAAGCTGCTCTCTCTCTCTTTTCCTGTCTCTAATAAATCAATATGTTGTCAACATTTAATTGCAAGAATCACAAATTGGATCATTTTCAATTTAAGTCTAATTTAATATGAAACGAGATCTAGGTGGCGCCAAATCGTAATCATATTGAGACCTGACTGGCGTCGTGTATACTTAGGCTATTAAATTTCCTGTGACTTCTGCGATCTGGCAACACCAAAGCTGTACTCAATTCTCAACGGCTTTTTATTGTTTTTTTTTATTAAATTCATTTAGCTGTGAATTAAGTGTAAAACTGGAATTTAAACGGAGTCCACAGTAATTACAGGAAATACAAAGTATCGACACTAGTTAGTAACATTTGTTTTATATCATCAATCACAATCAGCATACAGTTGGCGGGCAATTAACTTGAATGATAAACAGAAACGCGATGCATGCCTCTCGAATCAATCAGCAATTTCAAGCACAACTTGAGGTGCATTTGCCAGTTAATTGCGGGCAAGGAATATGAACATAACGGAGCTGCTACGTTCGTATCAGAATCTGGCCGGGGAGCAGGCCAGCCACATCAATGAGTATGTGGCACGGTCGCTGCTGCACGTGGTGCACACGCACATAATGAGCATGACGTCATCGCTGGTATTGATTCTCTGCTGCCGCAACCAGAACACCTGCAACTTCTACAACGAGATGATGATCATACTCTTCCGCAGCTGGGGCATAGCTCCGCTCCAGATTGTGAACGTGATGCAGGGGATGCGAGGCCGGCATATTCCCGGTCGCCGACACTTCAATCTGATATTCACGGACTCGTATGCGGCCTTTGCGGAGATCGAGGTGGAGGCATATTCCCGGGATTACGCATACAATGAGCACTATTACATCTTTTTGCAGGCGCGGGATCATCTAATGTTTGCCGAAATGGGGCGCATCTTCGAGCACTGCTGGCGCCACCAGCTCATCAATTGCAACGTTCAGGTGCAGCGGGCCAACGGGGACATCCTGGTGTACACCTATCAACCGTTTGGAGCACACAGCTGCGCCAATATGACGCCACAGCTGATCAATCGCTACAATGGCAGCCACATGCTCCATCCACAGCTCTACCCCCGCAAACTGGCCAACTTTTTTGGCTGTCCACTTCGCATCGCACTCTGGCATATGCCTCCATACTGGTTTCTCTCTGACTCTGATCCTGCTCGCATCACTGGCGGCATCGAAGGGCGCCTCCTTCAGACGATCAGCCATCGACTCAACTTTAGCATCCAAGTACGTAAGCCACCTCCAGGACGGTTGCCAGTTCGCGAAAGAATGCTGCAGATGGTCAGTGACTAAATACTCTAATCTCTTCTTAAATGCAGACAATATTTGACTCTTTGCATCTCGTCTCCTTTTGCAGTTGCATCGCGACGAAGCGGATCTTACCGTGGGTGCCATTCGGCCGACGGTGGCCTACAACCAATTGGCGACATCGTCGCACAACTATTATCAGACAAGCATTCGGCTTGCTGTTCTGCGCAGCCATTATGAGCTGAGCTCCCTGGACATTCTGCTCTATCCATATCCAAGGATCATTTGGCTTGGCATCTCGCTGGTCTGTGCACTCTCGCTGCTGCTGCTGTTGGCCATGGACCGAGTGTTGGCAAGCGATCCGGGCTCCCTCTGGCTGAATGTGCAGCTAATCTTCGTAGGCATGCCAATGGAGCAGATTCCACGCTTTAGGTGCAAGCGGTTGTACTGCATAATGCTGATGGTCTACACGCTGCTCATACGCACCGCCTATCAGGGAATGTTGTACCATTTAATACGCACCCACCAGTTGAACCGACTGCCCCAGTCCATTGAGGAGCTGGTGGCCGACAATTACACAGTGATCAGTCCAATCGGGATGTACAATGTGCTATCCGGGATTCCCTCTATGGAGCACATGCGATTTCACACATTGGAAACGGAAACCACCCTGATGCAACCTCTAATTTATATAGCAGAGCATCCTCGAGTCAAGCGACAGGTAGTCGCCAGTGTTGCGGATGTATTTCATTTATTCAATCACATGAGAAGCTATAATGCTGATGTTAATGAAGAGCGGAATTGTAATCAATTCGAGATCATTTCTCAGGACGTGATCAACCTGCAAATGAGCATGTACCTGAGGAAGCACTCATTCCTGGTCGATGAGTTCAACGAGCAGATCATGTGGATGCGCTCCGTGGGACTCCTGTCGATTTGGACGCACTGGGAGCTGGATGACAGAGTTTCATATATAGCGAAGCCATCCAGCGTCAGGTCGCTTGACCTGCTGGAGCTGCAGATCATATTTGCTGTGGTTCTATTTGGATTTATGCTCAGCACGATTATTTTTGGCCTGGAATTACTCTCGCTGCGCTTTGTGCGACTTCGGATTTGGTTTCATCGATAAAGCATCCACCGAATATATAATCAGGTTAAACTAATGCCTGAATCGGAGTAAGAATATTGTTCAGTTCAATTCACTTTTCAGTGCACTTATAGTAGTAGTGGTTGTTGGTCACCTAAACGGTTTGAATGACATCTCGTCCCGTTAAGTTAACAAGCCTTATAATATATCTATCTATATATATGTCTATCCAAGCGTAGCTTCGATTTAGCCACAGCCTCAACTCAGACGACAACCTAGCGGAGGAAGACTACGCTTCGTTTTAGGTGGATCTGTGACTAGTGTGTGTGTTGTGTGTGGTGTTAATTTATGGTACGCCGAGCCGAACTGTGTCTGCGCTGTCCTCAGCATTTGGCACTGCCGCGGGAGGTTTGGTGGTGGTGGTGATTTAGGGGTAATCCCATATCATGTCTGGTCGCGTAAGCAGCAATTAGTTTAAGTAATGAACACAGATTTGTTTAATGCATTACAGCGTTTAAATTAATTCACTTAACATAGTCCCCTGCGACAAAAGGGATTCGATTGTTGTTCAGGCTTATTCAAAGATATTTTTGACAATGTTTGATTTTTCCACAGCATCTATTATTAAGTTTGAGATGAAATACTTACAAATGTACTAAAATCGAAAACATTTAATAAAAATCAATGCACATCTTGTTCAAATAATTGATTTTATTTTGAAAATTTCAGTCATTTTCAATTATCAATCAATTTTACGGATGGAAGAAGTGATGATTTGGCCAGATAGCAGGGTATTCCCTGGTTGGGCACTAATAAATGTTTAAAATTGCATTAGCACTCCATGCTGAGGCTTGATTTCTCCTGGGCACAATCGATATGCAATCAATATGGCATTGCTGCAAGTGCAATTGCAATTTTATCGTCTGCTCCATTTCAGTGGCTGCCACGAAATGAAACCGTCAACTCATCTAGCTGGTCTGCTGGTCAGCTGGCTCAGCTTTAGCTGTCTGGCACTGCAGACGCCTGACCAGCAACGTCTGCTGGCCAACGAAGTGGAGATCGTCAGCAAGTTGTCCGATGCACTGCACCTAATACTGATGGACATCTGTGCGGCGCACAACATGAGCGTCTTTGTGAGCACCCGGTATAGGGAGCAGCTGCCACTGGAACAACAGCATATTGTGGAACAAGTGCTGGAACGAGTGTTGAGTTTCGACAGCAATGCTGCTCTGCCCATTGTGATGGACACTCTGCTGCACTCCGATATGAGATTGAATATCAGGCTGCTGGTATTCTTTGTCCAGGATGCACAACAGCTGGCAACAGCAGCATTGCACAATACACGCGGCGATGCCAGGTACAAATTCAATAATTTAATTGTGCTACTAACAACAACGGATGATGCCCAGGAGCAACAGGCGCAGATGAGCCAAATCTTTGACTTTCTTTTGCATCGACGCTACAATGTTAATGCGCTGCTGTTGCTCGTGGACCCGCAGCTGGCCACATTGGATGCGTACACCTTCTGGCCGTATAGATCGCAACAGTCCTGCCTGTCCACCCAGCCAGTTCGCGTTTCACTGCGCAATGCCCAATTCAACGATCTCTATCCACATAAGTTGCACAATTTGCACGGCTGTCCGCTGTCCGCCGTTGCGTGGCACGTGCCACCGTATATGGAAGTGTATCCGCAGAGCGACGAGGCCATCAAAGAGATTGCCGGCTTTGACGCGGAGATACTGAAAGTGTTGGCGAGCAGGCTAAACTTTAGCTTGGTGCTGATGCGGAACGAGCCGCCCGACTTGACTGGTGGCGAAACCTTTTGGAACGGCACGATGACTGGTGCTTATCTCATGCTCTCAGAGCATCGCGCTAATATAACGATCGGTTTCACTGCCTGCCAGCCGGCACGTTCCAAGTATTTGGCCAGCACTGACCCGTACAACCAGATAGAGTTCGTACTGGTGGTGCATGGGGCGCAATCATATAGCTCCTATGAGATCATGCTGATGCCCTTCAACACCAACGTCTGGTTGCTGTTGGTCGCCATGGTTGGACTGCGTCTGCTTTGTCGGCTGCGTGGCTGGCAATTGATATCGCCGCTGCACATTGGCTGGCTCTACAGTCTATTTCTGTTCCGCATCTGTTACGAGAGCTCCGTGTTTATGTTTGTGCAAAATAGACCAATGCGACCGCTGCCCGAGTCACTGGAGCAGGCACTGGAGCTGGATTATAGCTTAGTTGTGCCACACAGAACTTATCACGTAGTGCAGCATATGCCCTCGCTGTTATCGCGCACAACCATTCTGCCAGGCAAACCGGTGGACATGTTCGATCAGCTGCTAGCCATGCCCGCAGATAGACAGAGACGCACCGCTATCATCAGCACTCAGCATTATTTTCGCTACTATCTTGCCACTACAGCAACTGGTGAGCGGCTTGACGATCCGCATCTTGTGCAGGTGAAAGAAAAGTTCAGGAATAGTATGGTCTGTATGCACTTTCCACCGTCCTTCTATCTGACCGGTGTCTTTAATCAAATGCTCTTCAATATGCGCTGTTCCGGAATTACCCAGCATATATCCGATCGGACCAAGTGGTCACGTTTGAATGCCATGCATAGCACCACATCGCAGACGAATGTCCTCGACTATGATAAGTCCATAAGCTTCATCTATACCGCATTCTATTGCCTCTTGCTGGTTGAGGCTCTCACAATTGTCGTCTTTGCTTTGGAGCTGCTTAGTCAGCGTTGGCCACGTGGCTGGTTATCCTCAATCTTTCGGCAACTTTAGGAACGACAGTTTCGGATAAATATGATGAAATAACAATATAATCCCTTTACTTATCCTGAAACATAGTTTACTCCCACTTGAGTGTTATGCTGCACTACAGGTTTTTATTTGTATTATCATAAATGCAATTATAAAATAAATAAATCAAAATTAAACATAGAATATATACTTCTTTTCGAGCACCTCGGCCAGTGATCGGAGCGGAGTGCGTACGCGTCCATCCTGCAGCAGGATATACAGCATCAGCTCACCGTACGATGAGGCTGTGCTGGATGCCCTGCATCAAAGGGGCGACACTCGATTATTTGCCATTACCGGCCTGGACACGACCAACGCATATTTGTGGGCCACGAATCGCCAGAGTGAATATCACATATTGACGCAGTACGTCAACTTGCAGCAGGTGGTCATCTACATGCCCAAGCACTCCTACTTCAAGCAGCAGTTCAACGATCTGCTGCGCCAGTTAGATGCCAGCGGCTTCATTGACTACTGGCGGCGTGCCGCCTTCAGCGAGTACAGCCACAGGAGCCACAGGAGCCACAGGAGTCACACAACCAGTAATCGTGGGCAGGATCAACAGCAGGTTCACCAACTGGACGGCATCTACATCGTGATGGGCGCTCTTTATGCTCTCTCCATGTTGATTTTTGGCGCCGAGTTGCTCTGCCATCAACCGACCATTGTTTGAAGTACAAATGTATTATAAAATCATAATTATTTAATTGAATCTATTATGTAAATATATATATTATAAGCTGCTCTCTCTCTCTTTCTCTCTCTATCAATAAATCAATATGTTGTCAACATTTAATTGCAAGAATCACAAATTGGATCATTTTCAATTTAAGTCTAATTTAATATGAAACGAGATCTAGGTGGCGCCAAATCGTAATCATATTGAGACCTGACTGGCGTCTTGTATACTTAGGCTATTAAATTTCCTGTGACTTCTGCGATCTGGCAACACCAAAGCTGTACTCAATTCTCAACGGCTTTTTATTGTTTTTTTTTATTAAATTCATTTAGCTGTGAATTAAGTGTAAAACTGGAATTTAAACGGAGTCCACAGTAATTACAGGAAATACAAAGTATCGACACTAGTTAGTAACATTTGTTTTATATCATCAATCACAATCAGCATACAGTTGGCGGGCAATTAACTTGAATGATAAACAGAAACGCGATGCATGCCTCTCGAATCAATCAGCAATTTCAAGCACAACTTGTGGTGCATTTGCCAGTTAATTGCGGGCAAGGAATATGAACATAACGGAGCTGCTACGTTCGTATCAGAATCTGGCCGGGGAGCAGGCCAGCCACATCAATGAGTATGTGGCACGGTCGCTGCTGCACGTGGTGCACACGCACATAATGAGCATGACGTCATCGCTGGTATTGATTCTCTGCTGCCGCAACCAGGACACCTGCAACTTCTACAACGAGATGATGATCATACTCTTCCGCAGCTGGGGCATAGCTCCGCTCCAGATTGTGAACGTGATGCAGGGGATGCGAGGCCGGCATATTCCCGGTCGCCGACACTTCAATCTGATATTCACGGACTCGTATGCGGCCTTTGCGGAGATCGAGGTGGAGGCATATTCCCGGGATTACGCATACAATGAGCACTATTACATCTTTTTGCAGGCGCGGGATCATCTAATGTTTGCCGAAATGGGGCGCATCTTCGAGCACTGCTGGCGCCACCAGCTCATCAATTGCAACGTTCAGGTGCAGCGGGCCAACGGGGACATCCTGGTGTACACCTATCAACCGTTTGGAGCACACAGCTGCGCCAATATGACGCCACAGCTGATCAATCGCTACAATGGCAGCCACATGCTCCATCCACAGCTCTACCCCCGCAAACTGGCCAACTTTTTTGGCTGTCCACTTCGCATCGCACTCTGGCATATGCCTCCATACTGGTTTCTCTCTGACTCTGATCCTGCTCGCATCACTGGCGGCATCGAAGGGCGCCTCCTTCAGACGATCAGCCAGCGACTCAACTTGAGCATCCAAGTACGTAAGCCACCTCCGGGACGGTTGCCAGTTCGCAAAAGAATGCTGCAGATGGTCAGTGACTAAATACTCTAATCTCTTCTTAAATGCAGACAATATTTGACTCTTTGCATCTCGTCTCCTTTTGCAGTTGCATCGCGACGAAGCGGATCTTACCGTGGGTGGCATTCGACCGACGGTGGCACATAACCAATTGGCGACATCGTCGCACAACTATTATCAGACAAGCATTCGGTTTGCTGTTCTGCGCAGCCATTATGAGTTGAGCTCCCTGGACACTCTGCTCTATCCATATCCAAGGATCATTTGGCTTGGCATCTCGCTGGTCTTTGCACTCTCGCTGCTGCTGCTGTTGGCCATGGACCGAGTGTTGGCAAGCGATCCGGGCTCCCTTTGGCTGAATGTGCAGCTAATCTTCGTAGGCATGCCAATGGAGCAGATTCCACGCTTTAGGTGCAAGCGGTTGTACTGCATCATGCTGATGGTCTACACGCTGCTCATACGCACCGCCTATCAGGGAATGTTGTACCATTTAATACGCACCCACCAGTTGAACCGACTGCCCCAGTCCATTGAGGAGCTGGTGGCCGACAATTACACAGTGATCAGTCCAATCGGGATGGACGATCTGCTAGCCGAGATTCCCACTATGCGGCACATGCGATTTCACACATTGGAAACGGAAACCACCCTGATGCAACCTCTAATTTATATAGCAGAGCATCCTCGAGTCAAGCGACAGGTAGTCGCCAATGTTGTGGATGTATTTCATTTATTCAATCACATGAGAAGCTGTAATGCTCATGTTAATGAAGAGCGAAATTGTAATCAATTCGAGATAATTTCCCAGGACGTGATCAACCTGCAGATGTGCATGTACCTGAGGAAGCACTCATTCCTGCTCGATGAGTTCAACGAGCAGATCATGTGGATGCGCTCCGTGGGACTCCTGTCGATTTGGACGCACTGGGAGCTGGATGACAGAGTTTCGCATACAACGAAGCCATCCAGCGTCAGGTCGCTTGACCTGCTGGAGCTGCAGATCATATTTGCTGTGGTTCTATTTGGATTTATGCTCAGCACGATTATTTTTGGCCTGGAATTACTCTCGCTGCGCTTTGTGCGACTTCGGATTTGGTTTCATCGATAAAGCATCCACCGAATATATAATCAGGTTAAACTAATGCCTGAATCGGAGTAAGAATATTGTTCAGTTCAATTCACTTTTCAGTGCACTTATAGTAGTAGTGGTTGTTGGTCACCTAAACGGTTTGAATGACATCTCGTCCCGTTAAGTTAACAAGCCTTATAATATATCTATCTATATATATGTCTATCCAAGCGTAGCTTCGATTTAGCCACAGCCTCAACTCAGACGACAACCTAGCGGAGGAAGACTACGCTTCGTTTTAGGTGGATCTGTGACTAGTGTGTGTGTTGTGTGTGGTGTTAATTTATGGTACGCCGAGCCGAACTGTGTCTGCGCTGTCCTCAGCATTTGGCACTGCCGCGGGAGGTTTGGTTGTGGTGGTGATTTAGGGGTAATCCCATATCATGTCTGGTCGCGTAAGCAGCAATTAGTTTAAGTAATGAACACAGATTTGTTTAATGCATTACAGCGTTTAAATTAATTCACTTAACATAGTCCCCTGCGACAAAAGGGATTCGATTGTTGTTCAGGCTTATTCAAAGATATTTTTGACAATGTTTGATTTTTCCACAGCATCTATTATTAAGTTTGAGATGAAATACTTACAAATGTACTAAAATCGAAAACATTTAATAAAAATCAATGCACATCTTGTTCAAATAATTGATTTTATTTTGAAAATTTCAGTCATTTTCAATTATCAATCAATTTTACCGATGGAAGAAGTGATGATTTGGCCAGATAGCAGAGTATTCCCTGGTTGGGCACTAATAAATGTTTAAAATTGCATTAGCACTCCATGCTGAGGCTTGATTTCTCCTGGGCACAATCGATATGCAATCAATATGGCATTGCTGCAAGTGCAATTGCAATTTTATCGTCTGCTCCATTTCAGTGGCTGCCACGAAATGAAACCGTCAAGTCATCTAGCTGGTCTGCTGGTCAGCTGGCTCAGCATTAGCTGTCTGGCACTGCAGACGCCTGACCAGCAACGTCTGCTGGTCAACGAAGTGGAGATCGTCAGCAAGTTGTCCGATGCACTGCACCTAATACTGATGGACATCTGTGCGGCGCACAACATGAGCGTCTTTGTGAGCACCCGGTACAGGGAGCAGCTGCCACTGGAACAACAGCATATTGTGGAACAAGTGCTGGAACGAGTGTTGAGTTTCGACAGCAATGCTGCTCTGCCCATTGTGATGGACACTCTGCTGCACTCCGATATGAGATTGAATATCAGGCTGCTGGTATTCTTTGTCCAGGATGCACAACAGCTGGCAACAGCAGCATTGCACAATACACGCGGCGATGCCAGGTACAAATTCAATAATTTAATTGTGCTACTAACAACAACGGATGATGCCCAGGAGCAACAGGCGCAGATGAGCCAAATCTTTGACTTTCTTTTGCATCGACGCTACAATGTTAATGCGCTGCTGTTGCTCGTGGACCCGCAGCTGGCCACATTGGATGCGTACACCTTCTGGCCGTATAGATCGCAACAGTCCTGCCTGTCCACCCAGCCAGTTCGCGTTTCACTGCGCAATGCCCAATTCAACGATCTCTATCCACATAAGTTGCACAATTTGCACGGCTGTCCGCTGTCCGCCGTTGCGTGGCACGTGCCACCGTATATGGAAGTGTATCCGCAGAGCGACGAGGCCATCAAAGAGATTGCCGGCTTTGACGCGGAGATACTGAAAGTGTTGGCGAGCAGGCTAAACTTTAGCTTGGTGCTGATGCGGAACGAGCCGCCCGACTTGATTGGTGGCGAAACCTTTTGGAACGGCACGATGACTGGTGCTTATCTCATGCTCTCAGAGCATCGCGCTAATATAACGATCGGTTTCACTGCCTGCCAGCCGGCACGTTCCAAGTATTTGGCCAGCACTGACCCGTACAACCAGATAGAGTTCGTACTGGTGGTGCATGGGGCGCAATCATATAGCTCCTATGAGATCATGCTGATGCCCTTCAACACCAACGTCTGGCTGCTGTTGGTCGCCATGGTTGGACTGCGTCTGCTTTGTCGGCTGCGTGGCTGGCAATTGATATCGCCGCTGCACATTGGCTGGCTCTACAGTCTATTTCTGTTCCGCATCTGTTACGAGAGCTCCGTGTTTATGTTTGTGCAAAATAGACCAATGCGACCGCTGCCCGAGTCACTGGAGCAGGCACTGGAGCTGGATTATAGCTTAGTTGTGCCACACAGAACTTATCACGTAGTGCAGCATATGCCCTCGCTGTTATCGCGCACAACCATTCTGCCAGGCAAACCGGTGGACATGTTCGATCAGCTGCTAGCCATGCCCGCAGATAGACAGAGACGCACCGCTATCATCAGCACTCAGCATTATTTTCGCTACTATCTTGCCACTACAGCAACTGGTGAGCGGCTTGACGATCCACATCTTGTGCAGGTGAAAGAAAAGTTCAGGAATAGTATGGTCTGTATGCACTTTCCACCGTCTTTCTATCTGACCGGTGTCTTTAATCAAATGCTCTTCAATATGCGCTGTTCCGGAATTACCCAGCATATATCCGATCGGACCAAGTGGTCACGTTTGAATGCCATGCATAGCACCACATCGCAGACGAATGTCCTCGACTATGATAAGTCCATAAGCTTCATCTATACCGCATTCTATTGCCTCTTGCTGGTTGAGGCTCTCACAATTGTCGTCTTTGCTTTGGAGCTGCTTAGTCAGCGTTGGCCACGTGGCTGGTTATCCTCAATCTTTCGGCAACTTTAGGAACGACAGTTTCGGATAAATATGATGAAATAACAATATAATCCCTTTACTTATCCTGAAACATAGTTTACTCCCACTTGAGTGTTATGCTGCACTACAGAAACCGATCTGAAAGGTTTTTATTTGTATTATCATAAATGCAATTATAAAATAAATAAATCAAAATAAAACATAGAATATATACTTCTTTTCGAGCACCTCGGCCAGTGATCGGAGCGGAGTGCGTACGCGTCCATCCTGCAGCAGGATATACAGCTCGCCCGTATGGGCGGCGCGCAGGACAAGCGTCTGGAGCAGCCACATTGCTAGCAGAAAACGCGCAAAATTGCGACGAGGCGGATGCAGGTGCATGCCACCGAGCAACGTGGACCACAATTGCGTGCTGGGCAGTCGGTTGTGATCGCCGAGCACGAAGCGACGTAGTCGTGGCCTTGCTAGCAACTGCAGCATACCAATTACCCAAAGCCAACCAGCACACTGAGGACGGTGCATAGCCAGCTGAAATAGCCCAGCGGCTTGGTCAGACGCTGCATCGGCGTCAACTGGCTGCCGCCGGGCACGCACAGCACAATGGGAAAACTGGTATACGAGATGCTGGGAAGCATATACTTGGCGCGTTCCCTATTGTACATCGATGAGACGAAGGTTATATTTGCCGTACCGTTAACGATCTGCAAAGAGTGATATATAAATGAATAAAAGCTGCTCTGATGACTCACTAGAACAAACTTTTAGATCTTCTTTTTATACCTTGAACGCATTCGAAATGGATCAGGATCAACAGCCGAGTCGATATAGCCATGTCCGTCTGTCCGTCTGTCCGTCTGTATGAACACGCGGCTCTCAGAGATTATAAGAGCTAGAGAGTTCCAATTTGGAATATAATCTAAGAATAATATAAGTATCGATAACTGCCTCCGTTTCCGAAAACAATAAGAGCCTACATTTTGAGAGCAGACATAAAACTTAATCAAGATCGGATAAGAAACACCATAAGAAATGAGAGCATTTCCACACCTGCTTCATTTGAGTGTGCAACACTCTTTAAGGGAAATTTGCCAATAAAACTGGATTATATTTAACAGTTGGGTTCAGGGTATATCGTAGGCCAGGTCACTCCACATTCAGTATTCTTACTTGATTTTCTCGATTTTTCCGTGTAGTTAAAGGGACAGCGGGCCAATCTGAGTGTTGGTAACTTGTGGAAAACAGCTGAACACAATCGAATCCTCAGCTCGCCGATGGCGCACTACTATGCGCCACTGGTGGCAACGGTGGCCATCGATAAATTTCGCTTCGGCTCCCTCAAGCTGCTCCATTTCCCGTTCCAGTGGGGCGTGTGGGTCACACTGCTGGCGGCATTGCTCGTCCATGGCGTTGTATACGTGTGGCGTTGGCGGGTCAATGGGCTGCAGGTGCTGGAGCTGTTGCTGGGTGTCACAGTGGTGCGTCTGCCTCGCACCTGGATGCAGCGCATCATCTATGCCCACTGGATGTACGGCAGCATCCCATTGCGTGTCGTCTATCAGTCGCTGTTGTTCCACTTCATACGGCTGCAGTTGTTCGAATCGCTGCCCAACTCCTTTGAGCAGCTGCTGGATCAGCATTTTCGCGGCCTGTGCACGTCCAGCATGCTGGGTATGCTGCGCGAGGTGCCGCATTTGGAGCGCATCTATGAGAGCTTTGAGAGCATCAGCTCACCGTACGATGAGGCTGTGCTGGATGCCCTGCATCAAAGGGGCGACACTCGATTATTTGCCATTACCGGCCTGGACACGACCAACGCATATTTGTGGGCCACGAATCGCCAGAGTGAATATCACATATTGACGCAGTACAGCCACAGGAGTCACACAACCAGTAATCGTGGGCAGGATCAACAGCAGGTTCACCAACTGGACGGCATCTACATCGTGATGGGCGCTCTTTATGCTCTCTCCATGTTGATTTTTGGCGCCGAGTTGCTCTGCCATCAACTGACCATTGTTTGAAGTACAAATGTATTATAAAATCATAATAATTTAATTGAATCTATTATGTAAATATATATATTATAAGCTGCTATCTCTCTCTATCAATAAATCAATATGTTATCAACATTTAATTGCAAGAATCACAAATTGGATCATTTTCAATTTAAGTCTAATTTAATATGAAACGAGATCTAGGTGGCGCCAAATCGTAATCATATTGAGACCTGACTGGCGTCGTGTATACTTAGGCTATTAAATTTCCTGTGACTTCTGCGATCTGGCAACACCAAAGCTGTACTCAATTCTCAACGGCTTTTTATTGTTTTTTTTTATTAAATTCATTTAGCTGTGAATTAAGTGTAAAACTGGAATTTAAACGGAGTCCACAGTAATTACAGGAAATACAAAGTATCGACACTAGTTAGTAACATTTGTTTTATATCATCAATCACAATCAGCATACAGTTGGCGGGCAATTAACTTGAATGATAAACAGAAACGCGATGCATGCCTCTCGAATCAATCAGCAATTTCAAGCACAACTTGTGGTGCATTTGCCAGTTAATTGCGGGCAAGGAATATGAACATAACGGAGCTGCTACGTTCGTATCAGAATCTGGCCGGGGATCAGGCCAGCCACATCAATGAGTATGTGGCACGGTCGCTGCTGCACGTGGTGCACACGCACATAATGAGCATGACGTCATCGCTGGTATTGATTCTCTGCTGCCGCAACCAGGACACCTGCAACTTCTACAACGAGATGATGATCATACTCTTCCGCAGCTGGGGCATAGCTCCGCTCCAGATTGTGAACGTGATGCAGGGGATGCGAGGCCGGCATATTCCCGGTCGCCGACACTTCAATCTGATATTCACGGACTCGTATGCGGCCTTTGCGGAGATCGAGGTGGAGGCATATTCCCGGGATTACGCATACAATGAGCACTATTACATCTTTCTGCAGGCGCGGGATCATCTAATGTTTGCCGAAATGGGGCGCATCTTCGAGCACTGCTGGCGCCACCAGCTCATCAATTGCAACGTTCAGGTGCAGCGGGCCAACGGGGACATCCTGGTGTACACCTATCAACCGTTTGGAGCACACAGCTGCGCCAATATGACGCCACAGCTGATCAATCGCTACAATGGCAGCCACATGCTGCATCCACAGCTCTACCCCCGCAAACTGACCAACTTCTTTGGCTGTCCACTCCGCATCGCACTCTGGCATATGCCTCCATACTGGTTTCTCTCTGACTCTGATCCTGCTCGCATCACTGGCGGCATCGAAGGGCGCCTCCTTCACACGATCAGCCATCGACTCAACTTTAGCATCCAAGTACGTAAGCCACCTCCAGGACGGTTGCCAGTTCGCGAAAGAATGCTGCAGATGGTCAGTGACTAAATACTCCAATCTCTTCTTAAATGCAGACAATATTTGACTGTTTGCATCTCGTCTCCTTTTGCAGTTGCATCGCGACGAAGCGGATCTTACCGTGGGTGCCATTCGGCCGACGGTGGCCTACAACCAATTGGCGACATCGTCGCACAACTATTATCAGACAAGCATTCGGTTTGCTGTTCTGCGCAGCCATTATGAGTTGAGCTCCCTGGACACTCTGCTCTATCCATATCCAAGGATCATTTGGCTTGGCATCTCGCTGGTCTTTGCACTCTCGCTGCTGCTGCTGTTGGCCATGGACCGAGTGTTGGCAAGCGATCCGGGCTCCCTCTGGCTGAATGTGCAGCTAATCTTCGTAGGCATGCCAATGGAGCAGATTCCACGCTTTAGGTGCAAGCGGTTGTACTGCATCATGCTGATGGTCTACACGCTGCTCATACGCACCGCCTATCAGGGAATGTTGTACCATTTAATACGCACCCACCAGTTGAACCGACTGCCCCAGTCCATTGAGGAGCTGGTGACCGACAATTACACAGTGATCACTTCAATCGGGATGTACGATGTGCTATCCGGGATTCCCTCTATGCAGCACGTGCGATTTCACAGATTGGAAACGGAAACCACCCTAATGCAACCCCTAATTTATATAGCAGAGCATCCTCGAGTCAAGCGACAGGTAGTCGCCAATGTTGTGGATATAATTCATTTATTCAATCGCATGAGAAGCTGTAATGCTCATGTTAATGAAGAGCGGAATTGTAATCAATTCGAGATAATTTCCCAGGACGTGATCAACCTGCAGATGTGCATGTACCTGAGGAAGCACTCATTCCTGCTCGATGAGTTCAACGAGCAGATCATGTGGATGCGCTCCGTGGGACTCCTGTCGATTTGGACGCACTGGGAGCTGGATGACAGAGTTTCGCATACAACGAAGCCATCCAGCGTCAGGTCGCTTGACCTGCTGGAGCTGCAGATCATATTTGCTGTGGTTCTATTTGGATTTATGCTCAGCACGATTATTTTTGGCCTGGAATTACTCTCGCTGCACTTTGTGCGACTTCGAATTTGGTTTCATCGATAAAGCATCCACCGAATATATAATCAGGTTAAACTAATGCCTGAATCGGAGTAAGAATATTGTTCAGTTCAATTCACTTTTCAGTGCACTTATAGTAGTAGTGGTTGTTGGTCACCTAAACGGTTTGAATGACATCTCGTCCCGTTAAGTTAACAAGCCTTATAATATATCTATCTATATATATGTCTATCCAAGCGTAGCTTCGATTTAGCCACAGCCTCAACTCAGACGACAACCTAGCGGAGGAAGACTACGCTTCGTTTTAGGTGGATCTGTGACTAGTGTGTGTGTTGTGTGTGGTGTTAATTTATGGTACGCCGAGCCGAACTGTGTCTGCGCTGTCCTCAGCATTTGGCACTGCCGCGGGAGGTTTGGTGGTGGTGGTGATTTAGGGGTAATCCCATATCATGTCTGGTCGCGTAAGCAGCAATTAGTTTAAGTAATGAACACAGATTTGTTTAATGCATTACAGCGTTTAAATTAATTCACTTAACATAGTCCTATGCGACAAAAAGGATTCGATTGTTGTTCAGGCTTAATCAAAGATATTTTTGACAATGTTTGATTTTTCCACAGCATCTATTATTAAGTTTGAGATGAAATACTTACAAATGTACTAAAATCGAAAACATTTAATAAAAATCAATGCACATCTTGTTCAAATAATTGATTTTATTTTGAAAATTTCAGTCATTTTCAATTATCAATCAATTTTACGGATGGAAGAAGTGATGATTTGGCCAGATAGCAGGGTATTCCCTGGTTGGGCACTAATAAATGTTTAAAATTGCATTAGCACTCCATGCTGAGGCTTGATTTCTCCTGGGCACAATCGATATGCAATCAATATGGCATTGCTGCAAGTGCAATTGCAATTTTATCGTCTGCTCCATTTCAGTGGCTGCCACGAAATGAAACCGTCAAGTCATCTAGCTGGTCTGCTGGTCAGCTGGCTCAGCATTAGCTGTCTGGCACTGCAGACGCCTGACCAGCAACGTCTGCTGGTCAACGAAGTGGAGATCGTCAGCAAGTTGTCCGATGCACTGCACCTAATACTGATGGACATCTGTGCGGCGCACAACATGAGCGTCTTTGTGAGCACCCGGTACAGGGAGCAGCTGCCACTGGAACAACAGCATATTGTGGAACAAGTGCTGGAACGAGTGTTGAGTTTCGACAGCAATGCTGCTCTGCCCATTGTGATGGACACTCTGCTGCACTCCGATATGAGATTGAATATCAGGCTACTGGTATTCTTTGTCCAGGATGCACAACAGCTGGCAACAGCAGCATTGCACAATACACGCGGCGATGCCAGGTACAAATTCAATAATTTAATTGTGCTACTAACAACAACGGATGATGCCCAGGAACAACAGGCGCAGATGAGCCAAATCTTTGACTTTCTTTTGCATCGACGCTACAATGTTAATGCGCTGCTGTTGCTCGTGGACCCGCAGCTGGCCACATTGGATGCGTACACCTTCTGGCCGTATAGATCGCAACAGTCCTGCCTGTCCACCCAGCCAGTTCGCGTTTCACTGCGCAATGCCCAATTCAACGATCTCTATCCACATAAGTTGCACAATTTGCACGGCTGTCCGCTGTCCGCCGTTGCGTGGCACGTGCCACCGTATATGGAAGTGTATCCGCAGAGCGACGAGGCCATCAAAGAGATTGCCGGCTTTGACGCGGAGATACTGAAAGTGTTGGCGAGCAGGCTAAACTTTAGCTTGGTGCTGATGCGGAACGAGCCGCCCGACTTGATTGGTGGCGAAACCTTTTGGAACGGCACGATGACTGGTGCTTATCTCATGCTCTCAGAGCATCGCGCTAATATAACGATCGGTTTCACTGCCTGCCAGCCAGCACGTTCCAAGTATTTGGCCAGCACTCAGCCGTACAACCAGCTAGAGTTCGTACTGGTGGTGCATGGGGCGCAATCATATAGCTCCTATGAGATCATGCTGATGCCCTTCAACACCAACGTCTGGCTGCTGTTGGTCGCCATGGTTGGACTGCGTCTGCTTTGTCGGCTGCGGGGCTGGCAATTGATATCGCCGCTGCACATTGGCTGGCTCTACAGTCTATTTCTGTTCCGCATCTGTTACGAGAGCTCCGTGTTTATGTTTGTGCAAAATAGACCAATGCGACCGCTGCCCGAGTCACTGGAGCAGGCACTGGAGCTGGATTATAGCTTAGTTGTGCCACACAGAACTTATCACGTAGTGCAGCATATGCCCTCGCTGTTATCGCGCACAACCATTCTGCCAGGCAAACCGGTGAACATGTTCGATCAGCTGCTAGCCATGCCCGCAGATAGACAGAGACGCACCGCTATCATCAGCACTCAGCATTATTTTCGCTACTATCTTGCCACTACAGCAACTGGTGAGCGGCTTGACGATCCGCATCTTGTGCAGGTGAAAGAAAAGTTCAGGAATAGTATGGTCTGTATGCACTTTCCACCGTCCTTCTATATGACCGGTGTCTTTAATCAAATGCTCTTCAATATGCGCTGTTCCGGAATTACCCAGCATATATCCGATCGGACCAAGTGGTCACGTTTGAATCCCATGCATAGCAGCACATCGCAGACGAATGTCCTCGACCATGATAAGTCCATGAGCTTTATCTATACCGCATTCTTTTGCCTCTTGCTGGTTGAGGCTCTCACAATTGTCGTCTTTGCTTTGGAGCTGCTTAGTCAGCGTTGGCCACGTGGCTGGTTATCCTCAATCTTTCGGCAACTTTAGGAACGACAGTTTCGGATAAATATGATGAAATAACAATATAATCCCTTTACTTATCCTGAAACATAGTTTACTCCCACTTGAGTGTTATGCTGCACTACAGAAACCGATCTGAAAGGTTTTTATTTGTATTATCATATATGCAATTATAAAATAAATAAATCAAAATAAAAAATTAAAATTGTTTTCATCACATAACATTTTAGTTTTTTATATTTGTGTAAATTTAAAATTTAATTTAAAAATACGGATGAAATACGATAATTTGACTACTACGATAGAAAGCTACATCTTCTTCTTGCTAGTGCGACACATTCTGCTAGGATTCCTTTTTCACAGAACCTGCAGAGTTCGTTACTATATATACCTAGTCTAGTTAAGTGACTTCTTAGTCTACAGTGTCCCGTCATTAGACCGGTAAGTATTCTAAAATTGTTCTTTCCCATGGTTAATCTACTTAAATCGTTTAAGATTACAACAACCTAGGAGACATCTGGCTTGCCGTTGTCCAAATGCCTCCCACCAGCTCTGCTGCCGCATCTGTTTCTCTTGATTTCTGAGTACCAGTTTGCATTTATGTTAGAAGGAACTGAAGCATACTGGAAAAAAAACTGATTATATTGTATACCAGAAGGTATACTAGCCGGCTCGAGACCCGTGTTACGGAAAGCATAAATAAGAAATCGAGTTAAATTTCGACCGGCTTAGACCAAATAACGATTGGCTGCATTCATCAGTCGCCGCAGGCGAAATCTCTGTGGCTGGGCGGCGCCGAGTTCAAGCAGGAAAACGATGGAGGCGAGCAGTTGCATGAGGACAAATATGCCGAAGAGTCCGCCCAGTAGCCAGGCACTAAGTTTGGTTGGTGCACGATTGCGATGAGCGGGGATATGCTCGATGCGATCAAGGTACATGCGACGGAACCGATGCACCAGGCCCGAGGACATCATGTTGATGAGCAGCTTATTGATCCGGTGCTCCAAATACGAATGCGGTCGCATGTACATCGTAATCGGTGCGGTGATCAGTGGAATTCTGAGCACGGCCAGGCGATTCTTCTCGGCACCGGAGGCCATGTTAAAACTATCGACACTCGGCTGGATCAATGGTATCACCATTTGCACATCACTATTGTCGCGCAACTGCCTCAGCCTTTGACCAATATTGTGCTCCACAACGATCCGATTATCCGGCACCATTTCACGGAATATGGGCAGCAATGCGGGCACCAAATAGAATATATACTTCTTTTCGAGCACCTCGGCCAGTGATCGGAGCGGAGTGCGTACGCGTCCATCCTGCAGCAGGATATACAGGTCGCCCGTATAGGCGGCGCGCAGGACAAGCGTCTGGAGCAGCCACATTGCTAGCAGAAAACGCGCAAAATTGCGACGAGGCGGATGCAGGTGCATGCCACCGAGCAACGTGGACCACAATTGTGTGCTGGGCAGTCGGTTGTGATCGCCGAGCACGAAGCGACGTAGTCGTGGCCTTGCTAGCAACTGCAGCATACCAATTACCCCAAAGCCAACAAGCACACTGAGCACGGTGCATAGCCAGCTGAAATAGCCCAGCGGCTTGGTCAGACGCTGCATCGGCGTCAACTGGCTGCCGCCGGGCACGCACAGCACAATGGGAAAACTGGTATACGAGATGCTGGGAAGCATATACTTGGCGCGTTCCCTATTGTACATCGATGAGACGAAGGTTATATTTGCCGTACCGTTAACGATCTGCAAAGAGTGATATATATATGAATAAAAGAATAAAAGCTGCTCTGATGACTCACCAGTTGCATGGTGCCCGTTAAGGTGCCATTGGGTAAAGAAAAGCCACGATTCTGATTCGGCTCTTCGATGAGCTTAATGGTGAAGTTCATGCGTTCAGCCAGCAAGCGATAGATCATTCCCTCGATGCCATGAATACGCTCTCCATCGGCCAGACTGTGATCCCTTTCGATGATGACAAAGGGCAGATGCTCGAAGGTGGCGGTGACTAACTCACAGCTATACATATTGTACACCTTTTCATCGAAGTAGTCCACGCTATTGTCCACGTGAATCTGCGGCTGTGCACCCAAACCACCCCGGAAGGTGGCATAGTGGACGGGCTTCGACGACTGACATTGGCCATCCGATTGATATGGATAGTAGGTGTAGACGTGAACTATTCCAGTTTCCCGGCCACCCAGCAGCACATTCACATTGATCACATAGATGGCGAGCAAACGTCGAAAGATCCTCGCAATTGTAGTGAGTCGATGCGTCTCCTGGCCCGTATACACAATACAGTAGTAGCCATTTCGCTTAAAAAAGCTATTCGGCTGAAGTATACGCTGCTCCAGACGCATGTACGCCCGCATGCTGTCCAGCAGCAAAATGGCCGTTTCCCTTCCCGCTATTCCGCTAGTTGGTGACGGGGGCAGTGCATCCAATGGTGTCTCCTCATCGCCCTCAATGTGTTCGTTCTCCAGCAGAAATATGACGCGCTCAGCGCCAGATGCCAAGCCCAACGTTTCATCAATCAGATCGTTGTGCAAATCGCGACTCTCGTTCTTCGTTGCATAATGCACAATGCTCAGCGGCATGCCCGAGTCTCTGGCATAGTGGCTGTTAATAGTCCAGACCATAGCGTACATCAATGTAATGTTGTAAGCTTTTTGCTGCGTATCGCTGGACAACATGACGAGACGATAACCAGACAGCGAGTGAATCCACCGGGCAACCGGGAGCCAGTGGACAAGTGAGCCAAGTAAATAGCAAATTCATTTGGCTTTTAGTCGTTGCATGTGCGGCGCTTGCTTATCGCAGCTCGTTATCGGGTCAAATTGCATTTAAATGGATGTGCCATCAGTTAACAGCCTGCCTGCCGCATGCAACACATGCCACACATCTGTAAAAAGGGCATCAAACTATATGTTCTTTTATATATCATTTGCAAACGGCTCGTTAGTCTATAATGCCAAAACAAAATAAATAAAACACAAAAATAATTACATTTTTAGCTAAAATCTTATGTTTTTCCATTTGCTTATATCAACTGATAATTCGAGTGAATTATAAACTCATCAGTGCTACCATTGATCACTGTAAAATACACACACACATAGGCAGTTGGTCAGTGTGACCCCAAAATTGCTAAGCAAAAAAAGAAAACAAAAGAAAAATGATGAATAAGCTTTTTTTGTTTATCTTATTTTTTGGACATGGCTGCTTTCCAAGCTTATCTTGAAATGAGTAATTGCCAAATAAATTGCAACAGATGCATCAGCGGTGCATGTTGCAACACACTGTCAAGATCGCTGACTATATTTTATGCACATACATACATACATCTACAAAAACAAACAAAACATTTATTGCATTTAGTGCTGGCCTAAGCATCCAGCCCTGTTGCCCTGAAGCACTTAACAATATGTAAAATAAAAATAAAAATCAAATAATTATTGAATACATATGTCTGTGCATGTGAACACATATCAATATTTAATGTTTTATGGGACAAGCGACCACTTTAGAGTCGAAGTCCATTTGCTGGCAGGGCTACGCTTAGCTCAGCATTGATGCACTTCTCTCAATGACACCGATTCGCAGTAAGCCAGTCTACGCTGCGAGAATTTGGCACGAGTTACAAAATTATAATATATACATTATATTGAAAAATTAGTTCGTGCCTCGTGTTGTGAGTTCGTGCTTCGTATTGTCAGTTCGTGCTTCGTATTGTCAGTTCGTGCTTCGTGCTTGAAGCTCGTGCTGGGCGTGCTGTCATCTCTATCAAGAATTTGATATCGGCACGTAGCGGCGGCAATTAAAAATAGAAGTGCAACACTATTCGACATTATAGGGTCACACTCTGTTCAACGGAAAAAGTAAAGAAACGTATAAAGAAGCTTCCAGCTTCCGGATAGTAGTGCAATTTTGGTGAAAACAATACACAAATGCGGATACGACGATGGCCAAACCATAACAATTGATAACTATGTGGTCTGTTTGTGTGAATTTAATTTTTTTCAGTGCAGCATTTTGCGCTGATTCCATGAAAAATTGCTCATCAGCAAATTGTTTTGTGTGCTATGCCGGCTGCTGCAGTCTTGAATTTGTTTTATATTTTCTTTTTTTTTAAATATTTTCATTTAGTTTCGTTGTTTTTTTTTTTTTTTTTTTTTTTTTGTGGCACACACACGGAAACGAAATGAAAGTAACGCTCCAATGGAAGTTTTGGTGTCAAGCGTGGCGGGCAGCCCTAACCTCGAAGTGCGTGCAAAATGCAGCTCAGCTCTTTGGCACGATTTGGCAGCGTTGACAATTTTGAATCAGTTGTTGTTGTTCGCAGTTTTGGAGGTGCTGCTGCTGCTGTTGCTGCTGCTGTTGCTGCTGCTGGTGTTGGTGCCGCCGCCGCAGCGAAGAATTCTATATGGGGCAGCGTCTGATCGAATGGGGCGTCAGTCACCGTTTGAGCTCAACAACGGCCAGTTCTCGACGATCTTTAACAGTGCGAAAAGTGCGAAGTGTGTGTGTGCAAATAGGGTATATAAACAAGGAGATGAGATTGCTGTGGTTATTGCTGCTGCTGCTGGGTGGCACGCTGAGCGGCGCCCAGGATGCGGCCACCGTTGTTAGTGGCGATGAGGCGGCAGACACCGTCAAAGGATTAACGGATACATCAGCGACTACGTCTGCGGATAATACAACTGCCACTGCCGATGCTAAGCCAAAGTTTCCCAGCGAGGATTCGGTAAATCAATTAGCTAAAGCTAAGCTTGTGTTTTTTTTATATTTTTTTTATATAAAATTTATTAAAGTAGTCCGTTTGTTAAGCTCTGTCGAAATTGGGCACATCGGAGCATTATATCCTTTTTTTATACTAATCGGAATCTATTTTTAACAGTTTCCCAAACCAAACTAAATAGTTTCGAGTGTTACAAAATGACTCTGCTAGATAATAATAATAATATTAATAATAATAATAAGTTAGAAGTACTTAAAGAGTTTTTGCATCTGCAAGAGTTTTTAAGCTTGGGTTTTAAAGAGAGCACCTCCAATTGCAGCGAGTATATTAAATTTGCTGTACATTTCTATAATTAAGTTGATGACCAGAGATTTAATCCTTTCTATACGACATTATTCCACACGCAGATACTCTCCCAGCTGCCACCTTTGCAGCAGACGCGCAGTGGAATTCCTTCGGTTGACGCCTTTTATTCAATGTTTCCGGCGTTGAGCAGCCTTTTGCGTTGGGGCAGCCTCTTCCCCGCCCAGTCTGTGCTGGGTGCCGTGCCAGATACACTGCAGCCAGCCGCCTCGAAGGTGGTGCTGGTGCTCGCCGACGAGGCCAATGGCCACAAGTCGCGTAGGACGCGTCAGGATACACCGGCGCCGACGCCGGCTGCGCCTGCAGCACCGGGTGCCATGTTACAGCAGTTCCTTAGCCAGATGCCGTCGCCGGCAAATTTGCAACAGATGATGCCACAATTGCCCACTGGCTGGCTGCCCGACAACTTCCAATTGGGCCAAATGCCACCGATGCCAGACCTGGGTCAAATGCCACCAATTCCACCAATACCAGCAATTCCACCAATACCAAATACCTTTAATCTGGGCCAGATGGCACCAAACTTGGCCAACCTAGGCCAAATGCCCAACCTAGGCCAAATGCCCAACCTTGGCCAATTGCCCAACCTTGGCCAAATGGCCAACCTTGGCCAAATGGCTTTCCTCGGCCAGGCAGCACCTGTTCCTGAAGCGTCAACAACAGCCGCTCCCCCCACACCCAAATCTGATGACCCGAGCCCGCCAGCGCCCAGCGTGGCGCAAGCGGCGCCTCTATTTGGTGGCCTTTTCGATGGTGGCAATAATTTCTTGGGACCACCCGACGCCCTAATGGCCGGACTGCGTCAATTTATCCCCGGCGGCGTAGTGGCTCCACCCGCTCCAGCCGGCTCAAGCGCCCAGGCCTCCGACATATCGGAGGTACGCGTGAAGCCAGCGGGTGAGCCCATCATGAGCTATAGGTCGCCACAGCAGACGGATGCGCAGCTGTCGCAGTTTAGGATTAATACAGCGCTGCGAATGCAACAGCGGGAACAAGAGCAGGATAAGCAGCAAATGCCGTTGGTCTGGTTGCGCATGCCCACAGAGGATACAGACACCACCAAAACCCAAACGAAAACCGAAACCGGGGACAAGACCGACGAGCCGCATAAGCCCAGAGATCGTATGGAGATCGAGGCGAGGCTGCACGCCTTCCAGCGCCAGGTGATTGCCGAGCTGCAGCAGTTGCAGCACATCGAGCGCCTCGCCCGGGAGATGCGCGCCAGTGCGCAGGGAGCATCAGTTACGCCCACCTTCAAGCTGCGCTACCCGCTGAGCCGGACGCCCGTGCACAAGATCACCCGTGCGGACATTGAGGGTGCCCTGCGCGACGACTATGTGCGCCGCCTGCTGCACAAGGAGGCGCTGCGCAAGACGAATTACAAGCGACAGACAATGGAGCAACAGTCCATGTCCAAAGAGGACATACTCAAGGTCATGGCCTATGCTTATCGCGTGGCCAGCGAATCCGCCGAGAAGAAGGCCAATGAGGAGAAGCGTCAGCGTCAGTGGGAGGCGGAACAACCGAAGATGCAACAGAAGCCTATGAGTATGCGCAAGTGGGAGGCGGAAAACACCAAGGAGCAGCAGCCCCAGATGATGCAGCAACGTCAATGGGAGGCGGAACAAGCGAAGATGCAGCAGAATCCAATGAGTATGCGCCAATGGGAGGCGGAAACCTCCAAGGAGCAGCAGCCACAGATGATGCAGCAACGTCAATGGGAGGCGGAGCAAGGAAAGATGCAACAGCAGCAACAAAATCCGATGACTATGCGCCAGTGGGAGGCGGAACAGGCCAAGGAGCAACAGCAGCGCCAAATGCAGGCGGATCAGCAGACCATGGAGCAAAACAAACGCATGCAGCAGCAGCAACAGGAGGCGATAATGCAACAGCGCCAATGGGCGGAGGAGCAATCGAAGCAACAGACCCAGCAGGCAATGGATGCCATGATGAAGCAACGCCAGTGGATGGAGGATCAGGCGAAGCAGCAGGCAAAGGATCAGCAAAGCATGATGTTGAGACAATGGGAGGCTGAACAAACCAAGGCACAGCAGATGCAGCAGCAGAAGCAACGCCAGTGGATTGATGAGCAGGTTAGGGCACAAGTACTGGTGAAACAGCAGCAAAAGCAGGTGGAGCAGCAACAGATGGAGCAGCAGCAGCGCATCTCCGACGAACAGCAGTGGTTCGATGAAAAGATGAGAGCCATGCAGCAGCAGCAGCTGCAGAAGCCCGATGGTGACGCTATGTTGGGCGAGGCCAAGCCACAGATGCCCACCACTGGTGGACAGGCACGGCATAAAGGTAATCTCTTTGGGGTATTCCGCAGTCGCGACTCTAATCTCTCGCCACACACAGTCGATTTGCTCGGCCTGGGCGGGGATCATCGCAAGAAGGCCACAGCTCATGCGGCGCCCGCCATCATCAACTACTATCCGAGTGCGCCCGCTCCCGTCTATGGCAACGCTCCCAGCTATAGGCCCAGCTATAGGCCCAGCTATAGGCCCAGCTATATGCCAAGCTATGGCACCAGCTATGGCAACGGTGGTCAAGGCTCCAATGCCTACGGCGGCTATCGAGCAGCCGTTGGCGACGAGCAGATTGATTCCATGCTGCGCCAGCATCGCACTATGGCGGTAAGTTCTGTTTAAATCTTAACCACAAAACCAAAACAACAACCAAGATTCACACACACACACACACACACGCACATACGCATAGGCATAGGCTCGCACACACAGACACACACACACACAAGCAAACAAACAAAACACTCATTGGCAAGCTCCAAATAAAATGCATTCAGTATTTGCCAGTTAATTTGAAATTTTAAAGGGCAAATGAGTTGCAAGCTGAAACTTGAACGCTTTAATTATTCAGATCTATTTATTTATCTATCTTTTTATTGAAATATTTTAATCCATTATCTGTATGCCTAGCACATTTGGATTTTATCCTTGCTAATGCCCAATATTGATTTATTTTTATTTGAAACTAGTCCAAAGCATTTATTTGATCATAAAGGAAAAATGCTTGAAGCCAAAAGCCTATGTGGCTAAAGCATATTTGCCAAAGAAAAAAAAATGAAATACTACACTCGGAAAAAAGATTGAAAATCACCATATTATTCAGAAATATATTTTTGAAAATCAGTGTTTTTATTTTCTCAATTTTGCGATACATTTTTCTCAAGTTTAATGTAAAAAATTTGTCTCATTTTCAGGAAGTTTTATTTATATGTGTATAAAATTTGTTCTTTTGTTGCTTATATTATAAAAAATATATATTCTAGATAGTTTATAAATTCAAATAATTTAATTAGAAAAAATGTACGATTTTAAGACGATTCGATTATTCTGCATCTTAGACACACATTTCTTAATAACAGAAATAATTTCTAAAAAAAAATATATATATTTGTGGGATATTCAATTAAGGCTATTTTAATTTTTTTCGAAATTTGTTTCTGATATTTAGAAATTATTTGTTAACACAAGAAAAACTTGCTAGTTTTCAGAGCATTTTCTAAAATGCATGGCGATTTTTTTCTGAGTATATCTAAACGGATAAATGGGATTATTATTATGTTGGCATTTGAAAGTTGTAGATTAAGTATACGCACATGAGCACGCACGCACGCACACCCAACACATACGCAAGCACAGACATATGCACACCATGAAGTAGCTGCCTCCATATCATTCACAATCTTTCATCTTCTGCTCGCCCGTTGTTTGCTCATGTCATTAACAGGCGACGCATTTCAGACAATAAAACCAACCGATGCCCAAACGAAGACCAACCACCCAGCAACAGCATCCAACACCCCGACGAAGACCAGCACCAGCAGCATTAGTACCAACAGCCATCGTATAGAGAAAAGGTTAGCAAATTTTTACAGCAAATCTTCGACAGCGTTGGCCACCGGAAGCGGCTGCGGCTGCGGCCGCGCTCACTGCGCCTGCGGCACCAGCTGTCGTTGCGGTAGGGACAAGGGTGAGGTGGGGGGAGCAGCGCAATCTAGTGGCTGCAATTGCGGGGCAAGTCGACGCCGCAAACGCAGCACTGAATATGGCACATTGGAGACCATAGATGCCGGTTCACTCAAAGCATTGCGGAAGGAGTACAAAATGGGCCTCAAGGAGATCACGCTCAGTCCGGATGAGGATCCAACGGAGGCGCTGATGCGCTACAATGCCGCCTCCATACGTGAGGCACTCGAGCGTGCCAGTCTGCAGCCGGTGGAGATAAGCGGAGATCAGTTGGCAGCCGCCGAAGAGGCCGCAGATCAGGAATATGCCAATGAGCCGGCGACACAGCAACCATTGGCCACCACTATGTCGCCAGTTATAGACACCACCACCGAGCGATCGACGCCGCCCCAGGATGCGCTCATGACTGACAGAGCTGCGATGACCGCTGAACTGGCTGCCACGCGCTTAGAGTTTAAGAAACTGTATGGTCTCATCGAAAAACTAAAGGAGCAGCTGACGAATGCGGAGCAGCGTCTCAAAGATTGCCGGCATGCAGATCGTGACAGTGTCACTGTCACCACGCCAACCACTCCTATCAGCAACACCAACACCAACACAACCACCTCGGCCAGCAGCAGTAGCGGTAGCACAACCAGCAGTAGCAGCAGCAGCACAACGACTGAGTCGCCAGATGATTGGGCGCATATGCTGGCCAGCAAGGGGTACAATACCAAATACCTGTCCAGGTCGAACGAGCAGACGTATGGACAAGGCGAGATGAGCAACTCGGGTGAATACAGTTACCAGGAGATGAAACCGTACGATCTGGATAACAAATCTAAGCGTTCCACAGAACTGAGCAGCACCACAACCACCGAGCGACCCAATGAGGCATTGCAGCACGCACAAATGCTGAATACAGCCTTCCACAGCAATGCCATTGGCGATGCTGAGCAGCAGCAGGAGGCGAATACCGATACCGATATGGATACGGATGCGGGTGTTGATGTGGATGTGGATGGGGATGGCACACAGACGAGAATGGCGACAACGGCCGCATCATATGCGTTGCGTGGCAAATTTCTGCGCAGGCGCAGCACGCAATTGGGTGGAACGCGTACGACACGGCAAGCGAAGGTAATGAAGATGCCAGCGAGGGCGAGGGAGCAGATCGAGCTGTCGGCGTTGCGTGAGCGCAGCACGAAGCTCGATCAACTGATCGACGTCTTACACGATCTCCTACGTTTGCAGCTCCAGCGGGACAATGCGCTCGCCAAGCTAACAACCAGCAACAGCAGCAGCCGGATCAGAAGCAGGAGCACCACCACAACCAGACCCAGCAATAGCAAATCGTCGAAACGTTTGCGGCGGCGGCGTCGCAAGCAGCGCAAAAGCACCAGCCCAAGACCATAAAACATTCACAAACAATCAATTCAAATTACATAAACGTTTACTTTAACCATTTACCATTAACTTTAACCATTTACCCATGGATTTGAAACATTTACCATTTACCATTAACCATTTAACCATTTACTTGAAACATTTACCATTTTCGAGTTGCAGCTTCATTCATGAATGATGATCACATGTTTCATTGTTTTCATTGCATATAAAATCAGTCAAACATCAGTATCAGCGTCATCATCACCCGCATTCGCATCAGCATCAACATCAGCACCAGCATCCAATACATCAACATCCTCATCCGACGATCCCGCAGTGGGCTCCATTATGGACTTCGACGAGGGCCTGTTGCGGCCCTATATGGGCCTCTTGCCGGTGGAACAGCCGCATGATCCGTGGCATCAGAAAACCTACAATCTGCACTATCCGCTCTATCGTGGTGGTGGCAGCTATGAGGCGTATCTAAGGCCACGTCGCGACACCCACATCACCCATATGGCGCGCACCCAGCAGATGCTCACGCCCGACATGCTGCAGCGTCTGCTGCGCATCAAGATCGAGTTCCAGCGTCGGTTTCCCCATCTCTACCAGGGCATGCTCAATCATCATACGAATCGGACGCGAGTGGTGGTTAAGCCACCGCTGCTGGTGCCCCACAATAACACCAGTAGGCCGCCCAAGCTGAGCGAGATGCCCGTCTTTGAGCTGGGCGCGGCCGAGCGTGGCCTATTCGAGGACGAGAACGACTCGATGCTGGAGCCGGGGACGGAGACCAGTTCCGAGGCGACCACCGAGACGACGAAGGATGCGTCTAGCGAGCGTATCTTTAATGAGGATGACCACGACGACGATGTCGACTATTTTCGTTTCGAGGATAACGATGATGACGCTGATAATAACGAAAACGAACACAATAACGATACTGATATTATTGATGATTAAATTAATGGTATTTCAATTCTAAACATCGAGATTAAATTAAAAATGAAAAATGTATGACAACAAAAAGCGTTGCATTCGTAAATCAAATCAGATCAATTGATGGGGATTCTAATGCGTTTTTAAGCTATAACTCGTCTCGTCATCTCCGTAATTATCCGGAAAGGACACATATTGATATTGAGATATTGAGTTCACAGCTAACAGGACTATTGATTGGTATTCAAGGATTTCAAGGATTCGGGTAAGCTGGTGGAAGTGAGTGTCGTCGATGAACTAAAACCATCCTAAAGCCGCTTTGCAAGCACAGCTAATCTTTTAGTGGTGGTAGAAAAAGCGTTTTAACAACTTTTTCCGATTTGTTTTTATTTTAATTTGTTTTTAAATTTAAATTTTAAAATACACATATGTTATCGCTAGGTGATTGTAATTGATGTAGTTCTATATACATAATTTCCACTGATAACCCAGGTATTTGCAATGTTATCTGTGGATAGATATTCTCATTAGGCATATGTACATTAAACCGATTTCCCCCGAGTGCTTCGAAAGAAAACACCTATGAAAGCAACGATAATTTACTTATCGAGCAGTTTCGAGTTAGACCAAATAAGTTGTGAGTACGTAATTTGATGTCTCCAGAGTATTTAACTGTATTGCAGCTATTTTTTCCCCCTTTTTTATATCCTGAATCCATTGAAAATTGGTAAAAGAGGCATAATGGCTTAATGCAAATGTATGTAACTGGCACAACGGAGCAGCTCTCTATACTCTATGATTAGGATCAGCAGCCGAGTCGATATAGAAATGTCCGTCTGTCAAATTTGGATGCGCAGTTCAATTGTATTTATTTGCCTCCGTTTCACAAATAAAGCCACAATTTTCAAAGCAGATATATATTATAAATTGACACATTTTCGATCAACTGCCCATATTTAATCTATATCGGATGAGAAACACCACAAGAAAGGTGAACATTTGCTCACCTGCTTACATTTGAGTGTGTAAAACTGGATTTTATTTAATTGCTCAGTTCAGGGTGTATCGTAGTCCAGGTCACCCCACATTCATCATTCTTACTTAATTTTTTATTATAATATAATGCAACAGTACAGTTCATTAACCCTTTTACAGTAAACAGATTTCCCTTGAGTGCGCTGAGTTGTGTTAAGTTGAGCTGGGCACAGAAAAGGCCGAAAGCGAACCAGTTGTTGTCAGTTGGAAACTACAAGTTGGAAGCGATGCAGCATTTGATTATTGTGTGCGGCATATTGTTGTTGATGGTTCAGTGTCAAGCTGCGCTGACGGCGATAGACTTATTGCCAGCACCGGACACCGGACAATTGACAACTTTGGCCGAGGCACTTGGCCAGGTGCTGCAGCACTCGGAGATGTCACAGCGCCAGACACTTTACATCCATATGCAGTTCAGTGCGACGTCATCGCATCCACAACTGCTCGAGTTGCTCGCACGTGTGCTCGACATTCTGCCAGCAACAGCGTCACAGACACGCTGTCTGTTCGAGCAACGCCCCATGGAGTACAGGCCGTATGTGCATGCGGTGCTGCTGCTGGTGGACGATATACGTGCCTTGCGCACCGTTTACCGTAAGCTGCACGCCACCAGCGATCTATCCTTGACGCTCATCTACATGATGCGACCACAGCCGACAGCGGCCATGAAGCTGCTCTGGCAGCGCAGTGTCCTCAATGTTGCCATCCTGGTTGTGGAGGAGCAGCAGCAGAGGGTGATGATGCTCAGCTTTTATCCATATAGTGCCACCCATGGCTGTCGGGTGATAAAGGCGAGCATTGTGAATCAATATGTCGCCGCTGTGGGACGCTGGGCCAACGATGACTTTTTCCCCGACAAGTTGAGCAACTTCTTTGGCTGCACGCTGACGTGTGCCACGTGGCCGGATATGCCGTATCTGGTGCGGCAGCCCAACGGCCAATTTGTTGGCATCGAAGGCGAACTGCTGCAGTTCATGGCCGCCAATTTGAACTTCAGCATCGGCATCTACTGGCTGAACAACTCCCAGGTGCGTGACACCTTCAATGAGTCCGGCTGGGTATTCGACCAGGTGGGTATTATTCAAATACACAAATCGAAATTGAATTCGGAATTCTGGTTGTGACCATTTGCGAAATGAATTTTCTCTATTTTAAATGATTTAATATCAGTTTAATATTAAGTAAGTAAGTAAGTAAATAAGTTACAATTTATTGTTCCTTATTCTAGATATATATTTTGTGTTTCGAAAAATTATTATCTGCATACTTGCACAGATCTTTGCCAACGCCGAATATGCCTTGGGCGGTTTCCACTACAAACCCAACGAGGGCACCGATATGCCCTACTCGCAGTCGAAGTACTATTTCATGAGCCACATCATGCTGATAACCAATCTGCCCAGCGCCTACTCGCCCTATGAGAAGTTGGCTTTTCCATTCCACCCGCTCCTCTGGCAGGCCATCTGTCTGGTCTTGGCACTCGGATGTCTGTCGCTCTGGTTGCTGCAGCGATTTTGGAAGCATTTGCCTCATGTAAATACAACTATTTATATATATAATGAGAGTATATAGTTCATATGAAGATCCGTAGTTAAAAGTAGCATTTCAAACCGAAATTGGAATCGGAACCGCATATTTACCGATTGAAAATAAAAATCGTAATTGGAATCCGAACATAATTCAATCGTTTTTATAATCCCAATATTATTTATGTATTATTTGTCCCAAAAATACCGTAGGGGTACATTCTGATGAGCCAGAATCGTTGATTGAAACAGCTTTCATTTTTATTAATATACTTATTTTAATAATTATATATCTGAAGACACATTGTTTCCATCTGAAAGCCGTTTGTTATAGTACAGCACTTGAATTTATAATAAAATCCGACAAATTGACAATTCCAAAAATATAGTGAATTTATTTTTTAATGTGCAAATATATTTTTTATTTACTAATAATTATAAACAACAGAAAGGGCAATTTTAGATTTCTTTGGTACACATATATAAAAAAAAAAACATTTTAGAATATTGTACCCCGAAATTCAAGAAGGAAAACCCCTGATTTGTAGAATTATCCTTGTTAGTTGCGCTTGACAATGAAAGTATAACGAATTTCTAAAATTCAGGTTGCATTTTTTTCCTAAGTGTACCGTTTAGACTGAACGCTAATCACGAATCACAGTCGGTGAGTTCGACAGGCAGTTAGTCACTCAGTCAGTAACCTTCTCAACTAGTTGAAATTGAAATTGAATTCTGTTGTCGGATTGTTAATTTAATCTCTCTATATTTAACTTTTCTTTTCAAGCATCCCTATTACCAGTTCCTGGTGCTGACCATGGGTGGCAATCTGTTGAGCAGGGAGTTGCCGCTACGCAACTCGTTCCGTTTGCTGTTTGTGACATGGCTGCTGTGGTCCTGGGTGATGCGCAGTGCCTATCAGTCGGGCATGTATCAGCTGCTGCGCCAGGATAAGCAACGCCATCCGCCGCAAACAATTGCCGAGGTCATCGAGCAGCGCTACACGATCCAGATGGTCGAGGGGAATGGGGATCGCTGGCTGGCCAGCCTGCCGGAACTGCGGACGCAACAGTTGCGCCAATTGACGGCCAGTGAGCTGCATTCGTTTGCCGGCCTGGCCGAGAGCAGCGGCAGCAATCAGCGACTGGCAATCATAACGCCGTACGAATACTTTGGCTACTTTCGCAAGGTGCACGAGATGAGTCGCCGTCTGCATTTGGTGCGGGAGCGGATATTCACCCAACAGCTTGCGTTCAATGTGCGCCGCCACTCGCATCTGATTGGTGTGCTCAACAAACAGATTATGCTGGCCCATTCGCACGGCTTCCTCGAGCATTGGACACGGAAATATGTTAGCGCTGTCGATGCTTCTGATGAGAGCACCGAACGCATCTCGGCAATACCCACTTATGGCGGCACGACTAGCACGACACAAGTATCTAATGATGATGACAACAATACGGATACGAATACGAATACGATTACGGATATGGATGCGAATGCGAATGATGATGAGGAGGAGGATGAGGCACCCGCTGAGGCGCTGAGGGTGCTCTCATTCAAGGAGTTGGCCGCTTTGTTCTATCTAACAGTGTGGAGCATGCTGTTTGCCATTCTCGTCTTTGGCCTCGAACTGTTGCTGCATAAATAATGTGCAAATTTATTTTGTGCTAAAAACGTTTTAATTAAATTATTTCATAATCCACATCGCACATCTCATAATCCAAAAACAACAGCGCCACCCGCTGCTCCTTTGGGAGGGAGCTGCTTCTGCTCCTGCTCCTAATTTTGCTTTTGCTTCTGCTGCTGCTGCTGCTGATAGTTCTGCTCGTATCGTAAAAACGCAAAACGTTTTATCTGAAAGCGATAAATTTGCAAAACCAAAAAAACTTACAAGCGCGCCACCAAATCTTCACTCGGACCCCACCCGCAATAAGCACTTCCTCACACACCCCAATCCTACACCACCCACCCACCATCAATTTTCCCTCTCTGTCTCTATCTCTGTGTGATTGTGCTTGTGTGGTTTTCTTGCCGGCAAGCAGATACTCTTCCAGAAGCTCAAATTACACCAGCTCTGAATGTAAGCTGAAAACATTTCATCTATTTTGCAAATTTTATAATAATAATAAAAACTGTTGTTAATTTTCTCTTTTACTCAGAAATAATAATAATACTGATTATAAGAATAATAAGAAGAATATAAATAAAAGTAATAATAATACTAACAATAATACCAATAATATACATTTTCTCATTCATGAATATAGGAGAATATAATAATAAAAATTATGATATTTCTATATTTTCTTTTTAGAATCATCGATCAAAAAATAAAATAAACTAAAGTCTTTTAAAAAAAGCTTAAATTAGTTTTACATTAGAGCCAACTATTTCCTATTCCCTAGTGGGATATATATGATATATATATATATATATGTACGATATATATATATATATTTATATTTATATTTATATTAATAAACAAAATATTTTACAATTACATATTTCCATTTCTAATTCATAGTTTTTGTGTACGTATTGCATTCGATTGCCAAAGGACTTGTCACGGACCCCACTCTACTTGGTTACCCAAAAACCCGATTGCTCCCATTCCAAATGCCTCCACACCCCTCCCGCCAAACACACACATACACACCCAAATGCTGGAGATGGCGTTGCTGCTATTTTGCTTATCGCCTCGCACTTTTGCGCTTCTGCGAACTTTTTTGCCACAAAACTGCTGTAATGGGCATGATGTCGCCTCAGCATTCAGCATATCTAGTACCAGTAACAGTACCACTTCCACTGCCACTACCACAAGTAACAGTCACAGTACGAGTAGGAGCAGCAGCTTCAGCTTTAGCCAAGTAGTCAACGACATCGACATCGTCGTCATCGTTGCTGGAAATTCAAGTAAATGTATTGAACTTAAGCTTATTGCCTTTGCCTGCATTGTCGTCCTTTACAGCGGCTTTCGTCCTCCCTTCCCATCCCCCGCACACACACACATTCGCATCCTTCTTTCCAAGTGTGCGTGTGTGTGTGTGTAGATGCTTTCCCACCCCACACACCCCTCAACTTAATGGCTCGCTTTCCCTTTAATACCCAGCGCTGTTTAGGAAAAACTTTATGCAATTCCTTTTATAAAATATTTCCTATTTTTTATTTTTTTTTTCCTTTAGTTTTTATGCTTGGCCAGCATCATTTACACTATGAAATCAAGAAAAGACAGCGAACTGAATCTAATTTGGAAAGCAACTAACAACTACGAATGAAATTCTACACGCTTAGTAAAAGGATTTTACATTAATTAACAGGGTTTAAGCAAGCGAATTGTGTAACTAAATTGCGATTATTTGCCAACCGACTGTAAAGCCAAACTAGAAGTGGATGAACGAGTCAATGTGTTCTCCAAGAATGTCAAGTAAAATCTTGATGCAGCCACCAGTTTCGTTAGAAAACCAATGAGTGATGCATGTCGAGTGCCAAATAACTGCGGGGATCCAGTTCAGGATCGAGTAAAGTTAATGGCTTGTTTGTAAGTAAGTAGCGATCAAATCAAGTTAAATTGAGAATCAAAATACATTCTGAGCATTCTTTGCATTTCCAGATGCGGAAAGAATGAATGAATGATTATTAAGTTGCTGGCCAGCCCAGTGCCGAATGAAACTCGCTGCTCAGTTTTTATATGCTCGGCAGAGGCAGTGGCAAATATGACGATACAAAGACCCAGAGCCAGAGTCAGAGTCAGAGCCTGAGTCAGGGGCAGGGGCAGGGGCGTCTAAAACTCGTCTGGACTATTCCCGACGATTGACAGTGGCAGCGGCAGCCATGCCTTGCCTCGTGTGCCAATGAATTTTTATGGCTCGAGTCAGGCGTGGCAGCAACTATTACCGATTGCCGGCGACGAGACGAGACGAGACAAGGCAACTAGAACAAAAAAAAAAGAAAACAAATATATTCATGACAAGATTATGTGGCAAGCCGACAGGGGATGCACCTACAAATTAGTGCCTGAGTCCGCGAGATGCGTGAAAAGAGTGGAGGCTGAGATTGAGGTTTATTAGCTGCGCTGCTGCTGCTAATAAGGGAAGGACTGCTGGCCCACTGGCAAACTGGCAATTTCCGGCCGCAGAATTGCAGCTAATTAGCTAATCGACACAATTATGGTAACTGTCGCCGGCATCGACATGGCCCCAAACCCGGATTCAGAGACGCCGAGTTTCGTGCAGTTTGTCAGCCAAATGCAGCGGAAGCTTACCAGACACACAAACACATGCACACACACACACACACATCTGCCCCTGCCACTTTAGGCTGCTACCAACAACAAAAGCCACAATGACACATCCGCCACTTGGTCATGTAACAAATGTTACCCCAGCGACAAAGGACCAAGTAACAGCAGCCAGGACAGAACATCACAGGACCGCGCATAACCGATCCAAGCATCCAAAAGTTGTTTACTGAAAGCAGCCAAATGTTGAAAACTACAAAAAATCGACGAATTTCATTCTTTTAATTATGTTCAAAATTATTTTTGTCGTCATTTAATAAAATTGACCACAAATAAAACCAACCTGTCAAAAAACGCTTTTAGCGTTGTTGTTTTCCTTCCTGTTTTTTTTTATTTTTTATTCATTATGATTCTTCAGTGGTAAAGGCTTTGTCGATGCACGTATTCGGTATGGGTATTCGTTGGATAACGAATCTATTTGAGGTCATAGACCCATGCCACAAATTTGGTGCTGTAGTCCTCGCTCCATGACTCCCAGAGGAAGCCGTCGGTGACGTCGATTCTTCCCAAATCACATCCGGTTGTGAGGTCAATAATACGATTGGTTGGCTCGCACAAGAAAACTGGATGACATTGGTCTACGCGAATTACGCAATGATCAGCATTGTAAGCTGTGCAAAACAAAATACAACAACTATGATTATGTTAACTGTGACATATTTGTAATTTCGTTGAAGCACTTACCAGCAAAACGCTGCTCAATGCAGTTGACCACGTGCACGTCATCAAAGATGGAAACGAAAAAAAATTCACGACTATTAAACTAAAAAGAAAAAAGTAAAATAATGACGGCAACTAGATATTTGTGCAAATGCATTTACCAGTTCGTCGTTTCTATCGCAATTGGGGGTATGATCTCCCTTACTATACAAGATTACAAAATATGAACGCACGTTCGTTGGTGCAATCATTTTTGATGCTTCTGCTTGTCACTGCGAAAATGGAAAGGAAACAAATTAGAAGGAACTATTATCATATTTTACAGCACTACAAATTTGGCAGTTCTGAGAACCAGTTCCCGTTAACTGTCTCTCTCTCTCTCTCTTCCTCGCACTTGCTATAACTCGCTAATTGGAGTGTCACAATAAAAAGCGCCGTTCTTTTTTTATTTGTTAATGAAATCATGACTGCTGCTGGATATTGAAAAGGAAAAAAAGATGTTGTTTGTTCAAAAGAGTTAATCTTTATCAATATCGTTCACATTCACATTTTCATCATGCTTAATATCCTGTGTCAACTCCTGCTCATTCCATTTGCATTCTTCGCAATTATTTCAATTAAATCGACAAAAGAAATGTCCTCCACCCCCAGAAAGAAAACAGCTCAAATGTCCAGCCATGTTCTGATCTGCCCAACCCCATCCCCACCCCATCAAATTTATCGTTAGCATTGCAGCGTTGGTTGAAAAGAGGCTGGGGATGGGTGGTGGTTATCCCGCTGCGTTTGGCGAACATAATTTCCTCGCGCCGGATGTGACAATGAATACCCATTAATAAGTACATACACCCACACACACACACACACATCCACCCACCCACAGACACACACACACAGAACACACGAATGCATGTAAAAATTGTTGAGCTCATCGGTCGGCCGCTCATTTCGTTCTTTTGTGTAAATTGATACGCCCGTCCATTTTTCTGTCTGTCCATTCGTTAGCCTGATCCACTCCCTCTCCCGCTGACACTCATCAGACGGTGAGTTTAACCACAGCGCTGCCAATATGGCAGACGAAAGCGCGCAGCGAGCGCATTAAAGAATGAATGGTTGGCTAATTTTGTAGAGACGCGCACGTCACAAGCTGTTAACCAAATTAATATGCAGCACAATGATACAAATGCACTGACGACAAATGAAGGATACGTTGAAACGGCGTGTGGGCAGCACCAACAACAACAAGATGAAGAAGGCAAAACGAAAGCAGCAAAAAAACAAACAAATTTCATTGTATGTGTGTGTGTAGGCGGCAGCAGCTCTGGCTGTGACTGCGACTGTGCTTGAGCGTGATATGGCAGCATTGTGGGTGCTGAAATGCTGGCACAGCAGGCGGCGTCATCTTCGCATCAAATTGGATTGGTCGAGCACCAAGTCTCTCTCTCCCTCTCTCGCTATGTCTCTCGCACTCGCTGTCTATGTGGCTTATTGTTGTACTTCATCATTGTTGTTGTCAAGCGGCGTGCGTGTTTGCGTAATATGATTATTTGCATGTTGCCACTCCATTTTTTTTTCTTCATATATTTATATTTGTGTTTTTTTCTTGTTCACGCTGTGCGTGATGTAAAGATGAAATAATATGATTTGAATAATAATATAAATTAGTAAATCATGGGCATAGCCATGTGCAGCAACATGTCATTCTCACTCGGTGCATATGCAGCATGCTTTGCATATTTTAAAGCCAATTTTAAAAAGCAACTACCACCACCCCCTTCCCCATTCCCTTGTCCATCGATTATTGTTTGTTTATGTAATTGAAGCGAACGATTTTAGCTGGGCTGGTCTGGCAGCGCTGTCCGCGAAAAAACGCTGCACGCATTGTTTTAATGATGTTACTTTACTAATTGCGGATTTGGATTTAGTGCGTATGATGCATTTAAATGTCGCTAAATGAAAATGGAAGAACAAAATCCAAATAAGCGCATAAGTAACGGCACTTGGACGCGTCTCAGAGCACAAATTGGAGGAGGCCAAGCCAAGTTAGTCAAGTGGCGCATCCTTATAACAGTGCTCGAGGGCGCACGACATTTGTCGACTTCAAATGGTTAACAAGTTTCTGCAAACATCGACAGACGGCAGACATCATTACTCTACTATGCATCAGCATTGGTATATGTACATATATGCGTGTGTGTGTGGGTGTGGGTGTATGTGTGTGCGCCTCTTGTAATCATGTGAATCCGCTTAAGCTGTCGAAGTGTATTGTGCGTCATTATTCTCTTTCGTGCCATTAGATTTGAATAGTTTTCCAATACATACTAAAAAACGACGAACGCAAATCGCAGCGGCATCAGCGTCGGCGTCGACTTTGCTGCTTATCAGCTGCAGCTGCTGTGCATATGTGTGGGTGCGTTCTTTACTAGGTTTGGTATGCAGGTTGGGCGCGTCAATTGGAAGGAAGCATAGCATTCGAATATTGATTAAAATTGCGAAATAATTATTATTATTGTCCTCACTGAACTTGGCTTGAAAGATTTATATATGCATGCAAAATTTATATATATATATATACATATATTAGATTTGTTGACTTTTGCATGTGCGATTGTTGAAATCGAAGCTCTGCCTACAAATTTATTATGCTGCATATGTGTACACACTTATTTGCAGCATACCAATCGCGTTCTCGCTCGAATGCATTTCGTCTTAAGTGCTTTTTCTTCCTATGCTTCTTCGTTTCCCTTTCTTTTTGTTCGCCCTCTTCTCTGCCGCTTCTGCGTTGCTGCTCTGAAATTTTGATTATCATTCTGGCAGTAAAGTTGTTCTGTCCATAATTGCGGCCAATTTTCTTTTATTTTATTTTCATAGAGAGCAGCGTGTTTCAATAATGTGCATAAATAAATCACATTGCGAAGTGCGTCATGCAAATTACATTTTAAATGCACGCACACACTCATATGCATGTATATAGATAAGAAAAAGTCGAGCGTGATCTAAGCGAGAATATATGACTGCTGATGAAATACCCTGTACACTGGCTTACGCCATTCAAATGATGCTTACAAATTAGAATACTTGGGCCATAGACCCCAATTACCCGTTTAATAGTCAGAGGGTACAAGATGTTGCATTTGCAGACATATCGATATTCAATTATCGTATGCCACAACCAAAAGCGAAATTTAAAGGACCACATTGCTGAAAAGAGGGAGCAATTTGGCAGGGTCAGCGAGATAAGCGTTGCATGTAAGGACATTATCCGCAAGGTGGCGCGTTGAGGGTTAGGGTCAAGTAACACATGTGGAAAAGAAAAAACGCAGTGAGGCAGGTCGTGGTCCATAGCGCTTAAATTTTTGTGCTGTACGAGCAAATGTTGAAGTACCTTTAGGAGTGCCTTATCCCTGCATATTTGTTGTGCTGTTCTAGTTTTGTGGTTTATGTTTAGGTGGCCGACGGCAGGTCACGCCGCAATTGTATAATTTATGTCATATGCTCTGAAGTTGACGCAACAACGACCTGGCCGTCGTGCAAAAATTGCTGGATACGCTACTGCGAGGGAAACACTAGGCGAATACACCATCCCCTGATATTGGCAGCGCGCAAGCGCACCGACGGTATTTCTTCAGCCGGTGAGTGCGTTCCGGTATGGAATAAGTGCCATCAGAATAGGATAAGCCTTCAGTAACCAGCCGCGTAGTTCGAGCGCAGTAAACTCAATCGACCCAGAATCCAAATTAAACTACAAATTGTAAAAAAAAGGGCAAAGAGAAATACATGTCAAAAAAAAAATCAGGTCCACGCCCTGTCGAGTGCAAGTCGACTGCGCGCATGTGATCAGTGCCAAGCCCAAATTGGGGAATCCATTTTTGCACGAGCCCCCCACACACCGAATACTTATATCGGAGCTCTAGTAGGGTAGGATAGGGATTGAGGGCCACCTAAAGTAATCTTCATATATGTTCAATTTTTTATTTTGGTTTCATCGGATTTGGCAAGATACCCGATTAGTATTTAGTAATTACTACATTATACCATATAATGTTTGTTAATAAATTGTAAGGAAATAACGATGATCTGTGAGTAAGTTAAATACAGGGGAGAATCACCGGGAGCATGGAATAAATTAGTCGTCAACTACAATTTAAGGGCGATGGGCAAATCAAATCCGTGCAAGCCCATTGCAGGAAGGGCGGGTACGTCGTGGCCATAAACACCAGGCCCGTCAGCTGTTTCGTTTGCTTTGTGTGTGCATGTAGGTCTTTATGATGATGCATATACATATCTATAAATATACATTATATATATAAAATATAATGCAAATTGCGCTGGCCGTATAATTTGTAAGTAAATTGGTGTGCTTTTGATAATAACTCACGAGCCGATGGAAATTAAAATATAAATTTACCAAATATTTGGCATTTATTTGTTTACAATTTCATACAGCAGTTGAACACTTTTAATTGATATTCATCGAAAAATTAAATATAATTTAATTTGAAATCATTTTTGGATTGTAGTTTAATTTTGTTTGTTTGCCATTTGGATTATGGCGTAACATCAAAGTCAAGTTTTCGCTTTTTGTTTTTTGTTTATCTCCTAAGTGGAAAAGTTTTATAATACGAGTATTAGGTAGGTAGAAAAACTTACTGTTATATTAATTTTTTATTTATTTTTTATTGGATTTTAGCTAAGATTTGTAGTCTTAAATGAACTATTGATATAGCTAGTGATGATTATATGACAAAAATACCCTCTGATGGGCATTATATATGTATTGTTTGGACTAACTTGAATATATAATATGTATACAACTTGGGTTTGACAAGTCCACAATTATCATTGCAGTTACTCATATTACTTAACATTAACCAAGTTTCTGTCTGATTCAAATGCAGAAGCTTTTGGCAAGCAGTCAAAAACATTTTCAGTTTCTGAAATCTGATTTTGAGTTAAATTCAAGCGCAGAAGCTTATAGCAACAACAAGAAAAGTGTGTAGAAATGGATTGTATTATCGATTTTTCTTAACTCTTAACTCTTCAGTGGCCATATTCTTGAGTCTCCACTGTATGTGGTAGATGGCGGAATAAATCCGGACATATTCCATCACCCAGGCGTCGCTAAAGGGGAATGGGTCGATGAGGATAGCAATCTGAGCATTTTACTGGGTATCTGTTTGCTCGTGCTCTCTGTGATCTTCTACACGATTTGTTGGCTTATTTTGTTTAATAGCTTTTCTCGAATCAGGCGATGGCAGTTGAGTCATGCTGATGATTGTGCCCACTCAATCAGAGCAGGAGGAGGAGGAGGAGGGATCCGATTCAGACTCTAGTTATTCGTTTACAGACGATTTGACAGATTAATCCCACGCGGTATGTAGAATCCATAAAAATTGGATATGCCAAGTTTTAATTCCAATGTTGCAACACAGTCTCGCATATCAGCAAGACACAATTTTCTCAGGAAATCAAAATTTCAGCAGGTCCGTGATGAATTACAAAAAGAAGAAGATAAACCGAATATCTAAAGTGCGTTGCAAGATAACCTTCAAATGCAATAGGAACTAGTAAAATAACTTTGAGTAGATTTGGATGATGTCCAAGATGCCAAAAGAAAAATAAATCTGAAAGCCCTAAATATATAAGTTCGTATATTAAATGGGTAAAGGTTAATATTGAAATCAGGATTCAAAATGGAATCATTACGTTTGCCATCTTTTTAAAATCATAGATAGGAATTTATGTATAGACAGATTAATAATTAAGCAATCAAATGTTTTTGAACTACTTTTGACAGTGGTTGGTAGAATGTCGGATATTGATTCTGTATCTTTAGTTATTTATTTATTTATATTTTGGGGTAAACTCGAATTGTATTTTATCTATAGGTAACTGGTCGTAATATTATTATGCTTATGCTCGACTTATTGGATAGCCTAAGATTGGTTTGCTTTTGTTGCTGCTTTGGACACAGATTGGCAATCTTTGATTACATTTTCGTGCTCTTTATTTTGCAGCTGTCGATCGAGGCGCTCCTTGGCCCGAAAGACTTTTGATTGTATATAGAAGGAGCCACCGTTTGACTTTTCATTGATGCTAAACAGATGGTCATAGTTGATACGGATCTCATCCATATTGGACAGATCCGTCACGTTGAGTATCTGCTGGGCCTCGTTCAGGGTCATGCCCTTGACAGCCGTATCCGTGCTCTGGCATTTAATTGTGATCGTCTGATGTCGGTTTGCCGCCGCGCGTGACGCATCGATCTCCTGGCGAACGGCCTTGACAAAGGCCCGCCCCACAGACTGTGCACCATACACGATGATGCGTGCAAAATGTTTGGCCATGTTGCCACTGCGACTGCCACGCGCTGTCGCTCTTACTCTCTGGTCACTCCGCTGCGTGTGTGGATCGTATTGTTCCAAGAATTTTGCAATAGATTTTGTTTTTTTTTATAACATTAATGTAAATTTACTTTTTTTTTCTGCTTAGTATGACAAATGTTGAAAAGCGTTTCGAAACTGTAGATTTAATTCGCACTCATTCCTATCAAGAAAGCTGTGCATGTACGAAAATACCTGGTTCTAATATAGATCCAGCTCTATACATATACATATATATATTTCCCAGAGCACTGCAACAGTATCTTTTTCTTCTACTTGATTTAAAACAGCACGAAAATTCTTATTCACATGCAATCAGTCAAGAAAACTTGGCGTTGAATAAATTCACACGAGTTGATTCGTGCTTGTTGAGTTTAACTTTAATTATTCATAACTCTTAACTTATGGAAAACAAAGCAAATATAAAAATGTTAAATCTCACAAGATGTTACCTGACTTCTTCTTCTTCTTCATACGTCCACCAGCAAGATAATCCCATTGCGCATCTTCAGTTCGTTGGAAGCTGATCAGCCTAATCCACTTAACAGAGGATTATCTGTCAATTTTGTTTTGGTTTGTTTTTGTTGTTACTTGTTATGCTTTTAATATGTTTTAATTGTTGTATTTTATTGCAGGGAAGTGTAAACTGAAAGCAATTGTTCATTTGAAGCTGTTCCGGAGGGGAGGCAACGGGCACAAACAAGAGAGGAATTTTTTAGTAGTATTTTGTTGCGTTCATATGTTGCCGTTGAGTAAATTACATTGAAATTCAACTTGACTTCAATAAGGAAATTATCTTTTTTGGGCTGGGTAGAGAATATCTGCTATTCGGCTCGTGATTTTCAACCGCAAATCGTGTTCCCAAATTGAAATGTAGGCCAAAACATAATTCAAATGAGTATTGCCTCGAAGCAGATGATATTTATTGTATAGCAGTTGCATTACCATTTACCCATTGAACATATAAATTAGACAATATTTATTGTGCTGTCTTAGAGTTGGTATTGCTTAGGTTCAGCCACAGATTTTACAGCTGTGAAAAGTTTGGATCTAACTCGAACTTTTCTTTGTCCAGGAGCAGAAACCTTTTTTCACTCACATCTTTTTAGCAAATAAATGTGGCAAAATTTCAAATCACACTGTTGGCTTATTGCTGCAACTTGCAACCAAAAAATGGTCAAACAAGTTGCACTCGCCTCGTTTAAATGACTCTGCTTTGTACGCAATATGTGCGGCTCGTAAACAAATTATGCGCAAATTGACTGAATTTTTGGAGTAGAAGGTGAACCGCTAACCGTACAGCATGTTACCAAGAAAATATAGAGATGGTGTGTGTGTGGATGTGGCTCCGATGTCATGTGTGTATTAACATAATTACAATAATGACTTGCTGCCGGACACCGGAACTTGTGGCCATAATTTAGAGAGTCAAGTTCGCATTTGCATGAGCTCAATGCACGGCCGTCTTTTTGAAACGACGGCGAGTCTAAGCCAAACCGAACCAAAATGAACCAAAGCTATCAAAGTGTCGAGCAGTGCCAAATTGGGTCACATTGGCAATCTGCGCAGGGTGGCCAGTCTAGCCGCAAATGGACAACAGTTGTTTTACAATTAACCCATTGTCCCGTTCAAATTTACAACATTGTAGTTGATCACATTTGGGCTTGTCGCTTGATTTAATTGTCTGACACGGTCATATGAACATTTTTGGAAATTTACAATTCGAAAGAAAGCAAAATAGAAGAATTGATTTGATTAGAAAACCGCGACCACAGTTAGATACGGTTAGTTGTTATTGATACTGGTTGCGGCTGTCTGGTTGAGTGGCTCGCGCGTGAGCTCATTCATTATGCAAACACCTCCACATTGTCGTTGCATGCTGCTGCACTGCTGGCCACTCCCTAAACTCACCGAACTCTACGAACTCTACGAACTCCCTGAAATCCCTGAACTGCCTGACTCCCGCTCATTTTGCGATTAGCTGGCATTTAAACTGATATTACTGTCGTGTCCATTACGTTGCTACGTTTGCTCCTCGACAGTTCGTTGCTTCGCCTCCCAGCTCTGATCTGTCGCTGTTGGCCGTTATAGCATTTTGATTTCCGCACTGCATCCGGCTGTTTTAATCCCTGGACAGAATATGCCTACGAAAAAAAAAACACAAACAGACTAACGCAGTATTGAAGTGCAAATGCACCAAGTTCATGTTGCTGTCAAGCTCAACCAGCCGACAGCTTGCACATACTGCAAAGAATTCATTTGCGAAATTTAAGAAACATTTTGTTTTTATTTTTTATTTCTACTTATACAGTAATACTTGTTATACAACTAACAACAAACGTATGAACTTAAAGTTTACATTTTTTTTTTTTTTGGTTTATGTTTGTTTACCTCTTTTTCTTTTTTATGCAGTTCAATTAAAAAACGTCAACATTTATTTCGAATTGCAATGGGATATCTATCGATAAAAGCACTTGAAGTGGAACCAGACACAAATCAAAAATAATAATTAAAGCTTTTTTTGGTTTCTTTTTTTGCAATGGAGTCAAGAGGAGAGCATAGTTAATATAACCCTCCTGGCCAGAGTATAAGCAATGATGAAACGAAATGCAAAATGGGAGATGGAAGGAGGGTCCGCAAAAGCGAACAGTTCACTATTTGCCACACATGAACGTGGGATCTGAATGAGAACGTGAATGTGGATGTGGATGTGAATGTGGATGTGAGCGTGGGTGATGCATGACGCTGAAAATGTTTAGGCCTAGTGTCTGGTGTCGCATTCATAGCCATTCATTCGGTTGCTGCCGTTTCGTGGTTGTCATTTGCCATTGCCATTGCCAGTGGCTGTGGTTGTTGTTGTTGTTGTAGCTTGTGGCTAACGTGCGAGCTTAGGATTTGAAAAACAATTTCACTGTTAGTGGAATGTCAGCGTCAGACTTGTATACGGTTCTAACTTTCTCTCTCTCTCTCTCTCTCTCCCTCGGAAAATCCAAACGTTAAATTTTAGCATAGGCGGTGCTCACATCACTAATTAGTGATGTGCAATAATCGTGTGGGGTAGCTTTGTTAGGTGGTGGGGTGGTTTACGAATTGGATTCGATGGCACATTGTAGCCGGTTCAGAGATTTGCGTGCGGAGTTGGCTGGGTTGGTTGGGGGGGAGAGGGGTGTACGTTAGTTCGCTTCCAAAAATTGCAACATTGTTAATCAACTGTGCGTGTCGCGCAGGCTGCATTTGAATTTGTAGCTGGAGCCGTAGTTGGGTATTCGGTTTGATTTTGAATTTGAGTTTGAGTTTTACATTTCATTTGCATTTCTTTTCCCTGTGTGGGCTTTTAGGCTATTGGGCTGCTCATTTACTTACGCACACTCAGAAAATCAATCGCTCTACAATTTAGAGAGTTAACCGAAAATTAAAATCGCTCTGAAAATTATAATATACAAAATAATTATTCAAATTAGAAAGTATCTTTTTCTATTTTGTCAGATATATATGTTTTAATATTATAAAGTATTTCCACAAATTAGAAATGCAATCCCTTATTCTTAGAATCAACACTTTGTAAAATTACGAAACAAGTCATGAAATTTGCTGTTTTCGTCTGCTCTCTTAGATCAGATGTCATATTGTTGCTGGCTTTGGTAGCATTATATTCATAAATATTTTTTTAAAATATTTTTTCTACGTTTTAGTAAGATTTACCGTTGAATTAGGAGAAAAGAAACACATTAGCGACTTTTTGTTCGAGTGTGGACGCATGTGGTAAATTATTGTAGCTTCTGAAAAGGGAAATGCAGAGATGTGATGCGAATTATCGGTAATATGAAATACCTATTCATTTCAATCAATTTCACAATGAATGTGATATCTGCATATCTGCCAATACACATCTTGCACGATTCCAGTGAAGGCACTAGCCTAATCTTGAGGAGAAATGGTTCCCCACATATTCTCTACAGAATTTAAGTTTGCTGATCGTGTTGGGCACTCTTTAAGTTGAAAATCCTTTTTCCTTATATTGAAACTAATTATCATTAATTACAGAATTATTTATTTAATATACCAAGTGGCAATTACTTGATTAATTATAATTATGTTGTTGTTAGTCTATTCCGTTACATCTCCAAATGTACTATTTCGATATTTATAGAGTATCGACTAATTATAGACTCGTACATCAGTTTTGGCTGCCAACATTTGTTACTGCTTTTGCTGTTGTCGGTTTTTACGTACAATTTGCAGCGCCGTGTAAATAAAAAGAGCTGAAGTTGCAACTCATTCACTTTGGACGTGATTTGATGTATGGGTGTGCAGCTGACAATATGGTTGCATTTAATTGACAAGCAAGACAGAATAGAGTAGAGCTGGCTAATTGAAATTTCATGTTCTGAAATAAGTGGGTAAACTGATGACAATTCGAACAGCATTGGATCGGGCAGAAGTGAATGGGAAGTCAACGCGACTCGCTAAAACTCGGTGGTTTGCAACACATCTGATCAAAATGGGGAAAGCACACTTTACACAATTACACAATTACTTGAAATTAAATAACTTACTTTCGATGTTCTCACACAGCCACAGACAGTGCCACAAATTGAGTTCTGCAAAAGATTGTCTATCATTGTTTGCACTGTGAGTGAAAGCCAAATCAACTTTTGAAATGTTCCATTACAATCAAGACTTTAGATATACTTCTTCTTCTTAATTACTTAATTAATATACCATTTGCAAATTAAGTTTGTTTTGTGTTACCGATAATTGCGAATTCGATTTCCAATATTGGTATAAATCAATTCGCGCTAGAAAATGAATCCGCAATTTGAAATTGATGGCCTTCCAATTGACATTTTGATTGATTGATCAACTGTGTACATTCAACATAAAGATTTTATCGGTTAAGAATCACCCAAGCTATATTCGAAAACATATTCTCATATTGATCTCATTACAATCACTTGTATCACAGTATAGGTCTGGGAGCAGGGTATCTGCTCGTTGGGTGTTCTTCACTAGAACAATTTGAGGCATTTGCACTTAGTAGGCATGCAAAGTATTCGGCCTCAGTCTGCTTTAGTCTGAACGATCGAACGAAGTCAAACAAATCGACAACAATTTTCCAAAATTTCATTTAATTTGATTCTTGAGGCAAGAGGATTGTTTAGATTCGGGGAAACAAGCAAAATGCAGTATCAACGTGAGCTAAAATTAGGGGATATCTTTCCTTCGTGCGGCGGTAGCGTTGATGCGGACAATCAATATCTACAGCAGGATCAGGATCAGGCTGAGGAGCAGGAGGAGCAGGAGGAGAAGCAGCTGCTGCCAGACGGAGGCGCAGTGACCGATCAGGCTGGGTGCAATGGGATTCAATCGGTGGGCGCAGTCGAGCTGATAATCAATCCGCATATCGAAAGGGAGGAGTTAAACAAACCGAATGGTCTACTGCGCTTCACACTGCGCATGGGATTCGGAGCCCTAATGCATCCGTATGAGTACGCCAAGGTTCTGATGCAATTGGGATACGAACCGTTGCCGGCAGTGGCCTCAACCAGCTGGCTGGGCCGGACAACGCTTGTGCTGCCGGGTGTGCATCAGTATATGCGGTATATCAAGCATACCGATGGCTTCATTGGCCTCTATCGCGGCCTGACGCCGCGCATCCTCGCCAGCGTCAGTTCAGCTCTCTTCGCCGATAGTCTTGTCCGGCTGTTGGGCATATCGGATGTGCCGCAAGTGTCGCAGGCAACGCATCCGTTGCGCGACTATGCCGGCAATTTGATGCGGGATGGCATTGTCATTGCCACCGGACTGGCCGTGTCACATCCCTTCTATGTGATCGCTGTGCGCCAGATGGCCCAGTTCGTTGGCCGGGAGATCGCCTACACAAGCATCTGTGGCAGTGTGCGTGAGATCTATGCCCAAGATGGTCTGGCTGGATTCTATGCGGGCTTTGCGCCCCGCCTGCTTGGCGATATGGGTGTGCTTCTCTGCACCAGCACCCTCACCGCCATCTGCAATCGCATCTTCTGGCTGCAGCCCGCCCAGCGTGAATACAATGCGGCTCTGTTGCAGTTCGCTGCCATTATGCTGCTGTATCCGTTGCAGGTTGTCGGCGCCTGCATGGCCTGCTCCGGCTCGGGCATTGCCGCTGGTGCCCCACCCTTTATGCCCATCTATGGCCAGTGGGTTGACTGTCTCGTCGATCTGGTGGCACGCGGTGATCATTTTCGTGGCGCCTTCACCATACGACGCACACTGCCCAAAATGCACACACAAATCCAGATGCCGCGCTTCTACTCGGATCCATTTGTCGTTTCTCGCAACATCTAATCGAGGAATTTCATGGAACTGAATTTGAACATTTTCATTTGTTGCTAACCATTAAAATATCAGTTAGATAAACTGCAGACTCGTTTTTCATTGGTGAAGTTCTGTAAGGGTATTAAATGGACAGAAATATGTATATATTCTTGGCCAGCATCAAAAGCCGTGTCGATTTTGCCATATCCGTCTGTCTGTCTGTCCGTCTGTCTGTCTGCATCTGCATTTGGAATTTGGGACGTGAAGTGGGTGCCATTGTTTAGAGTAAGTAGTTCAATGGTTTTTGTTGTTGGGGCAGCTTGCACTAATTTGAATTATTTAACGAGGATACAGAAATCAAGTCTCGCACACACTCAGACAAACAAGGACATGCAAGGACACATTTGTGGTCTCCATTGGGCGAGCCTGTTTTAATTCATAAGCGACCGAATGCATGGCTGCATTGTGGAAAGTGGCAAGTGGCAAGTGGCAAGTGTGGTGAATGTGGCAAGTGCGGGGAATGGAATTGTTGTTGTAAGCGGACTCATTCGTTCCGTTTTTCTTGGGTGCTGCACAAAATGTCAACAGAGATTAAGAGATGGAAATCAGTTCATATACAAGATTTTATATACCAAGCAGAGCGGCACACACACACACACACACACACACACACGCAGAGAGAAGATAATGCAGAACAGGCAGCTGCACGTAGTGAAAATATCAAAAATCTTTAACAAAATGTGTCCAGTGTTTTTGCGGACGTCAGGGCAAATAGAGACGTTGAGGAGAAGTTAGGCTAAAGACCAAATTCAGTTTTGCTTCATCTAAATGCACCACATTTGTCTGTGTGTGTGTGTGATGCTGTTGTTGTTGTTGTTGGCCAGGTTCATTTAGGCCAGAGATATCAAAAGTCAGAAGTTAGATCACAGCCCGCAGAGAGTTCATGAAATAAACGACCCGTTATTACATGTGTGTCTCTCTGCCTGTCTCTGTGTGTGTGTGTGTGTGTGTGTGTCTCTGTGTGTGTGTGTGTGTCTCTGTGTGTGTGTGTGTCTCTGTGTGTTTGAATATATTAGGTGTGCTATGTATTTGCATATGAGATGTACACGTGCCGCATTCAACAATCACGAAACGAACACGAACCCAAAATTAAGCAACAAAACTGTTTTCCAATAATATTTATTAAAAATGTGACTAGTCTGGATTTGGGCCAAGTATTATTATACAAAGAGCTGTTGGTTCTTTGCTTGTGTATACATAAATGAAGTATGTTAGTTAGTTGCTTGATGTTAGTAGAAGGACAGAAATATGACAGCACTATTGTCTAATTGCATTTGAAATGGCTTGATTTTAGTTAGAGTGTTCGCGTCACGAACTGAAGCAACTCTAATGCACTTAGTTGCATATGATGGCAATGACAATGACAATGCCCGGCCAGCAACACTGCCATACTGCACTGCACTCAACCCAACCAAATAGGGCTGACTGACTGAATCACCAAAGAATGCAATCAGCAACTAATGTGACCAAGCAGACCAACTGAATGGAACCGGCTACCAAAAATCCGAGCTGTAGTCACTTTCTGGACAGCCTTGTGACATCTACGCATGCATGCAACATGCATGCCCAACATCATCAACGCAGTCTCCACGCCACGCCACTTCACGCCCATCGCCCATCGCCCATCCCATATCCTTAATCTCTCGTCCTGCACAGTTCACAGTCTTCGTGTTGTCTTCTTGTGTCTTGCTTGTGCCGCCCTGCAAAATGCAATTAGGCTAACGATGCAACACAATTTTGTCTTTAACTTTCACTGTGTGCGAGTGAGCGAGATGGCGACAATATACGCCTCACTCTTCTAAGCAGCGAAGCGCACACAGCTTTTGCCCATATTCGTTGCGAGATGCGATCAAAAAATTGTCAGCGATTTCATTTGATTTTGGCACGCACAAACTCAGCTATCAACTGACTAATTTGTGCATAGATAAATCAGTCTACATTTCATATAATATCACAACTTTATATCTTTACTTTAGTTTTTTTTTTTGTATTATTTTTATTTATTCTGTGGTCACTTTTTGAAGCTTCCCTTTTCACTCAAACTCTCCTTGCACAAATTTTCAGTTGAAGTACACAGAAAATAAATTAAAACACAGCTAAGCATGCAACATAGAAAAATACATTCATAAACTGAATTTTGTGCTAAAAATTTGATCAATAATTAATTATTTACTTAATCGAAATAATACAATTATATAAGTATCTAATTAATTATATTGTTTTATAATATTTTTATTTTCGATTTTCACTTATTTTCATCATTTCATTTGAACTTTCGACTGAGTTTTGTTGTCAGGCTCGTTTAGTGAAATGGAAGTAGAAGCAAATTCTTTGTCTTTGTTCGTCTTTGCCCACTTAATCTTATTGTAATATTTACTCTATTTGAGTTCAAATAAATAAATTCTTCAATCTCATTGTAAGAATTTGATTTTTCCTTGCGTCTCTTCCAGGATATTACATTACTGTAGAATGTACAATGTATGCGAAAAATATGAATTGCTTTAGTTTTTCTCTATTTTCCGTTCCATTATTCAACTACGTAAACCCATTTTTATTTATATAATCTTAACAATTTATGAAAAAATAATTCCGATTTGAATCGAAATCGATTGGGTGAAAATTGATTGTATGCATTGGATTTTTTTCGGTGTATTTTATAGAATGCGGGTAGACACAAACTTTTATGTATTTTGCATTGTCTGCGTGTGGGCCAGAAATGTCGAACAAATGATACATTTGCTGTGTATTGACTTAACTCGAGATTTGTTTCTGACTTAATTATTATAATCTGTTGTGTGGCCAAATATCACAATAATAAATATTAATTTGCAGCAAATTGTGAGTTATGATTTCTGAATATTGAATGTGTAATTCATTTAAACAGCAAGTACGTCAAAGCTAAAAAATGTTTACAACTCGTGTCTTCGACTCGTTTCGCTTTGATTGTTTTCAATGTTAACAACAATTTACACATGCATACATCATAATTAACACCAGACAACCAATTCACATGGATTCAGTCAACAAAAAGTGAACATATTAATATTTATTGCAAGTGTTGCACAGCAAACGATAAAGTTGGGACTCCACCTGAATAGCGTCAGGTGTGGCAAGGAATTTGAATGGCTTGTCATTGCGGAAAGTAATCTAAATGTTGTTACTGCATTCCAATACATATATACATACACACATATTTATATATATATATATATATATAAGTATAACTATTTAACTGTTTAAATATGCATACAATTCGAGTTACGTGCAAGCATCTCGATTAATTTAATATGTGAAGATGTTTGGTTTGTGTGTGGAATTAAATATTTGTGAAATGATTGAGAAAACAATAAATTAAAATATAAAGTAGACTATAACCACTGTTCTGCAAACAACCCCGTTAATAGGAAACAAATTAAAAAGGATTTCATTTTCAATTTGAATTGTTGCATTAGTCAACTTTTGCTTGAATTATCAACAGTTGATATTGGCATAGTTTTCGATTTTCTAACATACAAAATCTGGCAATCACTCGCATATATGCTAATCAGTTTTTATTGTTTATTTATTTTTTAGTGAATTGGTTTTTGCAATCCGCTTTAATTTAAGAAATGAGTTAAAGTTAATTAAGCATACGCCGCATGGGCAATCGACTTCCGGTGACAACGCGACAGCGGATTCAATACATAAATCCAATTAACACACTATAAACCACACACAACCACACACACACACACACACACACACACACACACACACACACACACACACACAAGCATGAACAGGCAGACGGAAAAGGTGTTAATCGACGTAATTTTGATGTAAAACAAGTGATGAGAATGATATTGTGTATATTATCACCGCATATGTGACGCGTAATTAACACCAACAGCAGCAACAACAATAACAACAATCATCTGCCAAGTTAATGAGCCATCGTTGATTATGCATATGAGTTGCGGTTTGTGTGTGTGTGTCTGCTTGTGTGTGTAAAGAGTTTCATTCACTTTTCGCACATCAAATTAAAATGTTACATATGCTAATGAAATCAACCAAAATTATAACCAATTATGAATACCTTAATGGGATTTGCCAATGTGACACACACACACACACACACACACTGAGCTGGGCTTATGTAGCCATACTATAGTAGTCGCTCGGAAATTAAATCATATTTTATAAGTCTTCACAACTCGAGAATACATATATGCATTTTCTGTGAAACTTTCCTAGCTTGGTCAAGAATGCATCAATTCAGAGAAGTTCAACTGTATTTTGATGCATGTATATTATGTGTGTGTGCGTATGTGTGTGTATGTGTGTGTATTTCTTAAAGCCAAGTCAATTGTTTAAAGTGAAAAGTGAAAATAAGGCAAGTCGGGGCAAGGCAAGCAAAGGTAAGGCAGTTGAGCATCAGGCCAAGCATGGCAGGCAGTCAAAAAACGCAGCCAGGTGTAAATTACAAACTTGTAAGATTTTTGCCTGGCATTTCCTGCCCAACCTCCTCATGGGCCCAGCTACCGGCAGAGGAGCTTTCAGCTCGTTGCCTGTCGTCTCATAACTGAAGCTGAGTGCAAGACTCAAGTTACTGTTTTAGCACAGCAGTGGGGATGGGTGGGGGTGGAGACAGGCGACTGTGTCGTGTCTTCTTCACGTAATGCCAACAATTACGCAGCTGAATATTTTATGAGCCAAGCAGATTAATATGAATATTTTATTATCATTTTAGATTCCGTATTTCTTTGTTGCCCAGCCAAGCAGCTCTCTTCCTTTGTGGCTCTCTGGCTCTTGCTCTCACTCTCACTCTCGCTCTCGCTCTCGCTCTTTGTGGCAGTCAAGCCATTTCGGCCCCCCGTTGCAGTGTCAGCCGAGGCTAAGCCAGGGCCAGCTCAGCCAAGCCAAACTCAAGTCGAAAGCATGTCCAAAAATATGCTTTATGTGCCTTTGCATTTGAGTGTTGTTTTTTTGGTTTCTTGTTTTTCGCTTTAAGGTTTTTCGTTTGCCTTAATAGTCGACCCTTTAGCTCTGGCTATATTCATTTTT